AGTTCCTGCACATCAGTGGCTATGGTAGTGCCTTGCTTGAAGCAAGTTTGCAAAAGCCTCATACCATGCGATATGCCAAAAGAGAAATATTCTTAGTCTTACAAAAAACACAATAGCGTCTATCAATCTGCCACACTACAGTGCGAAAATTACCTCATAGAGTTAAAGGGTTTTAACTCTGTTTTAGAGCAAGTCCCAGGGGGCATGACCTCAGTCTACACCTGGGTAGTCGACAGCCATATGGACGTAAACCTCATGCTATAGTAGCGCCAGAAAACATAGCTTGAAATAGCTGCATTGCCTTTTACAATTACAGCACACAAGTATGAACTATCATTAATTCCACCATTTGACCTCATTTACTGGTGAAAAAAAAAATTATTTAAAATGCAATTACATTCTATTCTTCAATAAATTACTTAACCTGACAACAAATCCTGCTTTAAATGTTTTTGATCCCAAAAATATTTCAAGAAGGAAACTAATTGGAAATGGTTGGAACAGATTTGGCAGTCAATTGGGACAAATGTTACAAACTGTTTCGATATGCCAAAATTGTACCAGATATCAAGCTCAGTATGTTGAGCAAGTCACAGCAGTGATCACTAAAAAGGTAATTTAGGAATAGAATGTCTTTGGATTGCATTTATATACCGGTAATCTATATTTGATAGCGATATCTGAATAATTTAACAATTTACCATATTTATGAACTGATTTTAAATAATTTCATCATGAATTGTTTCAATATGCAACCAAACTAAATATATTTTGTTCAAATTTGTAAAAATAAATTTAAATTTTTTGCATATCGTTAAATTCGATAACTTTGGACATCATATAAAAAAATGACCATAAATTAAATTTGCAATTGCATTTGGAGAAAAATAAATTTATTTACTTGTAATATTGTATAAAAATATTTCACCCTTTTAATATTTTTTACATTCAACAATTCAGTTTCACCTACTATATAAATTTTAGAAAATATCATGAAAAGTCTCAAATGGTATTATTATATTTTCTAATGCCTCAGTGGGTTTCAATGCAGGAGTGCCTCCTATCCTGTCTTGACTCAATGTAAAATAATCCCTTTTGGAAAGCAAATAGACCTTGAAATTAGTTTGAAGGCAGGTTGTCTCTTGATATCTTGATGGTTTATATGAAAACACAAACTCACACAATGAAAAATAAAGTAAAGACTGTTATTTCAGAGTAATTAGAGAAATGCTTGCTTGTGTTCTGCTTAGATGCTTTGATCATGCTTCCACCGCACAATTGTCAGTGATGATATGAAATGATTTAATTAATTCTTTACTTACTATAATATTTAAAAATGTTTTTCTCCATTTATTAAACTTTTCGTATTATTCCTAATACGAATACGCCATTGTTTTGAGACAATATTAATTACATTATAATGAACGAGGTCTGAAGGTAATTCATGTTAGAACAACTGGGAATCACGTCAATGTCTCACGTATTTACATGTTTATTACGTCATTACAAAACACAAACATACTGAGATTAAAAATGTAAGAATGGGGATTTTTGTCTAAATTTTTCTATACAAAATAAATGTGATCATTTGAGAAAAATCTGAATTATATTCTAATTTGCAAATACTTTTTCACACAAAATGTCAAACCAATTTTTTCATTTAATTTTGCAAGTACCGGTATGTCATTCAAAATTATGAAGATTTGCATTGCTCTGTTTTGTTTATTTTTCTTATTTATTATATATTAGTTCTACTATTCTATTGAAAATGTTGATTTTTAATTTTGATAAAAATCTGTTTTTTCACTCTCTTATGAAACAGGGTACACTTCAAGAAAAAAAATGCTCCAGTATTTCTGAGACAAGATTTCAATATTTTTTCATAATATAGCATTTTTATAAGTATGGAAAAATTTTAAAAGCGAAGTGTCTAACCTATTATAAACATAAAATTATAGTGTAAGAGCATTTTGCTTGGGTGTGCATGATAGGCTAAACAAACTGTTGTCATTATATAATTAGCGGAAAATGCCCTGAAGTGCTACTAAATAAAATTCTTTGGGCTTAAGTCTAGCATTGTTGATAATTTCTTTATTTTAACAACAATCTAACAGCTACTGTTTTATGTACCAGTAATAAATCAAAAATTCAGTAAAATGATAACCCACAAATAATTTTTATTATAATTCATTTATTGCCAGTATAGTTATCTTATAATAAAAACACATATCTTCTAACAGACAAGCCTTTTTTATTATAATATCTATTGAAATACCTTTCATATTATCTATGCCCTATCTACAGATAAGATAAGACAACAATCAGAATATCTTGGCAATTTAGACATCAAATAGATTTTATAAATGATTATTATGAAGCAAAATAACAATAACAGAACACATAATATTTTGATGTCTGTCTAGCATGAGCCACACATGAGCAATTCTTTGCTGTGCCTTATTACACATATTTTGATTTGATATTGCATAAACACAAATTCAAAAGAAGAGGAAATAAACTGGATCCTGGCAACCTTTGAAAATTTTTTGCAAGTGCTAACTAAGTGGCACTTTTAGAACCACTTTTTGGTTTGTAACTAAAAATTATTCAACGTGTGGTGGAGGCTAAAGTGAAAATTTCATCTCTCTAAACTTGTCTCAATATATTGTAGACATGCTGGCAGTTGGAACACCATACTGTCAAAAATCTCAAAAATTTACAAAAATCTGAAAATATACAGTTCAGTATGCTTAGAATATAAACAGCAAACAATGCAGACACGAAACTAGTTTCCACAAATCCTGCAACATGTTTCCCAAGAAACACTATTGTTGTGAAAATAATGACTAATGTTTATTATCTTATGACTTGCATATGCCAAGAACAATGGATCAAAAGCAATGATCAGTAAATGCAATATATGCGTACAAGTTGGCACAACTGTTATTATATCGATGTATGAATTCGAATACGAAAAATTCCCATAGGAAGTGTAATAAAAAAGCATACTTTAAATGGTATGATCATCATGTGTTGTTGTCCTTTGGAAAAAAATAAAAATAGGATTCCAGCTAATGAAACCCCACAATACATACGTATATATTATTCATTTTTATTGAGACTTGCTTTCTCATCTATAATATACGAATATACAATATACATTTTTGTTTTTTTGTGACTTATAGCCAGGGTTGCCATATTGTGCTTATTTTTGTGTTGCGTGCTTATTTTGTCTTAGAAATGTGGATGACTAGTAGACAACTAGTAAGCGTAACCATGAGTTCTGTTTCGAATATGAAAAGGAATTTGCTAATAACTACTACTATTGCGACATTAAGAAAGGGGGAGGAAATCAGTAATCAGTGTCCCCAATACTACCACAACACATAATAAGCATTGCGGGAAACCAAAGTATTATTTCAGGGGTCGGCCACCTACGGGCCATATCCGACCCGCGAACAAAAATAATCCGGCCCGCAATGCTTCACTGAACCTACGGATCGTTGTTATGTTGCTCTTGTTCTCCATTGTTAATTCTTTTTCCTATCGTTATAAAAAAATCGCTTTTGTTTTAAATTACTGAACCAATATAAAACTTTCCGTTCGGAGAACTAGGATTGGTGATAGGCTAGAAAATGTTCTGATTTTGGTTTTATCCAGTGTGTCACCTGATTTTGAAAAGGTATCAAACGTAATGCAACAAATAGTGTTAGTGTTACATTAAATGGTATTTGTAAATATTTTGCACGACTTGAGTCCACGTGTTGTCGCAGTGTTCGCTCGCTAATTAAAGTCTAGAACTTCAATTTCTAATCTGTGTAAATAATGTGGTTCATCAGCCACCTGTTCAGTTTTTAATTTTCTTGAAAAAATATGTGCGGCCCGCCAAGATTCGTAACACTTGATTTTGGCCCGCAAGCAACAAAAAGTTCCCTCTGCTTTAGAGATTGCGTGTGGCAGTAACTCCATAGCTTTTTGCAATTTCGGAGCTGCTTACAAGCGTGTTCGCAGCGACTTCTAATGATCAAAATTGGAAGACTCGTGTATGATCTCCTTCTTTACGCCCGTGCTTATTTTTGGCTCTGGGTAGATGGCAACCCTGCTTATAGCCAAGCAACTGAATTTAAACAAATTTTAAGATGGATTTATTTTTATTTATGCTGTTGAAAGTCGGTCCCTTCCAAAGAGTCTTGCAGTTTAATAAGAAAATCTAGTTTGTATCATGTTTCTATCAATTATTTTATGCACCATGTCTGCGGAGGCAAAAAAACAAATGCATAACAGTCAAACAATTATACAAATCACAGTCAATTTATTTTAAATTGATGTAGTCTTCGTGAACATAAACTAGTTAAGGTCTTTGCCCCTTGCAGAGAACAAGGGCGGACAAAAACTGTGCTGGTGACTCATAGCATCCTTGAAACTGAAACAAGTGTTGGTCTATATATAGATGATTACCAGACATAACATTGAAGTTGACTTGCAAATATGCATCTTGAATATACAAGAAGTATTTTGGTAATGACAGAGAACTGGTAAATAGATATACTGTGAATCCCACAAAATGTGTAACGGCATAAGCACAGAATTATTTAGCTACATCGTCTGATTCAAATATATGATCAGAAATGAACAAAATACCTGACCCACATCAATATGGGAAAACAATCATTTGATCAGAATCAAGGTAAATAAGCAGGAAAATTGTGGCATTCACATTTTTGTTGTAGAGCACTAATTAAATCCATTCCTCAATATAGTGAAATTTCAATCACTGAATCTTTGACAATCACATTTCAGTGTCATTTTAATAATCTCTGCATGGTCTCTTATTTATTGCGGGAGATCACTTCAACTCAATAAAGCGATACGGTACAATGAAACTGGCAGAAATATCATGCTTTTGTCAACTTTTTCGGGAACTAGTGTATAACACTAGACCTGAAAGTTATTAATTATTAGTCTATACAAAATTGAAAATTAAATACTATATTACTCACATAATGTCTTGAATTGAGTTTATTCTCAGGCGGAGATTTTCTCAACCAACCACTAAGCATTACACCACCTCCACTCATCTTGGGAGCTTGTTTTTCAACTCTTCTCAAGTATATTTCCAATATAATTGATCATCAAAAATTAACTTCCTTTGACATAAATATAGTCAAGGACTTTGTAGAACACCGAATAGCTCTTCCTTTCTATTACCAGACATTATATAAACCAAATGCAATGTCAGTCAATTGTTTGTTTCAATCATCAGATGTCAGTAGTCTATCTATAAGCCTATCTCAATATATGTCCCTATAAAATATTGGATTAGTCTCAATTATTCATGACATTGACAGACTCAGAGATTGATAAAATATGCCAAAACCTTGGTGAATAAAAAAAATTATCATGAATATAGGCTAATAGTTTGAAACCAGTTTACTTATAACTGCATAATGTAGATCTAAATCGTAGGGTGATATTTAAAAACAAAAATGTGATGCATAAGTTACGGTATTAATACAGAAATATGAACTGAGTGCATTTTTGATTATAAAGGCAATTTGCAAAACTACCTACTGACCTATTGTAACAATATTGGTTAATTCAGTTACTTAAAGTCTGCACCAAGCCGTAAGAAAATAGAAAGTAAGTTTTAGGGTAAAGTAACAGATCTGAAGGGTGACCGTACATTTGAACCCATGTACATTTGAACCCATGTGTATATCCGCGGGTTCAATCAATATGCGGATGCTAAAACCCATGGGTTAGGTTAGTATGGGTACAAATATCCGTAAAACCAAAAAATATTCCATAGGTGCAATGGCATGCAGTTGCAATTGTCGTGGGTTCAAATGTACGTGGGTTCAAATGTAATGGAACCGATCTGAAGACGCCCAAAGAGTAGGCAAAGCTTCTTGCATAATGTCCAAGAATTTGTCGCTAGCATAACATTTGCCGTATACTCATAAATACCTATACGGTCGAATCCTAGAAAATCTACAACACCATAAAACACAGCAACAGTTTCCTATAGCCTATCTGCACATTCTCAGCAATCATGAACTCAATCGTTTGCGAAAATAAGGGTTAAAGTCTGCGAGAACGAGCTAGACGCCAATGAACGTAAATTGACAAGAAACGAGTAATATAAAAAGCTCTTTCGTGTCACCTTACGGACACATAAACAAGGGAAAAAATTCATTCTACAGACAGTTTGTGCTTTTCTTTAAAAAGTGTAAATTTCATTGGCATGTGTTGTAATTATTGTTGGAATATGTTTTTCTCTAATAATACAGTATTTGAAACTGAATCAAATAAAAAAAAAAACATTGTTAACCAAAAAAAATCGTTAAAAATCACAATCACCACAATCGATCAGCTGACCGGCGTATTGTCAACTTCAGGAGCGTGGTCTCTGTTTTCTATCTGTGTCGCGGTTTTTGTTTTGTTTCTGCTGTCACTGGGTTTGATATGTATTAATAATTGTTTATCCAACTGTTTTAATTTTCCTCAATTACCGTAATTGGAACGCAATACATGCAATTGGTTTCCAAAAAACAAAAACAAAAAATAAAATTATATAAAACAAAAACTGAAAATTTAATTGGCTTCAAAAACATAATTAAATAATTCCATATTGGCTCTGGAATTGAATTTGGCAAAAAAAAAAAAAAAAAAAAAAAGGTAGGCTACCGTTCGTATTTAATAATACTGTAATAACAGAATAACTGGTATTCAATCTCAGAATCTTCTAACGATGGAGTTTATAAGGATACCCAAGGTGAGTGACCATTGTCTTCAATTGTGCGGATTGTTTCAGTGTTCATTATGTCAAGAATGTTGTATTCTCAAAATTATATAATGTAAAAGGATGGACTATTTTGGAACTTTATTTTTTGTATATTGATCATAATACCACCTTTGTATTCTTAATCATTTCACTATTAGTAAACATGTATATTGGTATATTGCTTTCACAAACTTTTGAACTTTGGTACTGTGGTAAGCGAATGAGATATTTAATATTTCACAAATATCATTACAGCATTAAGGCTAAGCTATAAAATATACTTTTCAACCCTCAAGATAAGTATCTCTAACTCTTACAGGTTGAAAGGGTCAAACTGATTGATAATCAAGCAGGTTCCAGTGTCAGACGCGGAACTGATGGAACATTGTTTTTGACAGCAACACATTTGATATTCGTAAACTCTGAAAGAACCAGAGAAACATGGATTGTACACACTCATATCAATTCAGTTGAGAAGCTCAGCCTTTCTACTGCAGGATCTCCCCTTGTTATAAGGTTGATATTTTTAAATATCAACTCTTCAAATGTCAAATTTGTCTCAGGGAGGCGAAAAGCTGATAATATGGCTTAATAATATGATGCGCATACCAGCAGTATAAAGATTCATTCGAGCATTCAATCCATGTGTATCCTATATAGATATTAAAACTAGAGTATGTCCGTAATGGGATTAAATCAAAAGATTTAGTGAAATTGGAAAAGTGTATACAACAGTGTCTTTATAATAATAACTCCTATCTGTATTCGGTTCAAATGTCTGTGTGATAAAATGATAGATTTAAGGACAAGAGCCATAGACAGTTTTATACAATACTCTATTATGCAAGCTTATAACTAGACTTGAGGATAATTATATTAATGACATGTAAAAATTTCAGGTGCAAGACTTTTCAAGTTTTTACTTTTATGGTAGCTGAAGAAAGAGATTGCCATGACTTATATAATTCTTTGTTGAAACTTTCTAAACCAAGTGAGTATGATCATATAAGAACTGTTAGTAATATATTGTCATTGATTGTTCTATTTTATATATATATATAATTGATAACATCAGAAAAGTATTAATTCATATAATTCATATGTATTCTATTATATCTGAGAACATTTCATAAAGTCAACTTTCTAAACCTATTTTTAGTTTTATTTTTTAATTTAAAAGTATCAAAATTGCATACCAAAATTCTGTCTAATTTATACCTAAAATAGATTAATCATTATGTCAACAAACACACAATTAATTAAACATCCTTTCTAATGATTAATAAATTGGGCCCAAAGGCCTAGCAATTATTAAAGTGACAGACAACCGTATTGACATACCAGGTTACACTTCCGAGGTTCAAATTCGATGCCTACAATCCTTTGGGGTCTAATAAGTTGGGTAAACATTGCCGAACTGGGAATTTTTCGGTCTAAAAATATTAGCTCACAGGCCTTGTTCAGAGTAGAACATGCTTTGAGATAAAAGTCGGGTGTTTGGAATTTACATAAATAATGATAAGGAGACTTATGAAGGTGTAAATACGAAATTTCAAATTTGTTTATAGGCTTCTTTAGCATTTGAAAGCTGATATCAGACTTTAATAACAATTCTTTCATCTAACGTACAATTTTCCTACTTTATAATCTGTAGTGCAAATCAAAGAGCTCTACGCATTCTCATACAACCCTCGTGGCAATGAAAAACAGAATGAAGGATGGGATATGTTTAAACTTGATGTTGAATTCATGAGAATGGGATTACCTACAAAATATTGGAAAACTACTGATATTAATAAAGATTTCAGTAAGATTTTTGATTTTTAGAAAACCAACTGAATTATATTTTTCATTTTATTTCATAATTTAATTTATTTAGCTGAGGAATAGTATGCATTTTGCTTGTTTTGTTTTAGTTTAAAGATTGTTTATTTGTTGGCCACACTTTCACAGTAAATATATTTATTTTAAATATTTAAATGGAACTAATTTCAGTTTTTCTTGAACTCCATTATCAAGGCATCATTGATTGACTTTCTGAGATTGCAAAAGAACTAAAAACGTAACTCTCAAAATACTCTCAAAAACTGTTTTATGTCAGAAATTTGAATCAAAAATTTATGTAAAGTTTACCTTCTGCTCGACTGGACTGTATATTCTGTTCAGAGCTCTGCTATACTTATCCACAATTATTATGTGTGCCAACTGCTGCCACTGATTCACTCTTACATGGCAGTGCTGCATTCCGAAGTAAAGGAAGACTTCCAGTACTTTCATATTTACATGAAAACGGGGCTGCAATTTCAAGGTAATTGTACTTTTCAATCTGGTAATTTTACCCAGCGCTAGGGAGCTGATTTAAAATCGCTTCGCATTTTAGCCCAGGATGCCATAGGCATTGATGTTTTGATATGACCACTATTCACTACTATGAAACTCTAGTCCAAATGCAGTGGGGCATACATGGCAGTGGGGTTCGGAACCATGATATAAGTGTTTCAAATGAATAATATGATAAATTGAATATAAAAAAATATAAGTTGTGAAGAATAAATTTTATTATTTGTATGAAGTAGGAGAAAATTATAAATTTGAAAAGAAACTGAATGGTAGCGCCCAGACTCCCATAATCCTCTATTGATTGTGAGAGTCAGTTCGATGATCAGTGCATCTTATAGGCTATTGCTGAATTAATTTATTGACTTTCTGAAATAAAAATGACACAATGCAGGAACGACCTATATTTTTTCCGTATCTGGGATAAATTTTGATATATCTTATTCAATTCCTTACATCAGTGGTTCCTAACTTTTTCGATGCATTCTTCCCTTTGCATTATTTGAATATTTTTATTCCTAAGTCACTATGCATAAAAACTCTACTTTATTTGATCCATCTTCAACGGCTCCTTAACTAGTTTTATTAAGCACACTTGCACTCAGACTTTTAAATAGTTTGAATAATGTATAATGAGTTCTCTTATATATACATAAAAAAATAATAAATAACTAAAAAATTGTAGTAAAAAAACTACACAAAATACACAAAGTAATATTTCCTACCCCAAAACAAGCCCTCTTGGTTATTTATAACAGCCTTCATTTCACCAGCAAAAGATAACATTATTTTCCTACTTTTGTACACAGGTGTAGTCAACCATTATCAGGTTTGAATTCAAGATCTCAGGATGATGAGGGATATGTTAATTTAATTCGAATTTCAAAACCAAATAAAGATGATTTCATGTATATTGTGGATACAAGACCAAGAGTAAGTTGAACTCTTTTGAAGCATTTGTGAATTCTGTTTAGGCCTGTGCTTCTGAACCGAGCGTGTTGTACACTCCATTGATAAGGATTTTAAGATTAGGGTTTTCATTTCAGGGATTGGGAAAGAAGATAAGACAACTAAATTGACGGCCTCTCCCCCATTTATCAATCAATTTCTGGTATGAAAATACCCAACCGATTATTCACTTCGACCAGCCGTTACATGAACCATCCCAGACACCGCGAAGTCCAACTGTCCTCTCCCACATAATTTTCGTTCTTGTCGGATGTGAAATGGGTGGGCTGTACCAGACTTTGAGTAAGGGCAGTGTACCATTCCAAAAATGGTTGACAGGCTAATTTTTCCAGTTTCTGATATATTATTTTCGAAACTAATTTCAAATCGGGATGTTCCGATTATCCGAAGTATTTTCAAAAATTAAATAAAATTGGCATTGATTCGAATTGTTTTGGTTCGAAATTCTGAAACTTCTGAACCGAACTTACTATTTATATTGTCTATTATTGTGATCAATTACTCCAGATCAATGCTGTTGCAAATCGAGCACAAGGAAAAGGTTATGAAAATATGGATTTTTATGATAATATTAAATATCATTTTCTCGGGATCGACAATATTCATGTGATGAGAGGAAGCCTTTCAAAACTACTTGAAGGTATATATTCTAACATGGTATACTAATAAATATACAAATTAAGGCTGGTAATACTTTCTCTATCTTTCGTTTTCTTATAACACTGTATGATATAATATAACAGGATATCTTTGTGCTGGTATTACTCATCTCTGAGTGCCATCAGTGTTTTAAATTTTATTAAGTTTGCTTTTCTGTTTCATCTTGTTTTAGAATTTTCTACTCTTTGGCCAATTATATCAGTTGTATAAAACCGGTGATTTAATAAATCAATCAACTCACAGTACAACATTTTTAAATTTTTTCACCGGTACTATTTGCACCAGCGTCTAGCAGTTTTCAAACTTTCATGATCCCCAGGGCCTTTCATGAGGGCCTTTCATGATCCAGGGCCCTTCGTTCAAAGACGTCCTACTGCTATTCTATACAAATATCTAGTTTTTCTCCAACTTATTTACATCAGTTATTTTATGTGCCATGTTTAAAAATCAAAGACGACAAATAGAAATAAAAATAAATGCATCACAGTCAAAAAAATGAGCAAATCAAAGTCAATTTTTTTCAAACGAATGTAGTCATTTCCAATGGCACCAAGTCAAGGCCAACCCTTATTTGCACTTTCAGTTAAGGACAATATGGTCAGACTCTTTTTGAGCATACTCGTATTAAATGTAATTTTTCTTGCTACATTGAACTTTTTTACAGTTTGTTCAGATACAAGGCTATCCATGAGTTCATTCTTAGAAGGAGTTAACAGCAGTGGATGGTTGAAACATGTTCACAATGTATTACAAGTATCAAGATTTATTGCTAATGTAAGTTATTTGGCGATGTGAAAAATTGACAATTGGGAAATTGTAACGGGATCCACTGTGTATGCAGAATATCTAACTCAGTTTTCTTGTTGGATTTTTACTACGCAATGTCAATTCTCCCTTTGTATGATATAGTAATGTTGTTATGCCATATGGTGAAGTGCTGCAGGCTATTTTGGTATTCTGAAGTACAGTCGTGTTATTGCGTCATTAGTTAATAGCCCTTTGTCTAATCTCTTGTGAAGTGGGGTTGCTTCATTGACTCAATGTATAATAATAAACGTGAAATTTTGTACGTGTTTATGGGTTGTTTTGATTTCGCCATCAATAACAACAATTGTACTAGTAATGTTTATATTGGGCTAAAATGTTAATTAAGAGTGGCGATAGAAATTTTCCTATTTTGCTACTTTACCGTAATTTTATAACATCTCTTGTTAATTATGACTCAAATTACGCATTTTCTATGTTTTTTCATTTTGGTTTATGATTTGAAGTGCTGAAAGGTATATTTATCAAGCTATATATATCCAAGCTTTATTGGGTGTTCTTTTTTGTATCTTCAAGCATGCGATTATTTATTTGTCTACCATGTCGTTTCTGAGAATCAAAGAGCAATATCTATTGTTCTTAACTAATGCGGCTGACTGTCCATAAATTTTTTAATTGTTTCAGCGAAAATGGAAAAAACTTTTTTTTGTGTGTGATTGCACCCAAGAATTTAAGTATTCGAGGTCACTTTGAACAAGAGTTCTTTCTAGAATACGTTTTAATCAATGGTTCCCAATCCCAAATTCTTGAAAAAATTAATTTTGTAAAATCTCGTGGTCAAAGGATATGCTCAAATACTAAACAGCATGTATTGCTTTTAAGCCCAAAATTGAATGACCAATATAAAACAATCATTTTTACATCAGATTTATAGTCTCAGAGTGAGAAAGCTGTGCTTGTTTTCATCAGTTTTTGAAATCGCAACGTGGCTTTACTTGAGCAAAATAGATGCTGTCAAGTTTTAACATTGTGATACTTCCCACATGCCACATATACAATTGTTATTGAGCAATCCTCGATTCCAAATATGAACTAACATAAAAATTTACTGGAAAATAAAATGAATAACTTTTAGGTTTTTGTTAGAAAAAAAGGCGACCCGGTAAGATTTTCAGGCGACCCAGTTTTGGGTCGCAACCTATAGGTTGGAAAACACTGTTCTAAATGGCCTGTGTTCTTTATTTTTGTCTCTGTGTATAGACTTTTTTATTTGTTCACACCCTTTTTCTTATTTTAATTCAGGCTATTGGAAATGAAGGTAGAAGCGTTCTTGTTCATTGTAGTGACGGATGGGATCGAACTGCTCAAACATGTTCATTGGCTGCTATAATGCTCAATCCTCATTACAGAACTATTGAAGGATTTCTAGCATTAATACAAAAAGAATGGCTGTCTTTTGGACATAAATTTACTCACAGGTAATATTTTATTTTTTTAATTTGAAGAACTAATATAGAAAACCCTAAATTCCAAATCTGCCTATTTGTGGTTTAAAATGGCATTATTTTAAAATTGTTTTGACATTTGTGCATGCTAACTCTGGTACTTTTAGCCTACATGTTGCTAATAATGAATGAATATGTGTTTATAAATATGTACTTTGATTGTATTGTAATATATATTCTTCTACAAGTTTATAAACCCTGTATTTTATGATGATTGATTTTTTATCACTAAACCAGGGGGAATATTAATCTGTCTTTGCATAGGTAGTATCATAACATTTTCCTGTGGGTGGCAAAGAATATTTCCGTGTAGAAATTCAATTTTACCTATTATGCCTCTATTTTCAATATTAAGGCTTGGCCACCTTGAAGGTGATCCTAAAGAGACTTCACCAGTCTTCACTCAGTTCATTGATGCTGTATGGCAATTAATGAGATACAGACCAGCCGCGTTCCAGTTTAATGAAACCTTGTTGCTGGACCTTCACGATCATGCCATGTCTTGCCAGTTCGGAACTTTCATCGGCAATTGTGAACGAGAAAGACTACAATATGAGTGAGACCATTTTGTCATTTTCATGTGGTTTATTTTATTTTTATGAATTTATTTTGGGGCTCTGTAAATAATAGTCAACCTCTTAGCGGGCTCCATAACACTAAAAGTTAGAGAACCCCTGAACTGAAATCTATTGATGCCAAGGCTAATATGTTTCAACATTCATCACAACCATTTGTCCATCATGATTCATGACATGTTCAAAAAACTTAAGATTGGAAAAATTATATTTTATATTTTGTTATTAAATAATATAACTGGCTTCTTCCTTTAGTCAATGTATTGTCAGCAACATGTTTCTCAAGTTCCTTATATGACTCATTTTTTTATACTTATATAAGTAACATATTAGTTGGAAACCATCATTGTTGCTGTATGACATCAGTTTCATACAAATATACATTATATGAGGTTGAGAAACTCTTTTCATGGTAATGGGTAATTCCTAGTCAAGTCATTGTTCTATGAAACCCAGTTTTTTGTATTACCTCATATGATACTGTATTGAATAAAAAAGCTTGCTCTGTCGATATAGTATATCTGTCAGATAAATTTTAAGTCAAAATTCATCAGTATTTTTTTCGGAGTTCAAACCTGTTTTTTCAATGTTCTCGATTTTGCCCGCTGAGACCTGATGTACCTAATGTGTGTATGAATAAAAACCCAATCAATAATACTGTGTGCCTAGATATATTGAAATCATTTTTTTATTTTATTACTAATCGCCTCTCTTATTACTTCTTATCATATTAACAGTTTAGCTAACAAAACCCATTCATTATGGGGCTGGATGTGGAAAAGACTGAATTTGTATGGAAATCCATTATACAGTGCTGCGGAACGACATCAGAAACAAAACCAACAATTATTGCTGCCATCTACTTGTCCTCATGCCATCAGGTTTTGGAGAGGAATGTACAACAGGTATTGTAACTTTGAATCTCAGTGAAATGAGACTTCTGGACTTGCTGGTTGGGTGTCATCTGACAGTTGGCCGTGATCTAATTCTTTACAATCTGTATTTTAGAGTCGTTTGTGAATTTCCATTCAGGTACACAACCATAGTCAACACATTCAATACGAATCCTGGAGAATAATGGAACTAATAGTTGCTGAGTTAGAATTATTTTAACTCTTTTTTTTTTTTTGGCAAAATTGTTTTTGGCAAAACTATTTCTGATATATTATTGCTATCAATGCACATGCCCTTATTTCAATTGCTATTGCAATTCATTTCATTTGGATTTTTTATTGAATTAGTTCATAAATTAATTTTTATTCAAACAGAACTAAAACCGATTTAATAATTGTCAAATTTAGCTTAGCCAATATCATAGCTACCTGCTGAATAAATTTAGACCGGTGATTCAATATTTCAGAATACGGACTTCATTTTTTTATCTTTATTCTATATTTATAAATGATTCATATACTTTGTAATACTTAGACTAGTCATTTATTCGATTTGAAGTATATATGATTTTACATTATGAAAATTTTATTCAAAATTACAATAATGTTTCATCATTAGGTAGTTACTTATCACTTCATTTGAATGATCCGGCTCTACAAGTTACGCTTTTTCTAATGCTGTTTTTAATATTGTCTGATCAGCTTTGTAGCTGCGACGACTTTTGCTCAGAGGATGGCCCTGTACTACCAGACACTTTCATTTTAGGAGTCACTATTTTTGAATGGGCCATAATTTTCTCAGCTAGGCCTTGCCTACCCAATCTATTACCCCCCTGGGTGAGTCAGGTGATGGCCATGGGTGAATACTTTGGGCACCAGGCCATCGTACTCTACCCACTCCATAATATCGACTTGTCAAATTTAGGTACGATGCTGGTCTTCATCCTCGTGAAAGTATTAATGAAGCGCTTTCTGCCATTACGAATGAAAATACATTATTACAAGATACTGTCAAACTACTTCATAAAAGACTTGAAGAGCTTGGATTGGACGCAGACAAAATAATAGAAGAATGTAAACAGAATGGTAATACTATAACTAGATAGCTTCATTTGGAATTAGTAACATTAATATTTGGGATTAAAAAAGATTCTAAATTGTTGAATTATAGAAAATCATTTTTGTGAAATTAAACCCGATTATATTGGAATTAAATTTTCTAATTCAGACCTAAAAACAGAGACACTGTGATGTAGATTCTCTATTTTTTGGGTTAGGAGACGCTGTGATGTAGGTTTTGGACCATAATTTTTCCTGTTCTGCATTTGCTACCCTTTAACATTGCTTACACCCAAGGTCTTGATGTCGCTGGCAACAACATGGGGCGTTAACCACAAAATCTGTATCCTGCGAAGCCCATGTATTTCCTAAGCTCTAACCATAACACCCCTAATGTAGCAATTAATTTTATGACATAAAGTTAGCCAAATTTAAACAGCACTCTACTGTGAGTCCCCTGTAAATGAACAGAATATCTTGTTAGCTGTAACCATACTCGAATTGACTGCTACGTGGATAAAGGTCTTCATATGCCGTATGTTTGAGGCATCTTGACTTTTTCCTTCCACGAAATATGTATTAAAGTTTGTGCCAACAATTAACAATAAATTTTGGAACAATGACAGAGTAAAAGCATCAGATGGAACTTTTTGTGAGTTTTAATATTCAGCATGAACCAATTTCTTACAATAATACAAAATTTTGAAACCAATATATTTTGTGATCAATAAATTCCAATAATCAATCAAATCAAATCAAAATTTTGGAATAATCCTCTTCAATGACAAATTAATTCGGTTATTTCTTGTTTATATATAAATTGACAATAAGACTGAGTAAGGATGGCAAAGTTCGAATAACACAATAAATATTCAACAAAAAATTAATAGACCTCAATGTTTATTTAATGATTTTGAAATGTGAAAACCTATTATAGAAAATGATAGGTCGTCTATTTTTACAGTTTCAAAAAATAAACAAGAGCCATTTTCAAAGGCATCAAAATTATTCTTTTCCAAACAAGATTAATCTGAATTATTTCTAAAACCAAGAATTTTGATATTTCAAATACAATAAATTTTGATTCAAATATTTCATTAATTGGAAGACCACAAATGAGTATGGGTATCTTCTACAGGTACTTAGTAATATATTAGGTAAACCAGTAAATTACAAGCAATATGAAAAGATCCCAATATTTTGCATGATTTCGGCTGTTTTTCTAAAACATCCATAACACATTTCTTAAATGTTGATTCTGATTCATTTATCTAACACAAGCCTTCTGCATGAAAAAGTCTTCATAAAAGAAAATGAAGGTTGAAAGATTCTATAATGAAAATCTATTGATGCAATGGGTTCTTTCGGTATAATAGCAATTCATTATTATCATAGGTATGAACTCTTTAAACGGTAATTCGGTTTACAGCTACTTGCGTAAAATCTTCTTTTTACTGATTGTTATGGCTGAATACAGAGACATCTAACTCTGTATTATTTTAGTGATAATTTATCGTTTTTTTTTTTGCAAATCATAAGTGGTTAAAATGGGAATGTTTTTTATAATTTTCTCCTGTGGTGTTACGCTTGTTCACTTGTCTTCTGGAAATTTGTGAAACTCTCCAATAGTTATGATGATGGTTTGATGTTTTTAATTGCTGAATGTGGTAAAGAGAACAAATATTGACGTAGAGATAAACCTATTTTTTTCTGGAATCGAAATAATTGTTTTGGAATCCCCAGAATCTGAAATCATATTCCTAGCTGGGGTTGGAATTTTGTTTATTCGAGATTAATGCTTGCCAGCGATTTATATAGTATATTTACCTATGGCCTTACTTACTCAACTTATTATACTCTGGGTAAGGTGGGGGGCTTTAATCTACAATACCATCAAGGTTATGTCAAATGCTCCAACAACTGGGCTAGCGCAGTGTCCCATACATCTTGCGCAACAAAATAAAAGTACTTGCCGCATTAATCGAACGCTGTTATTTTATTTGTAACTGTAACCTACCTGTAACTTTAGATGCAAATCAAGAAGAAGAAATCAGCACATTTAGAAATGATTCAACGCCTGACACTCCCTCCTCACCATCACCTGTGTTAATACCCGCCAGCGCACGTCTCAAACCCCAAAGACCCGCCCCTCCTCCCCCAGTTTCAAGACAAATTATTCTTTCTGATGACATGGATGACAATTCCAATACGAACACAGACACTGTAAAGGTTGGAATTGAGAAAAATCGAATCAGTGGTGGACTTACAGTGTCGTTTTCAGCTAAAAACCTAATTGACCAAGATGATGACGGTTATGGTTTAGAACCAAATGAAACTGTTAAAAGTAAAAATGGAGTCAAAACAAGTGACAGTTGGGAAATGGTGAAGGAGGGTTAATTTTAAATTCACTGTGTTTTTTTCAAAGTATTGGTAACATTTGAATATAGAAAATATGATGTTACCACAGCATGAGGTTTATCGGTATATGATACCTTAATGCAGTGGTGTTGCTTGTTTTTCTGGGATGATTTATTAATAGTTGAAACGAGACGGTGAACACAAAATGGTCGCAAAAATGATGTTTGAGATTGGACTGGCTATGCACCACAAAGTTAGTTCTCTTTATATTCTTATCGTAAGATCTACCGCTGCATTTAGGTTTAATATAGCGGTAACCCTTGGGCTATATTAGCCCTGAAAATATTTTCCAAAAATTCCAGATAAAGACTTTTGATCTCGTGGTGGAATTCTCTGCATCATATCCCAACTCAAAATGTTGCATGATATTGGTAAAATTACCTCAATTTCGTGTTATTTTAAAATGATGTTGAATGCAAAACAGTATAATTTGGGTGTTGTATACTTCATTCTCGTATTAAAACATTTTATCTCATTGGTCATATATAGAAATAAGGATGATAATTGAACTTAAGCAGCTTCATAGTTCTAATTGAAAACACTGAGCCTTTTTTATTGTATTAGCAAGTAGTGGATTCAAATCTATAATGTGACTAATTTTGTATCTGCATTTTTTGTACCTCAATTATGTTTTGATAATTGTCTGCAGATTCTTATTGAGTTGGAATTTTATATTTCATTTTTGAACATATATATATGTATTTTAACCAGTTCCTAACTGAATCATTGCGCTTTTTCAACGTACTGAGTGTCGATACGATAGTATGTGATTTACTTGCACAGAATGTTGTATTGATTATCTTCAATTAGGGAGTGATAATGGTGACATTCTAATTGGTTTTCAGTTTTAAAATGAACAGTATACAGTATATAACTCCATTTCCTAACTAAGAAACCATTCGATAAACTTAGAAGAACTATATTATGAATTGGTTATATGCATCATGACCATGAGTGATTTGAAATATAATTTTTATATACAAGAAGTACCTACAGCTGCTAAACTAAACCTTATTTTGGGTTTATCGATTCGGCTATTTCCATACTTGGGGTTTATCAAAATATTTAATTTTAATGTTTGTTCTTGAAAACCTAAAATAAACATTGTTGAACTTTAATTTTTGTACAAACTTCTACTATGGTCACCAGTTCCTAACCTTACACTTGTTTCTAATCACTTCTTACCAGATTATCCTCTCACGCTTTTACCCAAGCAATAATTGTTCGCCCATTTACTTACTGAACAAAGACCGTTCTATATCACACATTGACACTTTCCATTGTCCATTTAAGATTTTTCTGATCAAGTTGTATGACAATTTGTGTGTTTGGATTTGAATTATGGGTAATTTGTCATGTGTACGAGAGGTTCATAAGGTGTAGATTTTATCACAGGATACTCAAAATTGGATTTTCATTTATCTATAAAATGATAGTTTCGTCATTTCTTGTCCCTTGCTCTGAACAAGAGATGTTGCCACCGATCCTATGTTTTTTGATTTGTCCACCAAATTCATTCAGAAAAACCAAATTAATATGTTATATATCAAAACTAAACAGATCTTTTCGCTTACGGGCAAGATTTTATTTAAATTACAATTGAAATATGTTGAAAATATTGCAGGAGTTATTTCTATTTCTAATCATTTGAAACTCTATTGATAATAACTAAAGCTAATTTTTATGTTGACTTATTCATTATTACCAATTTGAATCTTCTTGATAACGCATTGTTTGGAATGAAAAACTATACTTTGACTACTTATTGTGTTTGTTTGTATTTTTTTCTTCCTAGAATAATTTTTAGTGCAATGATTTTTGTTTTGCTATTCTTGATTCATTCTGTAAACATTATTATCCTCTCAATAAAATATTTCCAAGCGCGTTTTCAAACCATTGGATACTGTCGCTAACACTGTTTCCAATTAGCGCATAATTGACACCAGATTTATTCATGTTGAGTTTATGTAAGCACAACTGGTGTAACTTCCCAGCTTTTCAAATTTCTATACAAAAATACCTATATGGTAAAGACAACCAACATCGTTTTTACAGTAATGAACAGGACAATTTCTCTATTGCTAATATTAATAATCCATTGCTAATATTAGTTGTGCTCTATTTATCCTAACTGTTTCCAATTATTGCCGTGTTGAAAACTTTGACAGTGTATCCCAGGCCTTGTGTTGGTCGGTTATTCTCGATTTTGATTGATTTGAATTTTGATTGTTACTTGTACTAATTTTGTATTTCAAATATACTGCATTGACAGTGACCAATAAAATATGGATGGGAATTGTTTGTTGTGGGCTTTATTTAAGAATAATTCTCATTACATAAACTTCAGAATTTATGCCAATTTAGGGATGTAAATTATTCTTATGTCTTTGTCATATGGCTTTATAGAGCTCTGTATGGTTTTAAACATAGGAAAACCTACTTGCTTTGAAGTCTTGCAGCGTTTTTAGGATTAGTTTGACGACCCATTGTATTAGAAATGTAAACTACAGACCACAGTCTTCATTTATTGTGGAAAGCAGCTGAAGGACAAAATGACACAATTGAAGAAAATAATGGCACTTTGAGTGAAACTATTAATTCACACTTCTTTCATCTCGATTGTATTTTTAATCCAATCCAATGACTTCGGGACCCAGGTAAACACATTTGGCAATTGTTGTCTGCTCTTTTTGAAACAAACTCTCGGACCCCAACTTGAGAGGCCTACAATTTTCCATTGCTGCTGTGCACTTTCGCTCTGGCAGATGAGAGGACCTCCAACATCACTCTGAAATGAGTAGAATTATCATATTATGTAGGTTACGTATAAAGAGAAAAACTCCGTTGAGATAAAACTTGACAATATTTGTTTTGCTGATTTCATCCATCCAACAACAATCGTTTTGTTTGGGTGCTATTATGCTTTGGCCTGTAATAGGACGAGAGGCCGTGCTTAGCCATGTTGATTAATCCTTCACATCGACTTTCCTCACCCATATTAAAAATATAAGAATTTCATGTATCTTCTCTATTTCAGAACCCGGTAACGACGACATGGTCGGCACTTTCGGCATGGTCGATACAATTTTACAGCAATACATATAGATAGATAAAAATATTATAAAATTACTTGGCAACTACTCCGTGATCTAATCACGCCACACTCCATGTCTGGCATTATTCTTCCGTACCAGGACTTTTTGCACTTTTTATGTGGAATCAAGTCCACCGTTATATTTTGAATTGTCTCTCTATTGACTTTGCCTACAATATACAAATCATTAAATCAAAACACAATAATATTAATAATCGTGGATGTCCTTTAGGGTTAGGTAATAGGACCAGCGTTGGGTCGCAGAAGTCGTGAGTTAAGTCAGTCATTGGGCTATGTCTCACTGGCTGTTAGTCGAGTCATTTCATTTGGATGACTTGAGTCTTCGTAAAATGTGACTTTAACATTGTATAATAAAAAATGAAATCAAAAATTTTGTAAATCACATTACGCCATGAATTTGAGATGACGTAGGCCTTGTTAAACAATTCACATTGTGTAAGTTTTAGAAAGACGCAAACATAAGGCTTACTATGGCCAGACCACAAGTCAAAACATGATCAATTTTACAGAGGACGTACTGAAAAAAGTACAACGAATCAGATACAGTTTGGAGATTCTTTGGTTTTTTGAATTTTTTTTTTACCTCTGACGATATCTTTGAAATTCCAGCCCAAAAGAAGACAATTTTCTCTCTGAATTTCTTCTATTCCCGTATTAGTGAAATCCGGCAAACAGCACGGCTCTGTTGTTGTCGAGTATGATAACTGCAGTGGAAAAGAAGATAATAAACGAAGAGTAGAAATAACAATTGTAATGAATTAATGAAATAGGAATGCATGCCTTCAACAGTGCAATGTCTCGGGCCGGAAATCCATAATCACGATTGTAATCTTTATGCTTGATGACGATTTCAACATTTCTTCTCGTTTCGCCAGAAATCAAAACGTAATCTCTCCCTACGCTGCATATTCAAATTGCAATTTTTATTAAATTAATAGATATTGAACATGAAGTGTACCTACATCGTTTCGCTAAAGTGTTACTGTTGTTTGGGTGATTGTTGTTGCTATATTTACGAATAGTGCAACACTACATTGTATACGGTATAGCAGATCGCCATTTTTTCGACAAAGCCGCTGCAGTATTAATTGAATTACGGAGGATCACATCATTTTATCCCGCCTGAACACCTCGGTCACGCTTGATCGCAGATATTTTCAGCAAACTCGGTTCTCGGTTCAAACTCGGCCTGAAAGCTCAGGTGCGAATGGTATATTTGAACATTACTCCCTTGTGTTATATATACCGGTATATACATCGTTGCACCGTTTATAACTACCCATAACGAATGATGCTAATTATTAGAGTAGCTAAAGTAACTCTTCACATATTCATAGATGTATAAAAACTTATGACCAAAGTTTGATTGCTTACAGAAAGTTACACGACGCTGCTGTTAAAATCCATAGATCGGAGATCAGTATTCCACTACAGAAATGAAATCCTTTCAAACTTTGTAGAGAAATAATCCACGGCCAACTTGAAGATAGTTCTAGTCCACATGGTTCTGAAACATAACTTTTTAGTTCTGTTGTAATGGCACGATTGATTTCTTTCTCTTCGCTAAATCAATATTTCATACCAAATTAAGGAAAAAGTGATATTAGAGAAAGATGGGTAAGTGGATAACGTAGCAGGTAAAAATGTGGGGATGTAGAAACTTCGTATGAAGAAGACTTGATAAAAATCACTGTCGTGTACACCAGTTTGTACTATCTCGCTATAAAAATCGGTAGGGTTTATTTATGATACAATAAAATGGATCAGAAGAATCCCGTAACGGTGGGAAGTCAAAATCTTTTAGTAACACTGACTAGTATATACAAAAACTAATTTCTGTTTCATTTCTTTTTCCAACTTACTTCCCCGGATTGCAGTGTAGAACAGCTTAAATATGCTTGTGGACAATAGTCGTTTCTTATCACTGATGAGCACCACAGATATTTCACTTGTATTGAACACAATAAACTCGGAAAAAATTTGAGTCTGATTGGCGCTTCCACAAATGGTGACTGACGGTTCCGATTTGTCTGTAATTTTGGAGAACACATTAACAAAGACAACAAAACTATTTTGCATTCTGTAGCGTTGAGTTTTGTTTAATATAGAATATTATGTGAATTTGGTGTGGTATTGATATCATATATTAGTTTATAGAACCCCATCAAATGAGTGAATGATTACAGTTAGATTTAACCAAATGAATTAAGCCAAGATTTTGAGGATTATGGTATGATTATTACTCAATATTGAATTGCGCTTAGAAGCTATGGAATAAGGCATCATGAATGAGTGAATTACTAAGACCAAATTTAGTATTCCAATATCGAAATAAAATCTATTCATTGTGAAATAGATGAACTAAAAATCAATACTTAACCTTGTAAAGCATCAGCTGTGTCAATTCCTTCGTATATCAACAGACAATCCTCCTCATCCAAATTAATAAATGAATTTTCTGTGAGCCATACTTTAACGAACCTATCTTTATCAACAAGTACTCTGTAGTAGCAAATAATTCCTGAAATTTCAAGCAGAATATGCTCAAACCAATTAATGTTGCAAAAAAGTACCACAATGAGTTTACCTGAATTTAAACGATTCTTCATTAACGTTCCATCGTAGACAATAACATTTTCATTCTCTGTAAAAATTACATCTCTGCAACTTTTTACCCCCGGTTTTTCCCTATAAAATAAAAATTATTTTACTTTCTGGAAAAGTCTTTCACTTTCCAATAAATGCTAATACTCAATTTGAAGAGTGGGAAATTGAGCTGGGCGCAGTTTTGCTCTGATTTGGCTATAGTATACGAAAATTAGGTATCTATAAAGAAAACTTGATAGATATTTTCTACATTATAATAAAATAAAAATCTTAAATATTAGGCTTGGAATAAAGGGGTAGGCTATATTAAGAGGTATATATATTAAAATACTTGAGTTCGGCTAATACTTTCAAAATACTTTATATATAAGCTGTGTAAAAGCTTGTAGTGTGAAAAAGTGACGTAAATCAAGAATAGTGTAGGTATAAAAGAGCATCCTTGAGTTACACTACATCAAAGAATTGTGACAGTGTCGTGATTTGCTATATATATATATATATATATGTTTCAGGTTATTATTAGTAAATGAGGGAACGTGGAAACTGAAAATTGCCGTTTAACAGTATCTTCACTATTTAAGGTTCTATTAAATATCATACCTTTCAAAATATTTCATCTTTTTATTTTGAACAATATTACTGGAACTTTTCGACATTGCTGGTAGAGCTGTAGAGTATTCAGCGGTGAATCCTTTTTTGTTTTTGCCAACATCACTTATGAATTGAACTGTCATGATATTGTCCCTACTAGTGTACGTAAAGATATCGGTCGACACTCTTTTCTTCTTTCCTTTGTGACCACAGATCTCAAAATATTTGATAAATGCATGATTACCATATTCTGAACAATTTCTCAATCAATGTTATAAGGAACGGAGTTGGCTTGGAAAATTTGTTTTTGGTTGTATTCTTATGTCCAAGCATTTATTTGTTCAATTCAAATGACTTTGCTTGATAAGAACTAGCACAAAATGTAATGCATATTTTATGTAATATTCCTATACCATACTACCATGCAAATGTGATCAGATACTAAATGTAAATGTATAAGACTGCATAGATTCACAGAACACCAGAAATCGCATTTTCACAGCTGATAATATCAAAATGGTATTCACAAAAAACATTGTTTATCATCGAATGCATGTTATCTTTACCTTTGTTACTAACTGCTCTTCCACTGGGAGCTTATCATTATAAATTGCAACATAGTCAAATTTACATGAAGGTGTGTATTCAACATCAAAATTTGTAAACGTCACAGAAACCTGCAGTAAAGTAGAATTACATTACCAAACACAGTTCGATGGTTTTTAAAAAAGGCAGGATGTATGAATATCCGAGAGTTTGTTTATGCTCTCTAAGGTTCGTTGTTTTCAAGAAATAAAAATCTTCTTGGTAGAAACGGTCCAAGCTATTCTAATTGAGCTATTCTGATTAATCTTTCATCAAGTGATTTCCACTAGACCAGCGTTTCCCAACCTTTTTTGGTCGCGGACTATTTTCTCACCGACGAATATCTTTGCGGAATCGAGGTGCATTCATTGCAACCGTACTCTGTGTAAAGCAGCAATAAAACCAAACACAACAGAAATTTAACGAATTTCAAAATCGAAAATTCGCCGCAATTACGCGTTCGTTGAAAGAGCCGACATTTTTGGTGTATAATGAATTTTTCTGTCGCGCAGTATTCATTCCATGACAACGACGATGATTTAAAATGTATTTCTATTTTAATTTAATTGTGTTCATCATGGTAACTCGCGGTTGCGTCGACTTACGACAGGATGAAAGCAGTATTTTTTTTTAAATTCCACTGCCATCTGCGAACATAATAATGAGAGAATATATTGCCTGATTATATTCAGCTTTGATACATATTTTTTGCGATCTTGCGAATTTGTTATCGCTGTTAGAAAAAATCATACTATCTGCTATAAATTTCCAGAATGTACAACTTAATTTAGTTTTTATTAAAAATATATTTGAAGTATATATATATATTAGTAAATCAAAAATACATATTCATCGCCTTGAAATTCTCGCGAACAACTATACGTCACTCGTTAAAAGAGCCAACTTTTCAATGATTTTTTCTGTTGCATAAACTATTCAATCCGTTCACATGTGTGATTCTTTTAATCTGCGGTTGTGTTGACGAAATAAGAGCAATACTGCTCAGAAAATATCATGACAATCCGTGGACACAAAAATGCGTGGTAAAGTGCCCGATTATATCTTGTTTTGATTCGTATTTTTGTGAATTCGACAAATCTGTGTGAATTCGACATTACTACTGTGCGTACCAATCTGGAGGCAGTAAAGCAGAGAATCCTGAAGGAAAATGCCCTGGTACGTATACTACGGTAGCATCCGAAATTTTGCGATTTGCAATGTCTAAAAAAGCGTTTTCAATCGGTCGCGGACCGCTTTTCAATTTAGAAAATATGGGTTGCCACCATTTACACCTACCAGAAAAATTTTTTATTTCTCGTTGTTCGAACTCGCGAGAAACACCTATTACGAATCTATCGAAGCGTGTACAGACTTTTGTTTTCGTCGGAAAACCACAAGTGAGTTGTGAAATCCAATCGTTTGATTTAAGCGACTCGCAAGTGACCTGTCGCGTCACATGTTATCGAATTTTCGATTAGTAAATATGCTATTCTAATAGTTGAATATTCGAATATATGCCCAGCCCTACTCCGTAACTATTGACGCGGTTAATGTCATGTGAATAAACTGACTTTTCATGTTTTTTTTGTAAATTCTAACGCAAATCCTAACTTGGCTGATAGTTAATTAAGTTTCGCAAAAACGTTTGCGGCCCGCAGTGAATTTCTGACTCGTTGCGGACTCATTTAAACGCTCTGCGGACTCATTTGAGACCGTGGACTCGGGTTGGGAAACACTGCACTAGACAATGATAAATGAACTGCAAGTTTCTGAAAAAAAATAATTGTCACTCCCAAAAAAACTTCAGGGATATGAAAAAAGTCAAATAATCAAAAGAGACTTAAAATTGAAAAAGTAATCTTTAAACCTTTAAAACAAATTAAACCCAACGCTTCATGTCTATCAAAATACTTTAAATCAAGGGTGCAACCTTTAATACCGGAGGGCCGGATACAGAATCGGCCCTTCTCCGCGGGGTGCACAATTATTCCTTGTGGGCCGCATTTGGCCCGCAGGTTGCACACCCCTGCATTGAATAACTGCTGCCCTACATTTTATATTATATAATTTTCAAATTGTTATATATCGCTTAATTTGGGGGAACGTCCCATTTTAGTTGAACCATATAATTCCGTGTAAAACTATCTTCAAATAGTATAGAATTCACAACAATACCAGCTAACAACCCTAGAGGAATAAAACTATTTTTTAATACATCAGAACTTCAAATACCCTGTAACCGGTTTCCACGATGATAACCCAAGTACAGTCTGCATTTTTACTATACTTCCTTGGATAATTCATTGATTGAAATTTGCCGCGATCTCCTGTTAAATACATGCGCCCACCACATCCAGAATGTTGCTTAGGCATGGATCGAACTTCTGATACATCTATTGCAAAACCTATAAAATTTGAAAAAATGATGACTTAATAAATCTGTACAACGGTGTCATATTATCAACAAAAATATGACGCAATGTGAACGCCGAACGACAATTTAATTCTTCAGCATTGATCATATAAATTTTGTTAGCTTGGATTATTTTCTATGTTTTGCCATCACCTACACCTTTTCATGAACGTTTTAGTGCATATATTTAATATTCTTTGCTACGAGGCACTTTATAATACATACATTTTCATCACATTCAAATACTTGAATTGAATTTTTTATACATCTTACATTCCGAACACGGCTCTGTAAGGCACTGCTGTGTAAGGCGATACTTTATACTTTGGAAGGGCCGAAATCCTTCCGATTTGGCATTGCCTACCCAAACCATTAGATTACATTTACACCCTCTGCATCGAATTTAAACCCGCAATGCCAAACAAGGCTAAGTCCAACTACTTTTTAACCAACAAATAATCGCATCCACTGGATTGTATTTTTGAATAAAATCATTGACTGACTACCTTTTACACGAATAAGTAACGGGTGGCAAAATGAAAGTTTTGTTTCTTCAATTTTATAATCTATGGATGAATAACTAATATACTGAATCATTTTAACCTAGAACCTCACAAGTTTACGGGAAGTACATTGACGATGTGGATTTGCAATTATTGGTGTCTCTAATTCGTATGCCAGTACTATACATCGTCCTGTTCCAACATAACAAATATACCTCTCCCATTTACTGAGTCATCGGATACAAATTCAATAAGCATTGCTGTATAGCCAATGATAGCTTGGGGTGTCTTGGTCCCACACATCGGTGGATGAGTGTAATTCTCTCCATTGACTAGTTCGGTGATTTTGAGATTATCAAAAGCACAACCGGTGCTTCCTTCAATCTTCAGTTTTCTGTAGTTAATGGTTTAGAAAAATTACAATTGGTCAGGAATACATACATAAAATAAAATTACATGGATGTTATTTCGGTAATTTGGTATCAGATTAGTATTCGAGTTGCAATTCTAAAATTTAACATATTTTCTTCGAATTTTAGTTGGGTAATAACATTGAGAAAATGTAGGTTCAGTTATCAGAGCCTTGTGTTAAACCTTCGAAACACGCTTGAAAGTTTTCTGCTGGTTATCATGCATGATCGTATATCGGGGAGAGTTATTATATATATATATGCAAGCAAGAGAATCGCTGTTTTTTGTCATTAGGCGGTAGTTTGCAGACACGACTTCCACCGTCATCCATTGCGCCTATGCAACTTAAACGATAAATTATTGAGGTTTCCGATAGTGGGATTTAGGTGTTTCGTGAAACGTTACTGGAATGTCGCTTTTTTTGTTGTAGACGTTATACGACCATAGGAAAATGGGCGACGACGACTAACGTTATATATACTTGGTGTTTTTAAAGTTATTTATGAGATTCATGTAAAACGTGTCATGTTATTTAGTGCTATACTTACATTTTCGGCGTTGAGGGAACCTGTTGTTAGTGTGGCACATATGCAAGTGAACCTGTTCTCAAATATTTGAATCCCTTCATTGGGGATTTCCCCCGTACCAGACATGGATTGGAAACAGCACAAAAGTTCGTGCTGGACACATTGTCTATCCTATCGGAATTCCACTTGCATGGATAAATATGAAATTTTATATTACCTTATTTTCGACACTCTAAAGTCTAAATCTAAAGCAATGGGTGTGCAACAGGCAACCCAAAATTGTTAAGCCATTCAGTGGGGCCCTTGTCAACACTCAGATATTTCATTATCTAGAATAAAATCGTAATCCGAAAGTTTATGTTTAAAAGGACGCTCACATGGGTATATATATTTACATAATGTTTTTTGCTCCTGTCGATGCGTTAAATCTTTCGACGGTTGCCCGTTGCCTTTATTACAGTGCCGCTGGGCAATAGACGCATTTTGCATTTTTTTGTGGCCCAACTAAATGTCTGAAGTTGGGTATATGGCCCACCGACAAAAATGTTGCACACCCCTGCTCTAATACGTCTGACCAGTTTCCAGAGTCAGGTACGTTTTAGAGTTAGACGCTTGCTATGGTTAAAGATCACTGATCAATTCTGTACAGCAAACAATTTCATTGTATCTTACTTGAATTTCAACTTCAAAAATTTTTTCGATGTTGTTGATTGTACAAGCCATTTGCAATTCATACTGTTGGAATATTTTTCAGGGTAATCCGGTGATTTTATCGTTGAACGAGGCATAACATAAGTGAGTCCTGCACAGCTTGAATTCTCTTCTGCGTCCTTTATGACATATTTTGCCGTGAACCCTATTAATAATTGATTCGAAGCGTAATATACTTCCTAGTTGTATTATAAAGGCATAAAACGTGTGATATATAAAATCGCAGTAGACATAAAACCCGCCATTATAGCAGTTTTTGGGGCGCTCCGGAAGTATTCGTACCAAGATGACGCACAACCTGAACAAAACCAACCTGGTACACATACTATGGTCAGGTTGTGCGCCATCTTGGTACAAATACTTCGGGAGCACCGTTTTTGGGATAATATTATGAACTACTGACATTAAGTGCTACAAACCTTTAATCGGTCGATTTGTATTAGCTCTATAACGAATTTTAATGTCGGATTTGGCAACAAAAGTCATATTTCCAGTTCCTGGGCAACTGCAGTAAGGTCCATATCTACCACGTTTACCGAGATATCGTATAAACAGTTTCTCATATCTGCATTTTGTACGATTTGGAGATACAAACTCGCTGTTAACCAACCTGAAAGAATAGTTTAGATTTAGAACAAACTTCCATCGAAGCAAAGTAAAAAATTATTCTCAAAAATTGATCCATAAAGTTTTTTACTGTTTTTTCTCGAAGTTCATGATGGCCTAGACCCTAAAAAGTTAGAATTAGCTGTGTTGCAATCACAAGTTGCGCATCTCGGCTTCACGGATAGGCCGAACCGAAAAGATTTAGATCATTCCGAAAACAGTACGGCCCCGCATATACTTACGTATCAAAGTCTGCGTGTACAGAAGGTATGTTCGGAGGAGGGGTGGCCTAAATAAGCATCGTACCAACTAACTGTTGACATGATAGCGTCAAATTGAATTGTTTCAAATGTCGGGACAACGTTTATTCACTTACCACAACCGCAACATATCATTGCCGAATCAGAGAAGAAATCCCTAAACCTTGCGTCACAATCAAGTCGGGTCACGGCTCATCCAGATCTCAAGTTAATCACTGATTTAAATCTCAACGTAACTGATGACGAGTCCGAGTCATTCCATTTAAATGACCCAACTCGAGTTATTGATAAAAGTTGACTTGAAGGACAACTGGAGTCGAGACTAACAAGAATAACTTGAGTCTGTCCAACACTATTAGATCACATCACTGGGCTACTATTTTACTATTTTTGGTTGAAATCTAGGGATCTTGCTTAAGAAAACTTATATAGTATATTGAAATAGAATAACAGAACAAAGCATACACAAAAATTGGTACTCCCGTAGTGTGTGTACCAGGTTAGGGTTAGCGTTAGGCCATAATTTTATTCCGATTATCCTCATTTCAGTTCTATTACGAGTTTGTGGACTGTCTGTATTGATATCAAGTAGGCAAACAAAATTATTTACCTCCATATTGGTACACACACTTCTGGAGCGTCCCAAAATACTGTAAAACGGCCATTAACTATATGCCTTGTGGTTTAACAAAGAAAATTGCATATTGATAAATTAATAGAATAATTTTTACCCAAATTCGATTTCCAAATGCACCACTTTTTCACTTTCAGTTGGAGGAAGATGTATTGTCCAATGACAATTTAGTTTCCCAATATAGTTTTTATCAAAAATGAGACTTGTATTGAAATATCCTTCTTGATCAGTTAGAATCGAATATCCACCGCATCCAGATTCTCCCAATGAAAACCTATTACAATATAAAAAAAAATATGAAAGTATCTTCATTGCAGCGTTCATATACCAAAGTATGTATTTACTCTCTCGTAGCTGTAAACGTTTGGTTAGGTTGTGATACATTTTCTTCAGTCTCTTCCCATATTATATTCGGTCCTGCGGTCAGGTTTGTATTCTCTAGAATCCATTCCAAGTAATTAGAAACCTACAATAAAGATAGAGTGTCATGGGTAAATTATTGAATATTAACAGTTGTAAGTACATTTAGCACATTTATAGTCTTTTTTGCCCTAAGATTGGTGAAAAATAATGTAACCATTATTATGGTACATCTTTACATGATATATTGTTTTAACGGAAGCTAGCCTGTTCGGAGGCCTTTTTTTTTTAAACCTAACCATATTTTACTAATGTACCTTGGTATAAACTCCTGGATATTTACTGTTTCCGCAGCCCCATCCAAATGAAATGATTCCATATAAAACCCATGCTCCCCCAACAGATGTGCGACATACCATTGGTCCGCCAGAGTCACCTTGACATGCATCGGAATCTCCCTGGAATTGAGAAATGTTATCGTTTAAGATTTGTCTTTTATTTTAGTTAGTTCTAGATCTAGATGGTTAGAAGCGTTCTTTTTGTCATTACTTTAAGGTAATAAACTTATTTTGGACAACACAGCTACTTATATCGCAACACTTTAATAATGGGTTGAATATGATTCCTTGTTAGATGACATTATCATTGAAAACGTTTGCTTGGAAGATGACATTCCCGAGCTTGTACCATAGCTTGCTTACATGATACCAGCACGGTTATATAATATAAAAAAGATCGTAGAAAATCTGATCTTTATTTAAAGAATGTACCACAATATCCTTTTACCTCGCCAGCACAGAACATGTTATCATTTACTGCATGAGTGGTGTAATAGTAATAACACATGCTCTCGTTAAGCAGCGGTACTTTCGCTTCATTCAAGTCATCTGAATATAATTCGTTTTCAGTCTCTCCCCATCCTGAAAAAGATATATTATTATGAATACCCTTTGATATCCGAATTTTTCTATGAGTTTTGGCGTCTGTTTGAGTATATATAGTAAAACTGCGATTTTTGAAGTTATGATTTCAGTTTCTAAATATTTCGAGCGCTTTACATACGCGTTAAAAAGTTCGCTTGCATATTGGAAATTAATGCCACTTATATGACACTCTACAATGCATACTTTTTCATCATTTTATATCACACTTATTCATTTTTGCTTCGAACGTGGCCCCGTACTAGTTTCCACTGATATCTAACGACATGCAAGGAGCTGCCTTTTTTGAGAAAATTATAACCTTTGTAGTTCGACATTTACTATCCAAATTATTAGACCCTGAATTAGGTGGTGGACATGGAATTTGTACTGGAGACGTGTAGCCTGCAACGCCAACGTGGTCAGGTCTAATACTTTTGCCGCCAGGCCACCGCGCTCACCAAATATTTCGAACGCTTCGCATAAGCTTTGAAAAAATTGATGGCATTACCTGTAATATAACATTCTGCGCTGTCTGGTTCAGATAAGAAAGACAGATCTGACGGAGGAAGGCAGATTGGTCGAACCCATTGATTAAACGTTACTGCTTCTTCAAATTTTATCAAAGTCAGATCGTGGTTGTGTGCGATGTCTTTGCCAAAGTCAGGGAAGGGAATAACTGAAGAAGGTAACACAATTAGATGGATTCATTATTCGTCGAGCAGGGTTGGGGAGACCCGAATCATTGGCTCGACTCAAGTTGAATAATTTGTAGTTGGTTTGACAATAAAGATAACTCTAAACTCGCTTTCAGCAGATTAGAATATTTAATAAAACAACATCAAATCAAATATATATATTATATATCTATAAAAACGAAATATCGTCTCTTTAATAACAAGAAAATTTATTCACAAAAAACATGAATTGTCTACAATTTCACATGTCTCATAGCATTAACTAAAATATCATAACTATTAATTAGAGAGTATATACATATTTACCATTAGCTATCTTGACAGTAGCTTCCCAATATTCCGCTGAAAGATGACTAAAATCGCCAATAACAACATACGCTGGAGAACTAAATTAAAACAGTTTAATTCATAATGTCCGAAACATCAAAAATATTAGTATATGAGAAAAATTGCAATAACTTGGATGACTGTCATCTGCTACTACGGAGTGTCGCATGGTGGGCATATGAGCTAACATTTTATTATTCGGTAACTTTGGATATCAAGGGTTGTAGAGAGACAGAAACATGTAACTCGTGACAAATTGTTTAAAATCTCATGGCTTAGCGATTAGTGTCTCAATAAAAACCTTGTTTACACTACATTAAAGTGGTTATCGTGTTTCAACATAATGGATTCAACCTCGACCAATTCATATGGAAAGAATATCTAACAGGGAAGGATCAGGATACTTCCAAGAAGACAGTAATTTAACAAAGCTTTAATGCTCTGAAATGTGTGGACAATCTCCTAATTTATCCACGGCATAATATCTACAATAATTTGACTGCAAATATAGCACTCACTAGGAATAATTCAATAACAATATTCTTACAATATTCTTCAAAAACAATATTTTTACGGGAGTCGTTATTTAGAATAATAAAGAAATCAACTTACGATAAGAGGCAATGTGTCGCTGTTATAGCCCACATGTCGCTTATGATCGCACCACCGCATATATGACTGCAGGATTTGCATGCTCGAAGAGACACCTGTATAATTCATTTATATTGTTAGAAAGTTTTGGAAAGAAATAACTAAAATAAGTGAATCCAAAGTTTTGTACTGCTTAACACTTCGAACTCACTGAAATTCGACCTCTCTGATTGAAGTTACTCTCTCACCATGAAGGCTCATGGCGCCATATCAATAGAGCGTTGAAATATTATTCGAAATGCTCATTACTTAGAACGCATATACATTTTTTAGAACTCAAAATTTCATAATCTTTTTGTATAAGTATAAGCCCATGACAGCAGTTCTATGGAATTGAAACATATTTGTATTTGAAAGCTTCAATAAGTCGCAAGATAATGCTTGGCATTAGATATTATCAGAACATATAAAAGCAATATTTTCAGTCATCGTGATTTCAAGAGGCATTTGGGAATTTTCTGTTGCAATCCAGTAGTTCCCGTCAGCTATTACTTCCAGAAACTTTTAAAAGGTAACGAAACACTGACATTGAAAAATGTGAAATCCAGCTTTAATGGCTGCAATTTCGCGTCATCATATATATATAACAAAAAATAATGGTTGGTTATGTTGAAGAGACGTGCAAAGGTAAAAACGCAATATTGAATGGATAAATGATTGTCTCGTACCTGCCAAGGCCATGATCCTGGCGTTACGTCTTGCCCTCCGTAAATACGAGATTGCGGAGCATCACTTTTGATTGGAACACTTGTAATACCGCACACTGTTGAGTAGTCTGCTTCTTCAACAGTCTACAAAATGTTATATAATGTCCGTCTAATGTAACGTTATTAATAGCGGAAAGCGCTAGCGCTAGTGTTATACATAACTGTGTTTACAAAACGGTTTACACATATTGAGTTCAAATCCCTTTATCTGGGGGTGATAAATTGGGTAAATTCGGTCCTTCCCGAAACGGTACCTCCTTACTCACATGTCGGTAGATAGACGCTTGTGCAGGCATTGATGGCGAGAAAACGTGAGTGAACGCCACGTAGAAAATGAGGTTCCCGGTTACAATAACTGTAAAAAACCCACTCATTAATCAGAGATCCGATGGCAAGGCTTAACACGATGCGCCCAACGCCGGGCCTTGTAAATATAATGAAATGATATATTAATCGTGTCTCACACTTTCTTGTTTCGTATAGAACTGATACAATGCATCAAATCCAACCGATTGTCCATTATTACCACTCTCAAATACAACTGTCATAGTATTATCTCTTGAATGGGTAAACGTAAAGAAACCTTGTTGTGAGCAGAATCCATCAAGAATATCTCCAGAAGTCGAGTTTCCATCGTGAATAGACACCTGCAAATCAGAAGTTTACGTAATACATTAAATTCTGATGTAAAATCATTCTATGAATATTTTGAGGGTGATATTTTTAGTACTTTATTGTTATCAATTAACAATTTCACCTTGGTGCAAAATTTCTCCGCGTGGCCAACTACCTGATTTGAAGCCTATGTGTATAAATAACAGTTGATGGTTGCTCATTCTGAGTACTTGGCAACAGTTTGTTAGAGAAAGCATAAGAAATGAGTGAGACTCATGGCAAAATGCATTATATCGTTCAGGTAACCCGTTCCATCTCAAGTGAGAAAGTACTTTCGGTTTGACTGTAGGTAACCTTTAGATAATTTTTTGTGATGTATTTTAGGCAATGTTTGCTGGTAATTCGAGGCGCAATCGAATTTGAGCGATTGATAATTTATTTATTTATTTATTTTCTGAAATACAATTGTTCACTTGCTGGCATTACCTTGTCTGTGCAGCCGATTGCATCTGATTCATAAAGATCAAATGTAAAAAACTCTAAAACTATAAATTTCCCGAGTGGTGCGATTATCACCCATTCACATTTACTATTCAAATTGTAATAACTCGGATAATTTATGGATGTAAATCTTCCACCATCCTGATTCAGTTCTTTAATTCCTCCGCAACCGGATTCTGAAATAAATTTAAGTATAAAAAGTACACTTAGTATTTCGCGAAAGCGAGTATCTAAGACATAAACCCAGTGGTGCGATTCCGTTCCCATTCTCGGAGATAATAATATGGCATGGATCTGGCAACGGTTATATTTGGGCGTTCCATAATCAATACTGGACCAATTGCTTTGAAATTTTCAGTGAGTAAAGATTATATTTTTTGCTAGAGGACTATTACTTTTATTTTTTGCTATGACGTCATCAAAATTATGCGATGCTACGCGTATTTGAGAATAGCTCTGTTGTTTAAAGAAGAACCTATTTTTATAGTTTTGAATCCCACCATCGCATAAACCCGATTGCAACACCCATATTTTAACATTTTTATTCATTACATAACTTAAACTTACGGCTATAATCATTTACACTGACTTCCATGAATATGGCATTAAATCCATGCTCAGCTTGATAATAATCAGAATAAAAATGAACAGTCATTATGGACCCTTCACTCAAAATATCATTGGGTATATGGTTTCCACAGTATTTCCCAAGAAAATCGTTTTGATTTGCTGACACAAAGTTGGTAACTTCACCAGAGTAGATTTCGACGTAATCGTAGAGACAACGACTTTGTGCTTCCACCAGAAATTTGGTGAAACTAAGCTTAATTCTTGAGTTTTCGTTATTAGAAGCCTGCATAATAAGAAAAAAGGTCGATTTTCCCCACAAAAAACACGAGATTAAAAAAGTGTAAAAAAAACGCGAGTGAATTACAAAAAATAATTCCGTATTACTTCCACGTATTTTCATTCGTTCTTATTTGAAACTATAACCAAATCCATTGTTGAACATATATTTTCGCTATGACAAGGATGCTACGTTTTCCCGGCTGTGTGCCACGAATTAGTAAAGTTGTCTCTGGAAAAGAAAACCATTAAAGTATTCTCAAATCACCTTAATAATCCAGTTGCAATCAACTGTTAGTGGATATTTTTCGTATTCGCCAACAGGACTAGAAAAATTTCCATAACTTCCTAAAATTTCGCTCCCTCCGACGCATGGATCACCTGAGATTGTGAATGATGCAAGATTTGCACTTCTCTCTGTGAAATATCAAAATAAATAGGATAGCACAGTTTGCTACAGAACAAATATGAATTCAGATGGTCAAATTTGCAGCAACGGCTTGAGGTGAATTATCATGCTATTTTTGTGGGATCAAAAGCAATTTTCTCTCGATGGATTGAAAGATGAAGGGTATTCAAAACGGACATATTATTTGTGAATATAAAACGTATTTGCAGGCCAAAAAAACCCAGATTTCTACGAGACTGTGAGTCCGACTGAGTTTCTTCTTTACGTATACGACAATAAACTCTCTTCTGATTGGTCAACGATGTAACCCGTAGCAACGTCATAGCAACGGGCCTTCTCAGTCGCTAGCTGCCGATAGACTAACCTTCAAAGTTAAACTCACCCTTTATTCCAGAATCAATTTTGCTACTTATCCAGTTCGTGAATTTAGAAACATCAGTGTAAACTCCAGGATATCTGATGTCAGCGCAATCCTTGCCCCATGAAACAATACCCCGTAATACGAATTGGTCGGTGCTATCCCTTTCACATGCTAGAGGTCCGCCGCTGTCTCCCTGGGTGATAGTCTCAAATCATTGATTTAATTAAATAGACTTGACTGCTTCCCGGGTACCAAACCTCTCCACCCGTTAATTCATAAATCACGTAACGAGAGATAAAGAACTGAGCGACGCCACGACCATTTACAGGTCTTATTTTGAGGTTGTTGAATTTTTTTTGTACAGTGTACCGGTGCAGTTTATGCAGATATAGCTATATAATATCCATCAGAACGGACCAATTTCCCTTTTTAAATATGCGGAATCTTTGATACAGGTAGGCCCATACGTAAATAACCAGAAGGATTCAATGACAAATATGTCTGCATTTTGGTCAAACTATGTAAACTTCTAACCTGACACGAGTCTACCATGCTTGATTTCCTGCCAGCACATATCATATTCTCGGAAAAAAGTTCGTCATAAATTGAACTACATTCACTATTTGAGTAAAGTTCGACTTCGGCCTGTATCAATGAACAAAATAAAGTTTGAAAATGCTGTTTACATAACTTAAAAATTATGTTAACATAATACACAACTTTGAAAAAACAGAATATGAACATTGGGTTTACTAGGTCGAATATCAAGTATTCAGGTGATCCTAACTACCTCCTAAAGTCTAAACGAATTTGCAGTGAATAGCCGTAGGTCGTGTTCGTCCTGCGATGTGATATCCCGCTCCATCGATAGTGCAGAAGAACAGATAATTGTTGAAAGAGAGTACAACAGCCCGAAAGTCTATTACTATCGTGTATTTTGTTTTTTAAGTTTGGCCCAAGCCTCATTTAATTGGGCTTGTGTTTTTGTGTGCGTGCTGGTGGGCAGGCACATGAGATACTTCATGTTTTAAACTTTTTTGTAGGTTTTGCTTGCCCTCCAGAATTCTCCATTTTAAATTTAGGTTTGTTATGGAGTTTTCGAAATAAACTATCTATCTATATTTCTCGCCCTGAGCTCTGCAATGGAACCAGCTAACTGATCGTGCTAAGGCAGTGTTTCTTAACCTGTGTTCGATCGAACCCCTTGGGTTTGGTGGAAATGTTCCAGGGGTTCGACGAAGATCCTCTGAAAAAGTTGCATATCATGTAATATTTTTCATTACCCAGTCTGATATTATGCAAAAATACCTATAGTTCATCGCGCAGATGTACTAACTTACGTGTTAAAACAACTCATAGAATGGGTTAGCTGTCTGTAGCTTTGCTCAGATGTAAGGCTTTGTGGATTCGTCACAGGCTGTGGCATGCTTAGTACACTTCATCGAAAAACTTATTGGTATAGATGTTGTATGCTTGGGTGTACTTATCTATGATAGCGCTTTTAGATGCTTTCTGCTTATGAGCATGAAATATCTTGTTGTTATGGTCAATTCGTTGTCAATTGAAGTTAAATATTTGAGTGAACGACACCTTATTTATACTATGCTGATAAAATCCAAGTCAGTTTTACCGACAAGTAGAAGATAGGAACTAGGTGCACATCAATGAATATAGAATTTGGGAGTTATTGAATGTCACGAAGTGGTAAATTTATGTCAAAAAATATTCAACTGCAGAGCTTTTATTAAACTTATCGTTATGTGTGCAGGAGGACACATAATGGTGCTGAGACACTATTGTGACACAACAATTGCTATTTCGAAACTTTAGTCGCAAGGATCAAACCCATGAACAAAATTGGTTCTTTTGTTATAAAGATTTGATTGTGCTACTTGTTTTAATTGTTCAATTATATGGGGTTCGGCGGGAACGGTAGAATAACGCAGGGGTTCGGCAGGCTCGAAAAGGTTAAGAACCACTGTGCTACGGGATGGCTTCTATACAAGTATTTTCGAGATTATATAGTAGCAAGATTTAAGTACTGAATATAAGATGGCACCAGTGGTGGGATTCAAATTTTTTGTCAGCCGGTTCCTTCACAAAAGTCATATTTTTCAGCCGGTTCTGTTACAAACAGAACATTGACAGTAACCAGTAATGCTAACCGGTTCGCTGATCTCATAAAATTTCGTGAGACGATTCTATAGAACCGGTGCGAACCGGCTGAATCCCACCACTGGATGGCACACGAATACTAGGCTTGTTTGGCGCGTAAAGCAATATATATAAATATATCAGGCTATCAATTCCATAGTTTGATTTAAAGCATAAAACTTCACTCTATTGGCATCATTCTTAAAATAACTACTTACCGATATATTCATATTTTTGGACCATACTCCAATTCATTGGGTTGATATCTAGTTTCATTTTATTGAATACCTTTTGTAGCCTTGACGGATAAGTATTTTCTGCAGATTTTCCCCATCCGGAAATAAAACATCTTTCACCAGATACAACTTTATCTGACTGGCTAGGAAGACAAATTGGACGAACGACACTAGAATATGTCACAAATCCTTTGAGTTCTGCAAAATAAGAATAAAACTCAACCATTTATAAATGCAATTAGAATATTATACAAATCAATAGTAACATATTATATCGGTGAATTCTGTCGAGAACTAACAGGCAAAATAGTGGTAGACTGGGAGCAGTCGAGTTGCAAATATATTTTGTTCTTTAAATAATTGATCGTACGAATAACAAGAGAGCAAAGCTCAAATAAATGGACACGAAGATCATTGACTAACATATAACTAACATAATATGCTCATTGACTAACAGCAGTGCCGGTAGTCTACGCCATAGGTTTTCAAAGTGCTCCGTACGGAGCCCCAGGGCTCCGTGAGAGAAACCTAGGGGCTCCGCGAGCTATTCGATTACTTTTCAAAATACTGAATTGGCTAACTTTATTATTAGGATTACTAAAATGAAAGAATACTATTCTGAAATAACATAAAATACGCGATAAACTGCCAACTATACATAAATTGCAGTCGTATTTTTGCGATCTTGGGATTTGTCAAGCTTGATTTTGTTCTTTCGCACTCACGAGCAAGATATCGCCGTTTAAAAAATCATGAGGTCGAGGCAAAATACGAAAGATTGAAATTTATTTCATTGCATGCGGCTCCGTCGGTAGTTTCAGAATAGAAAAATAGATACATCGCGCGCACAATTGACTGTGTTTCGGTTTCGCAGTCACTACGACGAATAACCAAAGAAACCCCAACATAACACCAAGAAAGCGTTTTTAATCTGACGTGAGTCTGCTGAAACAAAACTTATAGTGTTATCTTCCATTTTAAGTTTTAGTTTTAATATTTTAGAATGCCGCTTTTCAATTAAGAAATTTGAGTTGCGGATTTATCTCTTTATTATTTATGATTTTTAGCATTTCGTCTCCGATGACTATAATGTGGTAACATGTTTTTCACATTGAACTCATCATTACCCACGAGAACAAAAAAGCAATACTCGTCGTCATTGTGGAACAATACATGTATATGTCGAGGGAAATTTTTAATTTAGGAAGATTAAACAACGCCATGCTAACGAAAACAATCGGCGATCGTAACAAAATGAAATCGAGTAGTTATTAGCGGCTATTTAAGTCTTTCAAAAATGTCTAAAGGGAAAAGATCCGACCCCTAATTCATTAATATGTTTGTCAAGTGTCAAATTTATAGCTTTAGTATATATAATTTATCTTTGACATTTAGATTCATTTATGACTTGTATTAACCCTATTAAAAGAGGTTTAGCATTTAAAATAAGTACAGTACTTTTAACTTACTCAGGAATATTATTCGGAAAGTAACAATTTTAACATTTATTTTAGGGCTCCATGAATAATAGTCAACTTTTTCCAGGGCTCCGCAACACAAAAAGTTTGAGAACCCCTGGTCTACGCGACTCATATGTTATTGTGTCTGATCACCGAGTTCGCAAAATGAAAACGGAGGACAGCCAAAAGATGAAATAAAATTTCGGATGAAATAGCGGAACTCATAGGAAACATTTAGGAACAAATTAAAGCTCTAATGACAACAACAGTCTTTAACCACTGAAAATTTCAATGCAATTGTTCCATTGGTTAAAGATAACGACAAGAAAAAGAATTTTAACTACAACAAACATAGGTCTATTTCGTGTCCATTTACTTTTATCACGAATCCTTTACCTATCAACATGATATCATTGTTGAAAGTTGTCGAGTCATATTTTTCATGCAACAGGAGCTGTTTCACTCCAAATATCTTTTCTCCTTTCTCGTTTTTTAGCTTGTCCAAATCACCAACTTTCACGTGAAGACCGTCAATTTTCATACTAAAAGTGTTTCAATTTAATAGTATATTTAAGCGGTTCTATCATTTTCCGTTTCCGACGTTTTTCGTCAAAATGATAGAAAAGTGAAAACATCAGATATTTTGTTTTATGTACGTAGTATATTCCAGCCTATTTTACTATATTGTGTACAATAGTGTATTTGCCGTTGCATACCATGCTCACCAGTCCGAAGAATTTTCTAGATTCTAAATAGTTATTGTTGTATACAAAAGGTTCGTGTTTGCTTACTTATTTCTGTCATAACAATGTGCCGCACTTAATACCCAATTTTCATCAATGATACTTCCACCGCATATTTGTCTCCTGTGATAAAATTGTAATTATTATTAGTAAAACATTTTTGAGGTTAAATTACTTTTCCTATTTTAACCCTTTTTGTGAATATAAATGAAAAATTATTTTAGAAGTACATTTATAAAGAATACATACCCCTGATAATAAATCCCAACTTGCCACGGAAACTCTCCAATCTTTGCCACCGATCCGCCAATGCTCCTACTGTTAATAGAAAGTCCAGTTCGTGTGCCACAAATCGGGCCTAAAAAAAAGAAAAGGAGTAGTACGATGAACTGGAAATATCAGAAAATGTTAAAGTGTGCTTAGACTACACCTGAGGTGCTAGCTCCAGAGGTTACATAACTGTGTCGGGTCGGCAACTAAGAGATACTTTAAAAATATTTTCAAATGTATATTGAATAGCGAAAATTTATATATATATCATTTTATACAATTACGGCGTACAACCAAACTATTGTTGTATAATATACTCACTTTCCGTAGCGAAGCACGAACATATCTGCAAGAGTGCTAGATATAAAAACGAATTTAATCTTGTTGACAACATTTTATTTTTTAAATGATCTTTCTGGTATGCTTGTTCTGGATGTCCGTCGAACATCATTCTTCCAGCGATTAATTATGTAATATCTATTCTGGTGTGGGCTCACACATATATGACATATATATATTAAAGCAAGTATAAATAAATAATATAATACAAGAGCGAAGCTAATGGGACTTCAATCAGTAATCGGCATTTTATCTTGTCACAATCATGCAAGTACACTTGCACAAATAAAATGAAAAACAAACGTTAAAAAGATATTACAGGGGTAAGGGGGCGCGAAAACCAATACTGGTGAATACATTGCTTCAAAATACATTACTTTCTTTCATAAACGACTTGTTAGTTTACTCTTCGTTTTCAATATTGACCGTTATATAAGAAGACACGATCGTCGCGATTCTGTGTCATTATTTTTTTTTTACCCTAAATCGCTAATTGTCCGAGATCGACAAAAAACTACTACCCTCAAATCAGTTTATCTGAGATAGAACTGGTCTAAATGTGACTGAATCAGTCATTGGGCGTAAGCATTTGTACTGCTAAATGATTTGAAAATACATAAGTCGCTCTGCAATATAACTTCTTATTTAAAAATCACAAAAAAAAGATTTATAGGATATGTGATGGGATCAAAGTTCTTGCGAGCGTACCTATCAAGAAATATTCAGGCTTCCGACGGAAGTATTGCAATACCGCGATCGACCATTGAATTAGCTTCTTCTGTATTGTTCATGTCTATCCGCAAAAAAATTGGGCTTCATCAGGTGTACTCCGTGCATGAGGTATCAATGAGTAAACAATGTTTTTCTTGCATATTACTTATTGTAATAAAACTACTAAAAATTTAGCGCTAATTTATTGGACAGCAGTAAAACTTGACTTGCAAATTTACATTGAAGTTTTGAAATGATCATGTAATGAATTTCATTGCAGATTTTAATATAATACATGAAGGTTGTATGAGCTACCGGCAATGCGATTAGTCATTGGGACTTTTCTTGTCCTTAGGTTTGAGCATTACTCTTGAATTTAATGTATATGGATTAATATGTTGCGCAACATCACGTTGATGAGTTTCAACGAGAAAACTAAAATTCGTTAAAAGTGTCTTTCGCAATTCGGTTATGAGCGTAACGTTATTATACAATGATACATATTGCAATAGATATCCAATGTTATCGATTTGATTATTTCAATTCAATGCTGTCTTTTAATATGAAGAATTAAACTTCTCACTGGTTTGATTAGTTGATACGAAATGCATGCTATGAACAACGTAGTAATACTAAATAAACCGAATCAACAATGAAGAACAACCGCGGACAAAGTGCAACTTGCATGTTATTTATTTCTACTTATATTGTTGCTGAACTTTATTTAGTAATGATTAACATTTTTTCGGTAGTAGGTGAGGTTAAAGATGAAAGAAACTATACAATCAACCCTCGATCTTTTGTATGAAAATCTTTTTGTGAGGTATATCCGATTTAGACCAATGTTGATATTCCACGTATTTTCATCTCTGTGATTGGTCTCCTAAGGCCTAGTTAAATTCCTTTTGAAAATCCGTACTCTAATATTTTTAATAAAAACATTACGCACATACCAATAGGAATTTATTTTAAGATCCGTCGGTGTAAAATATTTGTAATATTAGTAAAAAAGTAATCATATATAAACTAGAAGCATATTTCGAGACTGCTGATCCTTGAACGAATACAAATGAACCATCAAATCCAATTCTTTCATCAACCATCTCCCCGACAAAATCAATCAGAACCTCTTCATCCAGAATTAGAAATGTTTTAGGTGTTGGTGGATCGAGACATATCTAAATATAACGAGAGAGCAATGCCCAAATACATGGATACGAATGTCGCACATTATTACTGGTACGGCCAAAGTCGATGAAAAGAACGACGGACAAGCGTGGTGGAATATAGAGCTTTCATAGTCCATACAAATGTGTTTATAAATATGAATAAAACATGTTTTAGGATGAAATATCGGATTCCATGGGATTCATAGAGTGACTCATTCGCAAAAACCAAAATAAACTTATCAGTCGGCATTGAAATGCATCCACTAGTTGCGAAGAACAGCCATGTGTCAGCATCAACAACCCAAACAAAGCAAAAACAATTTTGCAACCAGTGCACTCCGTTTCTTAAAAACTTGACTCAATATAAAAAGGCATTGTGGCTGAAAATATTCTATACAGTTGACAATGTAAATACAGTTTGCATATTGTGCCGTTATCGTTTCTTAAAAACAAACTATACAAAAAGAGCGATATTTATTTCGAAGATATATAAAAATCTACTACCGTTTCGTTTTTGCTTCCGTAAAATAACTTGATATTATGTTCCGTGCAATCTATGTTTGATACTCCAATCCAGGGATTTATGACGAGAGAAATCTACAACAAAAGTACGCCGTTTTCGTTTCAGTTAATTTTTATTATTCCTATCAAACCGCTATTTATAAATCAGACATAAGACACTCATTATTTCCTCCTCTAGTTAGAATTGTGGTATGTTTTTAGTATGAATACTCACCATCAGGACATTATCTTGGTGAGCTTTTAGATATTTGACAGTACGTCAAGAAGATCTATACGTGTTTATCTAGTAGTAGGTAGGCCATTTCTATTGGTCAAAACTTCAAATATGGTTCAATTCTAGGTTCTCTTGGACTTGAATTGAGTGACGCAATGATATACCATTTACATAGGAATGGTTGGTCTACTTAGGGTCGGAACTTTACAAATTAAAATGCCAAAACTCCATCAACAAAAATTAGTTATTTTATGAGACTGAATTTATTATTTTTGATATCTACGTTGGTGTTTTTGAGCACATATGATTCAATTTAGTTTTAAATGAAATTTACCAGAAAATCAAATATGTTTGAATACTTCGAATTATAATTATAAATTAGTTTGATTCGATTAACTTACAGGGTGGCCATTAGTTCCCATTATTGTCCATTTGCATATCGGCTCTTCGACATTGTCGTCTTTGATTTTACTTCCCGTAAAATTTCCATTTTCATCAACGAAATATAAACTGAAGCACGAAGCTTGTTGAAAAACGTCAAATTCGACGAATGGAACATATTGTTCAAATTCCAGGAAAAATCCTGATCAAAAATTTTTGTAATGATTTAAATATTAAATCTGAAATGACTGTATAAGATGAGATTTTCAAGTGATCAAAGAATAAGACGGGAGAAAGAAATACCTGGTTGGAAACGGGAGAGAATAACTAAAAAAAAGGGGGATAAGAAAAAAAAAGGAAAGCATACATATTGGTAAGCGAGAGTAAAATGCAGTGTTGGCGAAGATCAAGTCATTATCTCTTCCGAGTTTTAAGTCAACGTTCATCCAAGACTCAAAGTGGCTCAACTAACCGCCGGTGATTGACTCGACCCGAGTTATTGCGCTTATAGACTTCTACCCAACACTGACAAAATAAACGATGAAAGTGGGATGCAAGATGGAAGAAAAATCGATTTCTTACCAGATTCGTTTCCAACACCGCCGACACTGGTGCTTTCAAATAATATTGTCGCATTTCCAACAATACTGAGAACAATTGGTTCATGCATTGCGCAATAGGGCCCGTACATTTCATCTTCATCGTCTCCAATCTCTGATTTGATCAAAATACTGTCCAAACATGTTCCGTCATCTGAAGCTGCAAGCGACAGTACTCTAAATAGATCGAAAGATAAAAAAGCACATGGGTCGTTCATGATAAACTGTTGTTTTTGCAATTGAGCCAAAATTTACCATTTTCCCCGAGTAGTGACCCATCAATTTCCAATTTTCAGTAGTTGGAGACTTCAAAATTGCCCGATGGCTATAATTTTTGATTCGTTCAAATATATATATATAGCTCTAAGCTTCTGTGGTATCCTATATTTTACCCTGTGCTATTTTAATCTGTGAGACTTTTTATTTTGTAACATCGGCCTGAAACCATAATATATATATATATATATATTTTACTCCTTCTTATATTTGAGCATCTTACTTGAACTGGATAGCTATGCTCATGTTATGGGTAACAATAGTCCACGAACATGCCATATATGTAGGATAGGGTTCTGGATAGTTTGGATTGAAAAGAACACCACTTTTTTCACTAATAAATGTAGAAGTACCGGAACACGGATCGATTTCTTTGTACCCCACCTTGAAACCTGCGAAGTTAAATAAAAATACACTTTATAATATGAGACATTGCACTTGAAAATATTGTATACTGTATTGCTGATTTTTCGACTTCAGCAATGACGGTAATCGCACTGGGACAATGGGAAATAGTTCCATTTGACATAGAATAAGATTTTAAATCTTAAGATTGTTAACACGCAGCCAAAATTTACCATGAACTATCGTCCGGAATGTTATCTTAATGTATATCATATCATGGTTTAAATGTATTGCGGGCTATTGAATTCCATCTGATTTCCATTCTAATAAGAGAATTTATTTTTAGTTAACTCAATAGCTGCATGGCAAATTCAACCTTCGATATTGCTAATTATCTTGCATAGATGTGGGCTGTGGCAGTTGGAATCCCGTTAGTAAAGACTTGTTTATGTTGCCCTTCACAAATTTATTATGACGCAATAATTGAACAAGCGACGTGTATCGCGAATACTCTGGTCGCGGGATTATTCGTCTGGGACTACAGCTTGGTTAAATGTGTTTTATATTCCGTTGAATCAAGCTTTCTTCCGACTGGTATATATTTGGATCCGGTTTACTGCTGTTGTATAATAGTAATACCTTCCAATAATGATGGCAATAAATATGGAAGCAGTAAGGTATACAACTCCAAACCATATGCACATTATGGTTCGCTTCATAATACTGACCGGGATAATAATGTTCCGTTTCGTTGAATATAAAAAATATATCGATCGAGAAAGCTGAAACATCTGGAGGTTTGACAGTTCCACAATATTTCTGAAAATAAAAGACGATAAATGAAGTACAGTGCGTTCATAGTATGGTTTTACATTACAGGTATGGGTGCTCCAGAAGTACGTGTACTAATATGGAAGTAACTAATTTTGTTCGCCTTCTTTACATCAAGTTGTGTGAAGGGACTGAAATCTATGGGCAGGGGGTATATTCACTTGGCTAACACAGACAACCCCGAACGCGTAATAGAACTAAAATAAGGAAAATCGGAATAAAATTATGGCATAACTCTAACCTGGTACACATGCTACGGCAGTACCCAAGTATATTTGTTTAAATGTAATTTGGAAACCCAGTTTCATCATCAAACTGACTAATCTGATGTACTGATTACTTTGAGTCGACGTCAAACTTACTTTTGTGATTTTTGTTGTGTTTGTAGCGGTGTCTATTATTTTCATTGTTATATGATCATCTCCACATTCACCAATGAGGTTTAGAACGGGCAAATCGAATTCCCTGTCGAAAATTAGAGATGGAAATTTGAGAAATATATCAAACAATTCAATTTTGTAGTATATTATTCAGTGCTGTTCCTAATATTAGTACCCTAAATTTGTTGGGTAAAATATTACAGTTAAATACGGATATTCGTAACATTTTTTGTATGACTTGATTCATTTTCTTTCGTTTTACCCAAAGTATGCCAGTTACAGGCTGTGAATACTTTAAAAGTAAATTAGATCAACTAAAATTCATATACTTTCATGGAGTAGATAACATATAATTTGTAACTAACTTAAAAGTTATTTCCATAACAGCAGCGGAGTGAGATGCTTGAATCGACCAAGTACAGTTGATGAATTCAGAGCCAATATTTGAATGACTAAGACTTGTGAATGTTCCTTCACCGCCATTTATAAGTTTAAAATCTTCACAAATTGGAGCTGGAGCTGTGGTCACAGGCTGAGCTGTTGTAATCGGCTGCGCAGTTGTAGTCGTACTAAAAAGTACATATGACGTCATAATCATGAAAATAACAGTAAAACAGTAAATAGTATCCAAAGCGTAAGTCGCCATAACAGGACGCCTCATGTCCCTGAGTGGAAAGAACATGAGTCACTATACTAGAATGAAAATGCGTATGTCTGACATACTTTATCAAAGTACTATGTTAAATTGTTTGATAAAAGAAAATCATTCTGCTAGGTCGCCAGGTTGAGATTATTTATCAGCAAAAAGGTTTTACGGTATTCTAGTTTAGGTAAGTATAAAATGATTTATGTGACATATGAAATATCAAGCTTCGCAAGATCTATACGAACTTTAGAAATAAGAGTTATAGTCTTCCAGTGGCTTCAGCAGTCTCTTAATCACTGAATGTTTGAAATCGACTGGTCATTAGTAGGGCTGGGCATTTTCGAATACCTGATGATTTCAGAATCGAATATTTTTTTCGAATCGAATACTTGGAAGATATATATTTGTATGCGACTTTTTTTATTGTAATTGATCCTTTCAACGAATGAATTACTGAAGACATAGAACATATCACTCAGACAGATTGCTGAGCGTTCTCGCACATTAAGAAACACGTTTTATCAATAACTCACTACAGAAAATATTCATATATATATATGTCAGAATTGCATTGGAAAAATATGGCTTCAATAAAAAAAAAATTAGGGAATTCACGTCGACCATTGACGGTAAGAAAAAAAATTAAATGTCAGCGATTTGAAATTTTGCTCTCAACAGATTCGAATAATTTACTATTCGATTTGAAATGCCCAGCCCTATTCATTAGTTACTGAGAAAAACGATTTTTCTCACAGCAACAACGATTCAGCAAAACGATCGATCTATCCATCGTGTATCCAAAAAGCGTTTAAATTTACATGGGCTCCACTGTAGTGGTTCCTACTGTTGTTGGAGCTGGTGTCGTTGGTTCCATGGTCGGTATTGGACCACTGTTGTTAAAGTTCATTCTTGCCTCATTGTTTGTCGAATTTCGGATCCATTCTCCGTATCTATTTACCTAGGAGAACAAACGGAATTTTTGCAGTTTCTATTCAATACTCTGGTTCGTTTTACTCGTTCGCTGTTTATGTGCGAAGCCTTGAAAGTTTAAAAAAAAAACATTTTACTTGGGAATCGGTTTTCAATGTAAGATCTTCATAACTGAATAATATGATCAAAAACACTGTAATATTTTGTACATAATTCATTACTATCACTCGAGACTTAACATTATCGACTTACTCTCGTATAAACTCCTGGATAATTAGCTCTCCCGCAACCCCATCCCCATGACGTCACACCGAGTAACACCCAGTTGAATTTTCCAGATTGTCGACACACCAGTGGTCCTCCCGAATCACCCTGACATGCGTCAATGCCACCCTGTTAAAAAATATTATCAAAATATCAACTTTCAGATAAATGTGAGTATATGAAAAGAGTTTTCGCTAAGTTCTGAAAACTGCAATGTTCCGTTAACGTAAAAGTACAAACATTGTATTATTTGTATCATTTATTCGTCCTTCTATAGCATGGAATTGCATTCCTAAATTGGGTTGTTAAGAGCACGCCAATTGTTTATTCGCGCCAATGGTTTTCCCGCAAAATACATAAACATGACATGGAGCAGGCGTTGGCAATTTTGTAAATGGAAAATTGTTAGGACAGATATCTCGACTTTTGTTTTCTGTACTAAAATGGGGCTTTTATTGTAGCTAATCGTAGCGATTTGACAATTTACGATCATTCTGCAATATCAATTACAACTATACCTCTAAATATCCAGCACAAAACATGTTTTCTGTGAATTCAGTGAAATATATTTCACCGCACTTTTCTCGCGATAAGAGAGGAATTGGTGCTTCACGAAGAGTCGGTGTTACTACATTAGAGCCTTCTTGTTGTTTACCCCAACCTATAAAACTTGATGTTTATATGCATTTCTATTTAATTATATAGGAATATGTGCGCCATTCAAATCTTTTAAAAGCCAGCACCAATAATTATGGACTTCATTTTTATTATTTGTATGTGACAAGTATATTCACTGCAGACAACGCTGTAAACTATACTGAGTACAATTGTTATCGTTTTCCCCAATGCTAATGTGACAATTCTCAAAGAGCATTCATTTTTGAAAGTTCAGTCACTTTTAAGTTTCCGTTATCTCTGATGTATAGCAATATAACCGAAATAACGAACAGATGAAATTTGAAAGATTAGATATTTACTCAATTAGGGAACACTAAAAATAAGATTCAGTTGAAGAGACCTGTAACACTTGGTTGGGGGCCTTCTCCCATCTCGACTATACTCTGCTATACATATATTATATAAAACGATTGTGATTATCTTAAAAAGTAATTGATATATATATATTCACTAAAATTTCTTACCAGTAGCATAGCATTTTGTTCCAACCTCGAACTCAACATCCGGCGTTGGAACACAGGCAGGTCGAACATATTCAGTAAATCGAAATGGACGTTCCAACTCTAGCAACGCAATATCGTTATTCCAAGTTGCCCCAACTTGGTAGTTGTCGTGAACAATTTCTGGCAAACATTTTTACTTCATCAATTGAAGCCAATATTTGGAACGAAAGACTATAAAGCATAATGAATATTCAGTTTGTCTGCATTATGTTAATATACTGCACAATATTGCTGTGAGTTTTGTGCAAATCGGTCTAATGAGACGGTCAAGTAAAGGTACAGATATTTAAATAATACGTTCTTTTACTTTTGAAATTTCCTATTTTAGTCTTCTTCTGTTACAGATTTTGGATTTACGACTGAATTCTTCTATTTTTCCCCACTATTAAAATTTTCTTAGCAAGTTATATTGTTTTATAATCGTCAAAAATGACTTCCATAATTAGGCAGAAAAACTTACTTTTCAAAACTTTTGCGATCTGCATTTTATAGTCTGTCTGTATATATAAGTGATCTCCAGCAAAAGCATAAAGAACTCTAAAAATAATAACATCATACTTTCAATAAGATTCTAACTGAAAATAAAAATAAAAAACTGAATAAAAATTATCATACGGATGAGGAGTACAATGTGCAGCTGTTATGATCCATGAATAAGATATGAGAGTCCCTCCACAAACTATGCGCGTAATTGGCTTTCTATTATTTCTCAAGTTCACCTTAAAATTATCAGTATTGAGAGTTAGCATTATAATAAGCGAAGAAATAGAATAGAACACAAAATATTGAAGGTCAAAAAGTGTACTTATGTACCTGCCACGGCCACGAATTAGGTATTGACTCATTTCCACCGACTATTCGTCCACCGATCGTAAGAAATTTCGGCAATATTTCCTGTTCTCCGCAATATCCAGTGTAATCAGTTAATCCAATATCTATCTGTAATCATTATTTAAGTGTAACATGCATGATATAAATATAACGAGCAATGGCTACGAAAATGCTAATATTATCGTCGTACCAATGAGATCTTATTCATTTGTTTGATATTTCTGTATCGCATTAAACGTTACAATATTTTTGTCATAACTTACAGCATCGGGATAGTTCTCAGTTTCATTGGGTGAAATAAATTTCAATTGAGCATGAAATCCTTTCGCAGTCCACTCCATATAGTTCCACACTTTTAATTCCATGACTGCGTGATTACTTGAGGTAATAACTACTTGATTTTTCGGCGGTCGCATCTCATCAAACGCGTGATAATGCTCAGTTGAAGTGTCAGTACCATCATAAATCCTTAACTTAAAAGAAACGAATAATTATTCGATATTAAAATTGATTAAACTGTTTCCTTCAATCTCAAGAAATTTTTCTTTTTTCGGCGCTCCCATAGTATGTGAACCAAGATGGCGGACACCTGAACATGGTGTACTAGGTTAGGCCACATTTTTTTTCCAATTTTCTTTATTTTAGTTCTATTACGAGTTCGGGGGCTAGCTAAGTGACTCCCGTGGTATTTGTACATGAAATTATGGCCTAACTTTGTACACACACTAGGTCCCGGTGTCCGTCATCTTGGTTCACATACTACGGGAGTAGCCTTTTTTCTGCTATTATTACATGGTGTATCTTGTTACGTCTTAAAACTATCATAATGCTTTAATACGAACCTCATTCTCCCCTACAACGGTCATTCTAAAATTCATAAAGTCAAACAAAATTTTCTTCCCTTCAGGGGCTTCGATTATCCATAGGCAGCTGTCTCCGGGATTCGTTGTAAAAATTGTAGGATAGCCTCGACTGGAAATTACAATTTCAGTTCGAACATCGCGCGGGCTTCCACAACCAGAATCTGCAAACACGACAGTTTATTTTATAGGCAACTGTGCTTCACGTAGCCCTTACTTGGTATGAGTATGAGAAGTTATTGTGACAGAAAACAAAAAAGCAATGCTCTAATATATGTGCACGAAGACCAAACCGAAGCGGTATCTAATCTTTGACAGTATCTTATCAAAAAATTCAGACTTCGCTGAAAACCATACCGCTGAAATGCGATCACAGAACCGCCACACGGTGCGCAATTTTTAATTTTGCGCAATGATGTCATCACACAAAACTCCAAAGTAAAAAATGAATGCCATATAGAGAACACAAATTTTTAAAATGAATAGAAGTAACAGCTTTCCAGCGACAACAACAATTTTAAACATTGAAAATTTCAAAGTAATTAATTGGTCCAGTAGTTGAAGAGAAGGGCGCCTGTATTACAACAGCGACAACAAGAAGAAAGAGAATGCTACAACAACAATTTAACAAAATTTCGTGTCCAAATATGGGAATTCATAATACAGACTATATTAATTGGTTCAAATACCTTCGATGCTATGGTGAACAGCCAAAAACGACGCCAAAAATCCAAAGTCTGCCTCAACAAAATCTGAGTTGAATTCTACCGTAATTACGTTAGATTCAGATAGAATAGGCATGGGTGGGAAATTTCCGCAAACCTGAAAAAAATAAAGCGACAGTGTTTGTAGCTTACATTATGTATTATTGTCAATGTAAACAACTTATACGAGACAGTGACTGAGGAAACGCACGGATGTGTACAGTACCGCTAGTACAATTCAGTATTAATAACGACAACTTTGTTGCAAATTTTATTGCGAGCAATTCAGGCTTGTTCATGAGACATATATTTCTGTCCCATTCCCATTCTATCCCATAGCAATTATGCCTGTCCCTTCCCATCCCACGGGATTTCCATTGGAATACAATTCAACAAAAATTGTTAAATTTAGGTTTATCGTCTACTAAATAGGGCTACATTTATGAAGAGACATGCAAAACAATAAAATTTACGGGCTTTGTTAACCCTATATTCAAAACAATTATACATGTGTTCACCAGCCCCCTCGCGAAGTATATTGTAAGTGCTGCATATATTTTGCTCTTTATAACTTACAAGAGAGCTATGCTCAAATATATGGACACGAAGTTCGTAACGAAATGTTTCACTATCATTTTCCCGAAATAATACGGTTTTCGTGTCCTATGGGAAATACAAATCTGTGTTGTCCCATCCCATGGGACGATTCCCATAGACAAGCCCGGCGATCATAGGATGTAACGTGATTTTACATGAGGGCAAGAAAAAATTTCTTTTCTTTATGCTTTTGTGCAACAAACCTGTTTACGCGACAAACCTGTCAGAACAAAAACAACATTGAATAGTAGCAAATACTATATTGTGCTACCTGAAACTTACTACTATGCTAAGCGCAAATCGGCTTTCTTGATCCTTTGGACCTATGAGTAGTTGTAATTGACCATTGCTCTCTAAATGTCAATAGTGGTCTTATTTTTTTTTTTAAGGTTGGATATTTGTGTCATTTTTCCGTTTTCCCACGAGAACTCATTGCATTTTGAATAAAAATGATGATACGAATGAAAAACTATAATTTTGTACGCTACGCTGAAAGACATCATCAACTAATGATAATAATGAAGTTTAAAACTATTGTGAATTACGTGTGATATCAAATGTTCCTTCGATGCATCGGTGCCATTATAGATCTTCACCCAATCTGCCGCGCAAAGTCCAAACAGTTCGACGTTGAAATCATCGAATTGCAAAAGAATTTTGTGATTTTCAGGAACCTTAAATGAAATGGAAATAATAATAACAATAGAAAACAATGTTCAAATATATAGACACGAAAGTCGCATAAGGGTACCGGTACTGTAAGTCCTTAGAGAGGAAAGTTCATGAAAATCGTGACGCGTGTGGCAAAACGAGGCGGAGTAAAGAAGCGATCCTCATTTATTAGACATGAAGTAGACTCATGGATCGTTTTGGTAGTTGTTGTTGTCATAGTTGTTGCCGTTCCCTTCTAATACTGGACCAATTGCTTTGCAGTTTTTAGTGGTTAAATATTGTTGTTGCCTCAAAATCATATGGTACACTATGACTTACAAATATCTTCCAAAAGCATTTAGTGCTCAACGGATAAGTAGTGTTTCCTCCGTCATACAAAGGCGAGGAAAATATTCCACTCGTAGATGTAAGATTCACTCCGTCTCCAGAGCATGGATCGCCAGATCGAGAGGTTGGTACAAAAGCGTTCCGAGCTGCGAGTAACAAAGATATTTCCCTCTTGTTAATCAAGGCCAGCGATGGTTGCAAATATCATATTTCAATATACAGTATTCCACTTTAGTAACGCATGCTCGCTGAATATATGTTTTGAAACATTTCTTACTGGCTTAATACGTTATTCTACGGTTAAATGCCGCTTCAAACATTTTAAATAATAATTGATTAACTTTATTAATAATTTTGCGTGATGAAAGTAGTAGATAATCTGGAATACATGATTTCCTTATATTAAATGTTCACATCTGTTGGGGTCGACTAACTTTATTTTCATATTTTTTCATGAAGGTGCAACCACTTGATAGACACCTCCTACATTTACGCCTTCTTATTTTTATCTGAAACACCCATTTAAACCCCTGAATCTAAATGTGATTATGAAACCAGAAATATGTTTTTGGCCATAGATAGGCGGATGTAATGTTAGGATCGTTAACGGTATTTGTTGATAAAACAGACTTTCAAAAAATACCATGCCACTCTCAATAAGCTCTGCCTTACTGAATTAGAGCATGGCCCGTTTTAAAAAGCTATGTTTTGTTTAAAAAGACTACTAAACTCTTATGAAACTTACTGGATGCTAAACAATGACATATATTGACTGACCTGCCATTACCATTTCATCTTGGTTTATGATTTTCCAAATCCATTCAAATGATTTCAAGACATTTTCATAAAGACTTAATCCTGCGCAGTTGTGAGGTCGGGACAAAATTCCTTGCACATAAAATAGATCGTCGTCTCGTTTGCAATATAAAATTTGTCCGGGTAGATTTTCCTGGGAAAAGTAGCAACAAACGATGTTATTAAAAACTGAGTGTATATTTGGATTGTTTCATAAAATTGTTGAAACCCGCTTTTCTCTCTTACTAATGGATCAATCGATTTAATATTTTCGGCAATTTAATATGGAGGAAGTCTCCAGGAAGCTCTTATTTAATATTTATTATCAAATTGTATTGGAGTTGTATGGGGTTCAATATTTGACCAAAATTCGGCTATTTTTGCGCATGTCACGTGGCATTACGTCAGAGTAGTCCGCCATCTTTTATCAAACGCGGTGCTCGGGCATTATCTTAAAGGCACATTTGACGTCACGATCTTCGTGCTCAGGTATTTGAGCATTTCCATCTTGTTTATAATTCAAATCACATGTACATCATCATATTTTTACCTTGCAATCTTCTGTAATATTCACACACACAATGCCATTCAAATTTTGTTCCGGATATTGAGTTTGGCAGTTGGCCTGGTAAGCTTCAGATATCCCAATCTATAAAGTACTAAACTATTATTCTCATAGGAAAATATACACAAGGGACATAAAATATTGGATGAGAAAGGTGCATCAGGGAGAAGCATTTTATAGGGTACCATTGAAAATAGTCACTGTATGGGGTAACTCTGTATCGTACATGATAGAAATACCAACATTGCCATTGGGGTGAGTTCTGGGACCAAATGTAGTTTGTTCGTGATGCATAATGATGTATAGAGAATATACTCAGAACTAGTCAAATTTAATATTCTAAAATACTAAAACTATGTTTGCTCAAATGTTTTTTTATTTTTGTACTCTTCGTAAAATGCAACGATTAAAAAAATCTGGTTTCTTGTAAAAATCAGGCGATCTGATCCAAACGTTATTAGATAAAAGATAATCTTACTTGAAATGTAGATGGCGAGTTCGCAGTTTTCATTGTAAGTAAGCAATTACCACCAATGCCTTGTTGCTCGTGCCTACTCACACATATTGGCTGGATTTCCTCATCAAACTCAATATTTTCTGTCAATTCTGTAAATTTGATAGTTCAACAATAAAAGCAAACCGAGGTTTACATATAACTATTCTAATTTCTTTCTTACCTAGGATAACAGCGTCGGAGTTGGCGTTGTGCAATGAACGATTTACTCTGAATACGTGTATTTCATCAGAGCTTCGAATTTCAGTATGCACGTCTGAAAGAGGGTCCCTTCAATCAGAATATTCAATTTAAGATTGAAAACTGAAAAACTTAGTGATGTCCATCTGTTAAACACACACGTACATACATGTGCACATTCCACACACATGTGCACGCACACAAACATTTGCGCACGACGAATCACAAATCTAAAAGATTGTCTCTGAAATTAGCATATTTAAGGAAAGATTGAACGTATTTGTTCACAAATTTTTACACATAAATAGTCCACGTACACACACAAAGGCCTTCACTCATAAATGAATTAAACACCAATTTGTTGATTAAATCCGTTCTTCTGTAGTGTAGACTCTGACGAAAAGAAACTACTAGTAATTTACCTTAATAATTTGTCGCACATGCTTGTTTGTTTGAAGGCTATTTAAGCACATAAAAAACTACATAATCAATTATGTCTCTTGTCACACACAAGTTTTTGGTACTCCCGAAGTATGTGAACCAAGATGTGTGTACCAGGTTAGGGTTAGGCCATAATTTTATTCCAATTTTCCTTATTTTAGTCATATTACGGGTTCGGGGACTAGCCAAGTGACTCCTATATTATTTGTATCTGAAATTATGGCCTAACCTTAACCTGGTACTCATACTACGTTCTGGTGTCCGCCATCTTTGTTCACATACTTCGGGATCGCCCTTTTTGTCGCGCGTGCTTGTTTATTTGTAGACTCCTAACGCACAGCATAAACTACAGAACCTAATATGTCTCTGACCACATACAAAGTTTTTAGCAAAATATTCATGTTCACAGAGTCAAAGACCAATTTCATCCGACGAAAACCAAGCTTGAGTTTTTACTTCTGTGACGTAACTGTAGTCATAAATGTTCTGTTGTAAACAAAAACAAATTACCTTACATCGATACATTGTAATGATGTCAAAATCCATCTTTTTCCAACAACTGAACCATCGCAAATATAATCACTGTTGAATAAAACTAAGTATAAAACATTCCCTGTTTTCAATTGCAATAGGATATATTTGTTTCATATTTTAATATTTGTATCGATAGTATTTATCAAAAGAAGACTCCGTAATGAAAAAAATGTTATTAAAATGAAGTCATATAATTTCGTTTTTCTCAATTTTTGAACTGCTTTCAGCCAAGTATATTAACCACCGACATTTTTAATTTTCCGAGTTTAATTTTTGTGTTCAACCAACATTATATAATTGGGAATACGGAAAAATTATACAGATGCAAAATAGTAATATGGACGGCTGAGACTAGTTAAAAGAGTTAATACATTTGTATCAATATTTGCAAACCTGCTTTTATATACTTCAACGAGCCAGGGAACTTCACCAGTGCGAATCAATGACACTCCGACCTCTGGTGGCGGGGAATGGAATCCAGGTCGACGACCACAATCAAAAGCAACTGTAAACACATAAAAAAAGACGACTGACGACCAGAGAAGAGAAGATGTGATGAACCTATAAGCTACTTTTAATTATGATTTTACTCTTATCTAGTTCACCTTTGCATTACCCTGCATTGTTTTCAGTAGTAGAAAGCCGTATCTGATCAGTGTAGCTTGAACTACCATGAAATTACACGATTCTAGCATTATCTTGCTCACAACAATTCCATGGGGGATTTGAAGCAGCCAGTCCACACATGACAATCAGCGTTTACATGAAAGCTAATCCAAATTAATTGCGTAAACAAGAGCTGGGAAGTCGCAGAAACTCCGGGGAACTGAAATTACAACTCCGGCTTCAGTGAAAACAAGTTAAACTTTGACTTCACAGCCTTGAGCGCCAGAAGTAACAAGGTACTACTTGAATTCACTACTCATATATACTTCAACTAATTTTGTGGTAGAAATTACCTGCATGACGTATCCCCTCAAGTAAAATAAGAGCTCGTAATATTTTACATATTTTCCACATCATCAGCTGGAGAGGCACATTCAATTCCAAGCCATAAAGTTATTTTACGTTTAAAATTTATTTTAATACACTAAGAAGATGTAAGCGACATATTTATGACGTCACAGTCAGGATTGATATGTTCATTTTACTTTGTATTTCAACAAAACTAATGCAATATATATTCACTTTTCTTTCTGGTTTTTCATTAAGCCAGTTTCAAAAAATTAGTGTTCTCTCAAAAGATATCATAATTACCATCCAATTCAGTATAATACGAGTGCGCTACTATCCGCAAATCAAACTATTCTGAAAAATACTTTGTATTTAAAATAGTTATTTGTGACTGGTTTACAGCAACTGCGAATGATATCACATTGGTTCGTTTCTATGTAATATACAAGGTGGGCCAAGCTAAGATTACGAGTATTACTTCGAAGACTCACTAAATCCAAAAAAAAACATAAATCTTATAAAAATACGTAACACTTAATATCCATTTCTAGATGTACTTGTCATTCGTTGCCCGTCTTATCCCTGCCTATATTTAGCGGTTGAGTACCACATAGGATTAAATAATCACTAAATTCAGCATATATATATATATTTTATTAATTGATATTTGGTAATAAAACACAATTACTACATAGTATAGCAAAGAAACGTAAACGGCATTACAAAAATGAATAAGAAATATTAACATCACATAAAAATTCAATCATCTTCCATTCTGAAGCGCAGAATTTCGATGAAGCTGAACGGGTTAGCGTTTAGCGTAAAAAAAACCGACATTTTATTGAAAACCACACTAACTAAATATATTCAATTGTCAATTTGAATAATTCTCCCATATAGAGTGCACAGTATACAGCTTCATTAATTTCACCGCTAAAATGATATACAGTCTCTCTGGTACTCCCCAGTCCGAACCATTCTAAATTTTTTCGTTTGAAATGGAATTTCACAAATAACCTTTGTTTATTGTTGTTGCATACTACGACAACCAACGGAAAATCATGTCAAATATGGTTGGATTTGTCACTAAATAGCTTCATCCATTTACTACGAGTTTTTCTGGAATTTTACTTTTTTCTGGGAGGTATTATGTTCCAGTTCTATTTCTTCTGAACTTGTTTCCTTCACTTTTGTTTCCAAACTATGAATTCTCAATTTTAAATTTGTTTGTGAGGAGATGTGTTCAGCCATCAGTCGTGAGAATTGTGTTTGTAATTTTGTGATTGATTTTTCCAATTTATTACACTTCGACATCATGTCTGCTTTGCTTAATCCTTCTTCATCCTAAATTCAAAATTTACTTAAAAATTTTAGTCGTGACTAGGGCTAGACGGAAAATCATGACTAATACAATTTTGTACAGTACAGTTTTTAACAATCACGGAGCCCATATGATACAGACGTGTGACGATTCGATTAGGAGCTGCCAACTTGGTTAAATTTGGTTATCTTGAAAAATTCTTAAATTATTCGACCTAACCTGGGAATTGAAAATAATTGTATTGGTCTCAAATTTTGAATCGTTATATTTACTGAGACCCAATTTGGACAGGAAGTTAAGATCTTTAACTCAACACTGGTTTATTGCATTCACCTTACACCGTTACAGAACAGTATCTCAATTCTCACTACTAAGCGATGATTAGCCGACAGTATTAGCCATGATTAATGCATAATTTACCTCGTCATTCGGTTTATCAACCAAGCCATCCTTCATTAACATTTGTCGTCCCTTCTCTTCCAATACATTCTTAGCGTCAGGATAATCATCCAATACTTGTAATAAATCGTCTTTCGATAAGCAAAATAAATCAGAATACCTTGAAAAAAAAATAAAAATTCAACAGTTATTAAATCACAAAACAAGCAGGGTAATACAATTTCGTCACAGGTATCTAATATTTAACGACTGTGGATTGTGTTCTTTCAAACTCCCGGAACGCTTATAGTCCTATACTCTAACCCAGCTACTCTGCCAATAAACTTGGTACTTACCCAATACTTCTCACGTTAGCGGTTCTTCTGTTGCCCGTTTTGTTTCCGGAAATATTCAAAATACTGATTTCCCCAAAATATGCTCCATCGCCTAAGACGCAGAATTGTGTTACGCCGTCGTCGGCTACAACAGCTAATTTACCTAAAAATAGTTTAACACAATCATATACTTTTCATTACCTACGTAGAATTTTATTTATTCATTATTGCTGCAGAATCAAAATAAAAAAAAATATTGGAAAATCCGATATTTTCTGATTTAACGTAAAATAATTTTAATTAAAAGTGAAAAAATTTCTATAAAAATCATGCGATCGACACTCGTTGGTACAGAACAACGTATTATGACATGATTGTTATATAAAGTGTCCGAACGCATCTATTGGATATTGTAACATTTTATTTCATTTCAATGAAAACTGCATTATAAACTTAATGCAAACGTCGAAACATTTCGTTGAAGTAAATTCTATGTGAACTGACCTTCTTTTACGATGTACATTTCTTTGCCAACGTCCCCTTTCCTACAAATATAATCGCCGGGACTAAAGACTTGAGGACTCAGTCGCAGTACAAGTTCGACAAGTAATCCTGGTTCACAATCCTGTTGAACAAATAGTCAGTTCCCAACGATTCGATCAAAGTGAAGTTATTCGCAAAACTTCTGGCCCGATTAATATAGTTACGAAAATATTGTATTGGCTTATTATGCGTTTTAGCAATCACATTAATGTTACAACGAAATTTGGCATCTCTGGATTCAGGTTCAAGGTAAACTTAATGTTGTTTTATTATCAACTTGGAATGGAATAAATCAATTTGAAACAGTTGTATATATATCGGTTATCAAGTCTTAAGTCGAGCGCATTTTAGAGATATCGTGTATCCTGCTGGTCCGGCTAGCAAACTCCATCAACCACGTGTCCATCAATCGCCAAACATTTTAAAAACGATAAGATTTCCATATTTAATTCATACTTTGTGGTGAATAAGGTGTGAGAGAGATCTGCATAACGTCAATCTTACCCTAAAAAGTGCCACTCTTTTCAGTGTGTCCAGATGGACGTTGATGGCGATTTCTGCTCGAAGTTTATCCGGTAACGTTGATAGAATATGTCGTTCGTCAGTAGATTTTTTATTCGTCCATAAATAATCAAACCATTTGATTACTCGCTTTTGCAATGTATTGCTTACTTCTCGAAACTGAAAAATGCAAACGAAAATATACTGTAGCCTAATTGTCTACTTCATATATATATATGTCATGTAAGTAGACTGGCAACAGTCGGATAGTCTACGGGTATGGTACTGCGCAGTCCAGCACTGTCTCTGGGAACCGGAGGCGAAAACAAGAGATATGTGAGTATTAGTATTTATTTGCGATATAACTTATTGCCAGAAGCCCACATGTTAAAAATATTGTAAAATGTACCTGCATGTATTGTTTTACAGCGTCCATCCTACTTTGAAATTCTGTTTTAGCAGCATTCATGTTACTGATCATAGAGCCGACGTTACCAACAATTGTAGCAAAAATCAGCACCCCGATCAAAAAATCAAAAATCTGAATGAACGATGTAGTACATTTTATTAAAATATTCAAGCTGAATATACAATATTCTACTATTTTTTTTAATAAAAACTGAGAAAAAACAACAATATACAAACCTGGAACAAATATTCGATATCTCTATCTGGCATCGGAGTTTCACCAATGGTTGTCAAAGTAAGTGTTGACCAGTACATGCAGTAGATGTATTTTCGAGACAAAGTATTAAATGGATATTCAGTTATGTCAGGATACACCCATCGATCAGTGCCAAACCTTATAATGGAATTTGAATAAACAAAGTTAGATTGATTAATCAACAATTATAAGATAGCAGACATACAGACCGAACAGCATAGGCTAATTTTGATTGGTGAATGCCAAACCCGTTAAGCATAAAAAGACACGAACGAAAACCAGATATTTATGTATATATATAATATTACAGATAAAAATAGATTGATTTTGATATCGATCAAAGTACTAGTATGGTATTGGCGATTTGACGAACCATAATGCATTAGGACTCAGATGTCCGGTGAATCCTCGTCAGTATGGAAACTACTACTTTGTTGTTGTAATCATCTCAATGTCAATTATATTACCCGTGTTATAGATACACTCGTGTTAGTACCGTGTTTCATTGGTACTAAACTATGTAACAAAACATTCTATGAATATCTTACCCGATAGCGTTTGAAATCGCATAGTAAATGCATGCATTCCAATGAATAATAACAACAATATATAAAACGAGAATTGAAATTCTGAAAAGATTTGGACATGAAGTCCTTGTCTCTGCTCGATCGAAGCATTCGAACACCCGGGATATTCGCAATACTCGATTTAATCTGTAAAATGGACAGAATAATATGTTAATAATAACAATAGCATTAAAAAACAACATGAAATGGAAAAAGATATGCCCAGAAAAAAGAAAATGGAAAATACCTGCAAAATGCAGCATTTAAACCGGCGAAAAGGTAAATTATATCCGTAGGAAGCAAAGAAACCAAATCAAATTTAAATTGAGCGCTCTGTCTATAATGCTGTCGCAACTGCTTCGTATCTTCCACTAGCAATCCTTGCTCTAAGAAACCTAAAAACAATAATAAAATGGATTTGAAATTGAGCATAGCAATGTCAAATGACAACTGTGGAACAGGGTACCGTTTAAGTACCAACTCGCGGAAATCCGCATTGTGGCGCAACGTTTTAATAAACGGAAAACGAACCCCAGACAGCTCTTAGAAAATAAATCAAATATGTGTGTATGTGACAGCCTTTAAGGTGTTAGATACACTTCTGTCTTCAACTGTTTTACATTTGAAAGCAAATGGTCCAATTGCAAAGGAGAGCAATTTACTGTTCATGTCTCAACAACAACATAAGGCAACGACAAGTCGGTGCGACGTTTCCTATCGAGTCAATTTGAAAATTAATTTAAACGATGAATCATAGGTTACAATATTTTCGTTGATATTCTATAATATATATATAATTCATTGTTGAATGTCAAAAAGAGACATGAAATGAGAAAAAAGGAAACTCGTTTGAATATGTCAAGATTATCAAAAGGCATGAATACACGGATTGTGTCTTATTTTTTATTTTTTTTCCTATATATTGTGATTGAATGTCTTCCTGCTGTGGGGTTTGTTCTCAATGAAGCAATTTTAATGTTCGAAGGGAGGAATTTTCACTTTGTATTTGGGTGTAATATCCACAGCCCTGGACTAACCGCCGTAACAACCAAATGGGTTCACGTGGCAAGAAAAAGTATTGGTTTTTATAGTTTCTAAAACAATAGGTGGGCAAAGAGAAGCCTATTTAATTTTATTTTTTTGCCTGGCCTCAACATCTTCAACACGAATTTGGTGAACTTCATCTTTTTACCAGCTGAAACGAAACTCCAATTGTGTCAAAGTAAAAATGAACTTTAATAGCTTACCTGTTTTCATTCTGACAACGGTGTCAAAAATATAAATGATATCGCACATATAGTCTAATGTAAACCACATAGGAATGAATGCAGTCTGTAGATCCGTGAAACACGATCTCGCGATAGCGAAACATAGGTTGTACATAACTGCAGTTGAAATGACACATAACCACCCGAAATAAAAACTCTCTGATGGATCGATTATCCAAGGCTTCTTTTCGGGTTTTTTAGGTTTTGAGTTCCTGGAAAATAGGTAATTTTTTTGTATAACTTCATTCATTTAAATACTACCTACGAACGAGATTATCTTTTATCGATGACTTTTGGGGGTCATTTAAATACTAAAAAAAATATTGACGAGTGAATTTTTCAAGTGGTTATCCCGGTCTATGGGTATGTGGTACAGTTATGGTTTATCGTTTTATCAGTGTCGCGTTGAGAAGCATTGTTGCAAACTTGTTTCATATGTATCCTAGTGGAACTTGAAAATTTTGCCCCGTAAAAGATTCATCCGCAAAAGCATTACTAAATGATTGCTTCAATTATTTCACAGAAGATAGTAATATATATACCACCATTTGGGATATTGATTCCAGGATTTTAATCCCCGACTGTATTCTTGTATAACAGGATTAGTTTTTTTTACATAAAGGTATTGTAAGGTATAAATTTGAAAATTATTATCAAATAAAAAAAATTGCCAATGTTGTTCAACAAAAACCATGAACCTACTTGTCTTCTTTTTTCTCTGGTGATTTTTCTGAAGAAGGAGCTGGGGCATTATTTTCGGCGGGAGCTTTGTTTGCTACTGTGGGTCCGTTAAGACGTTCAATGAATGAATCTTGTGCTACGTCTCCAACTTTTCCTGACTTCACACCTAACCAGTAGTTAACTCTGGAAATAATCAGAAAATTTGTCAACGCAATGACGTATAAATTATAATCAAAATCGATATAAAATGACATTGTTTATTATGTCGTCATGTAACACGTAACAGTAAAAATCGCAATAGACTAATCGTACGAGACTCATTTTGTTAGATTTCAAACAGATGGGCAAAGAACAGTAAATCACCAATTTGGCAGAAATAACTTGAAAATACTGAATGGTTTGCAAAATGATAAATAAAACAAATCCATAGAGTGGCGCCCAGTTTGAATCAGCTCTCACATACCTTGTATGTACTCGGATAGCATTTACCAGCCTTGTCAGTCTTCCAGGTTGACCAGGTGTCGGAGACGGGGTGCCTAATTCAAACCCGAGTGGTATAGCAACTGAAGATCTGATGAAAAAAAAAATTCATCTGAATGCCGTTTCGAACAAACCTGTTACAAACATTCGAGGGACTGCTCCCACCCATTGCTGTCCAAAAGATGTCATAGTTATGAAAATTTTAGGTCCTTGTCATATAGAGTGAGCACAGAAAGTCTAACTTTGAGAATTAACTATGAATTTGAGCAGGGTTTTCAAACTGGATCCGTTGACCCACTTGTATTTCTATTGTCAGGTGTGAAGCATGACGCGTGTACTTGACTGATAATATATATAGTTCCTAGGACCGCGAAGATTATTTGTAACAAACGATCACAGATTTCACAGTAATATTTTGTATGAAGTGTTTGAAATAATACATATATATATGTGATATCCTGTTTGAGAACCATTTAAAACAGTCAACTATTTACCGCTTAATTTCGTGTCAGTTCGCGAGGGTTTATGTTTAATGACTTTGGGGTACTCGTGTACGCAATGTGAGAAAAATTAAGAATCTTTCCAGTCTTACCCTGCATCTGCAGATGTTATACTGCATTGTGAAGAATCTTTTTGGAAAGATGTATGTCGTGATGCCATTTTGGTCAGCAGTTTCACATATAAATTCCAAATTCAAATCTTCTGTAAAATTCAGTTTATCCAATTCCACGATATAAATATTGTTATATAGCTAATTCCACAATGTATAGTTTCATCCCAGCACATTCGTTCCAGTAATGATAATTACGAATCTTTTCATGCTCTTCAATAATCTTGTACTATTGACAGGGGAATAACTTCGAAAAACAAAATCTTTAAAAAGCAACTTTGCTTATTTAATTAACTGAAAAAATCGTTTTGTGAATGATGTAGCCGTTTAGGAAATAAATACTACAACTCAAATAACAAGAAAAATCCGAAAAAGCAATATTTCCTAGTTCATAATGTCATGATTTTCAAACAATCCCATTTGAACGAGAAGAAAGAAAAGGAGTACACTTTAATCTGAAACTATGAATTAAACATGCTGAAAACGTCTCTACTGTTCATTACATGTGGTATAAATTAAATAAGTGCGAATAAGTTTATAATCTCTCATATATTCAAATTTTCACAACGATTCGAAGCATTGAGAAAAGTTGAATAAAACGATTGTTAAAATGATTAAAAGGAAATAGGCACCATTCTCTTGAGATCAGAGCAGTACATTATCTTGGCAATCCTTGCTCGCATTTTGTACATATAGTTAATATCTCTGTTGTTTATACTACAAGTCTGTACCAGGGTTCTGGCACCAGAATATTTTAGTAATGATATTTATGTTACTATTTTTATATAATTATTACGAGAACTATCTTCAGTTTACCATATCTAGTTTTTTCTTTGGTATACATTAATTATCGCGCTTCCAAGAAAACTCACTTCTTCCACACAATATGCCTTTACGGTGGCTCTACTGAGTCTGTTTTTAGTTGTTGCGTGCCATTAATTTGACCTTTGACAACTTTATGTCCTATTTTAATCATAATATACACTTGCTAACGCGGAAAACATCGGTGAATCTCTTTTCTTTATCGGGAACTATGCTTCGATTTATTCAGTTGTGAAAAGTATCTCACTTCGTTTGGCGAATCGAATAACTCACAATAGTAATAACAAATTAACTAAGTTCTAAATTCTTCTTCAATACTTCAGCAGCAAACCTGGTCTGGCAATATGTTTATATCTTTCACACGACTTCAATTTTGTTACATTTTCATGCATTATATCTGACAAACCTATTGAAAGCTGGCCTGCCACTCATTTCCATCATCGTACGTTATTGTTGGTAACGCTGGTCGATAAAAAATACATCTCAATCAATACTCACTGCATTTACCTCTGGTTTATTGTAGTTGTGACATGGAATATCCTATTAAGTATGCGAAACGGTTTAATCCGTTTATAAACGATTTTACACAATTTCAAATGCATTGCGGATTAAGTTACATTCATCAATATGGAGAGGTCAATTTCGCCCGCATAACCTGAACATTCTAAAATAACGGGGACGTCAAATGGTTATTTAACTCGGTTAGTACTGAGCTACTACTTAACCGCGACGTCTGATTTATTCAAGAGAGAAGCGAATGATATTGGAAAGAGAGACATCTCGCGACTGCGTCGTTTTTATGGAATGTAGAAACGTGTATTATTCATGATGATTGTGACTCTATCATAGTACCGTATAGTCTTCTATTCATTAAAGGGCTTCAACTCAAAAGTGCGAGGAAATCGTATTTTTTATTTTTAAACTCTCGTAACTTTTTATTGAAATACTATGATTAAACTATGATCAGATGCCAGGGAAGCTTTGTTCGTGAATCCAAATTTTGTGAAAATACCTAAATTCGAATATAAATACCCAAATTAAAATATTCGCTCTTTTTTACGCCATCATGTTGTGTCCAATTATGTTTTTTTTCGAGCATTCATAAGTTTTGATAAATATCCTTAATGGAGTATTTGAAGTATATTGCTAATCACGTGTCAAACATGGACTGGAAAACAAGTTATTTTCTTATCTTCGCCATTTTTAATGAGCCACATATCTAGGTTTTGTATTACAAATATAAATACTGTAGTATCAAGTTTTGCCTTTTTCTCGAATTTGTACTAGTAGAACGAGATGCATTTCACCATCTTTTTCCAAAATTCATCTTGGGAACTAATTGAGTCATACTAAATATGGACTGTTCGATATAAAAGAAGTCATCCCTATGCAATATTTAAAATAATATTTGCGTATTAAAACTTACAATTGTGTAAAATGGAGATATTTTCATTAAAACGGTGGTCTTTATTTCTTCTGAATAATTGAGAGTAATCATCAATATGCACATAGATAGTTTAAAATGTTAACGGTAATGTCGCAACAAGAATTTTTAAATATAGGGATGAATCGCGGCCTATAGGAAATTTTCTGACGTCGGAACTGAAGTCATATCAAGTTAAACTTCTTTGAGTCGGGACTCGGGAGACATTAAATGAAGTCATTTTTGGTTTGAAACAGATGCAAAACTATATTCATATTTGAACTTTTCTGATTGCCTTGGCTAATAAAATTAGAATAGAATTTTCCCAAGTCGATAAAGAGAGTATCTCTCCTCCTTTTCCCTTTATTAACATCAGATTCTACTGATTTCACGTTGCATAATGACTCATTTGCTAATAGCATAGGTGAAACGTCAACACTCGCCTGCAACCCTGCATCGGAACAAAACATAGGTTAATTGGTTTGTTTCTTTATTAACGTTTTGTTGGAAATAGCACAAACATAAGCAAATGCCACACAAGGTTAATTTAACAGTATTGTACCAGTGTTCTTTATATCAATCTATGAGAAAGACGATTTTATTTTTATCAAATTCAACAATATATTTCTATTAGCATAGGAGTGATTCGGTTTTGTCGTGTGGTCATATAAAGAATCAGTGCTAACGCAATTTCTCAAAACTTAAAATGTTGATGAGGTAACTTCAATTTTCCTGTAAACCATGTCAGTCATGTATGATCGTATAATCCTTGAGCTTTCAAATCTAAAGCTAGTCGATTTGGATTTCTTCTTGATTTTTTCAATTTTGCCCGTTTGTTTTGGAACCAAACTGTAAAACATGAATTATTTTAATTAGTAATTAAAATAGTTAATTAGTTATTTTCTTGTAATTTTGCTCTCACATTCAAACTTGTTTATAGGGAGAAAAAAAGGGTGAATGATACGGAATTTATAATTTTCAGAATGACTAAATTTTATACAACTATCTCTGTATTCAAAATATGGTATCAGAATTTATCGCTACGGATTGTGTTTATAGCAGATCTTTCGCTGTAGGGCCGTAACTATTGCGAGGCTCAATTCAAAACGAAGTGTGTGGGTGCTAATTGGGTAGAGATGATAATAGCTGAGAATTCAGGCTTTACATTTGAATATTATTTGATAAAATACAAATATCACGATTAAAAGTAACTTTACTTTACGAACTTTATGTATATAGTTTGAAACTGCTGTCCAAAACAAGATTATAATTAATATTGGTTAAATTTAATATTTTGCTCATGGGAGGGTGGGCCGCATTCGCAGTGGCCTATGCGTCAGCATTTCAATGGCGTGAACTTTTACATCCTCAAAAAAATATCAAGGAATGTACCATTTTCTCAGGTTCATTTACCTTTAATCTGAGGTATGGTTAATTGGAGATTTTCACTCAAAATCTGTTTTTGATCCTCTGATAAATATTGACAACGAGAAAATTCAGTTTCTAAAACTTGAATCTGATTGTGTGTAAAAATAATTCTCTCTCTTCTGTCTGTGCTCGTTAAACGCGAACATTCATTATCACCAACACTTGAATATTTCTTTTCTCTGCGTTTTCGAGATCTGGGACCTGAAAAGTACATAAAAATTTTCTATTACGTTTTTAGTTTTGTAATTTTTTGACGTAAATATGTTTAATGTTATATATTATATTTACTCAATATTATCCATGGCCTAAATATTTGTATTGTAATGTCAAAGCATGAGTTTGATGACATGGGTAATTATTTTGCTTCAATTTGAACAAAATAACTTTAACTCGAATCCTACTTTTAATTTCATTTTGCAAAATTGCACCTGGTCTTATCTGCAGCATAATTTGCTAATAATGGGCGAATATTGGCCACTCAAAGTACGTTGATGTACATATTCGGAGATAGGCAATATATCGACCAAGTTTCTAAAATGATATAGAGAAAAGTTCTCTTGGCAGAATGCCGTCGACGACATCTTATTTTTCAGATTCGCGTAACAAGACGAGAAGCCGAACCATTTTGGACCATAATAAATAACGGGTATCTTGGAGCTATTACTATTAGTATTGGTTTGTTACTAGTGTCCTTAGAAACACAGCTCCTAAAAGAGTTGATTTTTATTTGCAAATTTTCATAAATATTACATATATACTACATAATATAGTACATACCTGCACATGGCCTATCGGAGTACCTTGTACAAAACACCCAAGCTGGAAGTTTTTCTTTTTCCTCTACCGACAATTTTTCAAAGTTCGACGAACTTGTACTTAATTTTTTACTTGTTTTCACGGTTACATCTTCAGCTATTGTACATGGGTTTTCATTTTTGCTCGCGATTCCATTCAGCTGAGCCTCGTTAGATACTGCTAGCTTATTTGCGTTTGGGCCCTCGTCACAGTCGTCTTTTCTTAGAATTGTATCTATATAAAAGTCGGGAAATCTCGATTTTTGCATCTTTGCTTCCAGAAGGAATATAGACAAGACACACTGCGAACAGATCAAATTTTATTTCACCGATTTAAAAACTTCTTGATGATGATGTAACCCACATTTTCTCACTTGTTATACGATTAAAAAGTTGTTGTTGATTTAATTAATTTGTTGATTTCATGGAAATTTATCACGGTCAAAAATCGACCGCTTAGTTAATAATAGTGTGTAAATTTCACCCGTATTCAACCGTAATCCGTATCGTAACGTTGGTCGTCCGCAGCTGCGTCATTTCCTACGCACCAATACATTCATCAGAGTCGATATCACAATTACTTGAAATTGCAGCGAAAATTCACTGAAAATATTTACAATTCAGGCATGATTAACACGCTATTCTACATTTTTTAGTTATCCCTTATTTATCCACGATCTAACATGATTTTAAAAGACGACCACTCCAGGGAATAGACAACAAATTGTAAATCGCTTTGCGCTTCATTTAACTGAAAAGCATTTGTTTTAATCAATCTTGATATTGACAAGACATTTAACATCCGATAATATGGTCAAAGGTTTCGAGAGAGAAAGAATCAACGCCGTCTCCGGTTGCGAATAATTTGTTTTATTTCAGTTAACAATGGAAGAATTCGTAACAGTATTTATAAACGGAGTCTCATTCTTGGAGCTGAACCAATTTTTATGTTAACGGACGACTTCGGTTACTCCTGTAGTGTGTGTACTAGGTTAGACCATAATCCGATTCCGAATTTTTTTTAGTTAGTTCTATTACGAGTTTGGGGACTGTCTGTGTTAGCCAAGTGAATATACGTCCTGTACATAGGTTTCAGTCCCTTTACACAACTTGATGTAAAGTAGGCAAACAAAATTAGTTACCTCCATATTGGTACACATACTTCTGGAGCGCCCGATTTTGTGCAAAAGAAAGGGCACCCGGACCAAGGGTTGTGGAGCGCTGCTTGGCATGTCTCCCACTGGCATGAAGATAAAAGTCAAAAATGTATACAAAAAAATCCGCCCCCCCCCATCGAACTATTTTGGCTATGTTTAGCATTCAATCATAACAGGTCGGAGATAGAAAAATCCGTATTCCATAAAGGCTACTTTACTAGTGGGTGGTTCTTCAGAATGACGGGTAACATTTGCCAGTTTCTCATACCAGTCATTTCATTTTATGACTAGTACATTTGGCACCACTATTTCCATATCAAATCATAATATCAGGCTATTCTTGTTCGAACACTTCAGATGATTTTAAATATCACTTTAATCTCTTTATTATATATTGTCTTTCCATCAAATAAACTTAAATAAAAATAGCACAAATAGAACTTGTTAACGAGATAAATACAGAATATGAGTATAAGCATTACAGTGGTGAAAATTACACCCTTACGAAAATGATACATAGAAACAATAAACTCAAATATAGGATATCAATATTTTTAAAATTACAAAAAAGCAAGGATAAACACGAAAAGTAAGAAAATATGGCAATTTTACAGAAGTAAATTTTTTAAGTGATGACAGGGTCTCTCGTGAATTCTGAAATTTTTATTTCTTAAGATTAGTTGAAATAACACAACACCAAGCATTGCAAAGATTTCATTTCAAATAACATAGCTTATATGTTATACAAATTTATTGAAGAGATTATAGAAGAACCATCCGATATTTTTCAATTTTTAATATGTCTAATCAATATAATACACCGTACATATACAACATCACACAATTTATATTGCAGATCTCAAAATTTTCAAAAAAGTGTACACGAAAAAAAAAAAAAATTTTATACGATAAATTGACTTTCTGAAATAAAAAATAATATGGTTTTACTTGTATTTAATTGTATATTACAGACTCCTAATAATTTACGAGGTATCACAAATTTCTGTACACGCAGATAGCAATTCGTCTTTTACTTTTTTGAGAGATGTGGATACATCAGTGACTTCATACAGTTTCTTATCATTGTACGACAAAATTCCGATATTCAATAAATTACTGATTCCGACACTCATGTCTATAGATCCGACTCCTCTTTCTGGATAATTTTGCTCCATTTTTTTAAACCAAGCATAACATTGACCAATTATTTCCTCGTTTGAAACTCCTTTGCCTGAAAATATGTATGATTTCTTTATTTCTTTATCATATTTAACCTTAACCATATTTCTTTATTCGGTTACTTGCTCATGTAGACAAACAAGCCAACACTATGAATGCGCGCACGGCTTTAACATGTGAAACCTGTTTCGCCTCTACAACCATGATTTTCCAAATGAAGGAAGGACTATTTTGTTTATCGCTGACACAATGGAAAATGCAGTTATGTGTTGGAAAGCAACCAAGCAAATATCTATTTATTTGCAAATTTGTATTTGGTAAATATATACCCCATATTTTTTGAGAAATTTTTTTCCCCGATCTATGAAAAAACTATAGGTGACTCATTTTTTTCCTAACCAAGAGTGAATAAAATGAAGACTTGCTGCTCAGACTGTAATAACAGCAACATGTATGCCCAATTCTAGAGCTCAAGCAGCAAATTTTACAAAAAAATACTGTATTTCACTTTTTTATTAGATGATACTGATTTTATATTACTTTCAAATTTAGATAACTTGTATGTTCATATCTATAATAAATTCAACTTCCGTACTAATGACAAATTACCTTTGTTTCGATGAGCCGCTTGTAATGCAGCTACATAAGCAAGAATCGTTTTTTTGAAGTTTTGTCCTCTTGCTCGGTTCAATATCTCGAATGCAAGAGCTGAGTTATTTGAAGTGCTTTTATAATAAAGCATTTGTTTCCATTGTATGTTATATCGATTTCTCACATTTCGGTAAATAACATTTGTTCTGTAGAAATGGAGGAATTTTAAGAAAAAGATAGAGAAATCATTTTTATGGTTTATATCTAATTTAATGCTTTTCGAGTTTCTGTCACAAATATAGACTTTGATTATCACATTTAAAGGTTTAAAATTACGGCTCAATATACCCATAAAAATAAGCCAGACTCGGATTTGACAGCCTTGATCTTTTTGGAATCCAGAAATTCGGATGAATTCTGAAATATTTTCTGTGTAAATATCACAAAACTAGCATAAAATAGAAGCCTATCCAATTAAAGTGTTGATAATTACTCAAAATAGCTTACACAAACGTATTCATTCTTACCTATAAAGTATAAATGACAAAACAACTGCCGATACCAACATAAATCCAAATTTATGTTCCGATTGCAACCAAAGTCCAAAATTAAAGAAAAATGTTACTCCACTTGATAAGAGAAAAATATTCCAAAACCATTTTTGTTTCCATGGTATATGAATCCTGTTTGAAATTCGAAGATATTTATGATTGATAAGAAAATGCAATTGTAATTTTCTGTTTTTTTTCAAACATAGTATATCAATCAAATTACATTTTCTATATTTTTGTTAATGAATTGTGTCGGGAACTAGGATCTATCTTGTTTGGCATTGCCTACCCAATTTATTACACCCTGGGTTAGAGCTAAGATCTGAAGCCCGACCCAACCCAAAATTCGGGCCGGGTCAGGCCTGAAATGTCAATCATTACGTTCGAGTCCGGCTTCTCTATCGCTGATTTTTTTTTTAAAATGAGGCGTCGAGGGTCAAGTTCAATTCCCACGGGCCTGAGTCGAGCCGGACTGTAATTTTTGGGCCCGATCTTACCTCCACCCTGGGTGAGGTGGGTGATGGGCATAGGGTTTGAACTTGATATGTGTAATTTGATTCTTATTCAAGTAGTTTGATGATTTAAAATACACAAATCGTGATGGAACAAGATCATGATTCACACAAAAAATTCAAATTGTTCTTACTTTGCCTGCGGAATCAATGCTTCAAAATGTCCGACGGGAACATCCTTGAAACATTTGAAAATCATGTTTGAAGATTTCTTACTTTTAGCAGCAATGACAACCCTTCGATGACAAAGACTAGTTAGCTTCCTGTAAAATATAAATACAGTAAAAAAAATTGAAACTTTAAACTTGCAGTTTTATTAATTTAGTACAATAGCCAGTAAATTGGCCTCCCCACATTGAAAGAGCAATATCAGTATACAGGGAGTCCTCGACTTACGACGTTGTTCCGTTCTTGAGACGTGGTGCAACCCGAATTTCAGTGTAAGTCGGAACAACAAAAATGGTGTACACTCACCGTACACTATCACTGAAACTGTGTACCATGTGACTGAAGCTTAGTGATTATTCGTTCATAATCGTAATAGTTCGCAATTGTCATCGTAAATAATAAAACCAATCCAATGTGGCCAAAGCACTGATTTTCTTGATCACAATGATACAATTTAAGGGCTTAGATATTACAGTACAGTATTATATTTTTATGGAGTGCGTTTGCAACCTCGAAACAGTGTTATGGAGTGTGCGTTCGTAACCTCGAAATAGCGTAAGTCGCGACCGTCGTAACCCTGAGGACTCCCTGTATATTTAAAATACAAAGGTTTAACCTGAACAAAAGAAGTAAATTGAACATGCAGTGAAGTATACGAGTATATATAAGTCATTCGCAATATAAAAAATGCTTCAACTTTTCTAAGTGGGCCAGCCCCTCAAAGAAATAGGAGTGGAAAACAACAGAATTGTTGATAGTTGCTCGACAAATAGTTCGTTATTTGGTGGATATAAAATTTTAAAATAAATTAATATTGGAATCAGAGCAACTAACGGCCAACTCGCTGAGGAATATACAGAGACAAATTCATATTCAATAAATGTAAGGATAAGTAAGGGCTGGCCAACCTTGCTATGGGTTCTAATTAGAAAGAAAAGAATAATAAGTACAGCGCGCCTTTTCATATCAACCTGGATGAAGTTTAAAAAACAATTACGTGCATTGTTCATGTCAGGATAAATACTTGTTCAATATCTGCATTGTAACAACATAATGCATATAACATGGCAAAACATTCCACTTGAAGAAAATTTTTCCTGTTTTAAGTGCAGAGTTATGTAGAGATCCCCAAACCCCAGTTAATGGCCTCAACATACAAAGTCTCAAGTTAAGTTAGTCTATGGTTACATATTACTGGCAGTGAGAGATTTCAGTAATTTTATCAAGATGACCTTTGTCACATTGCGTCTCTGACAAATGGTGACTCGATTGGAATGAATGACTCCTCCCCAACACTGCTAAGATGGTTGCTACTCCAAATTTGGGGAATATTAGTGAATCTTTTTTGCAAAAAGCAACAATACTTGGCAAAACAAAGATCAGAACTATGAATTAGATTTTGAACAACACATACTGATAACTATTTCGTGAGCTGATCTTTTTCCACTGTTTTTCTGTTCTTTTTTTGAAGGAAACATATTTATCTTGATTCGAACCGGAAGTTCCGAAAACCCAAACTTTCAAAAAGTCAAATTCTTCGATCTCAACTTTCAGCTAAAAAAAAATAAGAAGAATAAAGAAGCCTTAACAAAAGAACAAGTACAGAAGGAAAATAAAACACACTGCAGAAGGGTAAAGGATCATTCCTGCATAAATGCAGTGCATCAGGAGACTTCGGAATACTTGCACCTATTATTGCAAAGTCATTAGTAGAATACAAAAGCTTTTTCATTACCCAGATAAATTGAAATCTAATTTAAAAAATATACTATTCTTATGTACCTCAACATTTTCGTATCGATGGTAAGTTAGGAACAAATTTTTAACATCGTTTTGACTGATTTCTGAGTAGCCAGCTTGTTTTAAAAATGTAGAAATATGACGAAGAAAATCTGTTTCTTTTTTTAAATCAGTTTCCTCGTCCACATCAGTATTATTATTTCCACTCTCGTCAATCTCCAGTTTTACTCTGTCTGGATCAATTGCTTTAAATTTACTTCCAATCGCGTCCACTTCATCCCATGTTTGAAAGGATACGAGTCTTTCCATTCCAGCTGCGAGGTGCAAGAAGTCATGCTGAAGGTTTTTATGTCGCTTTCCTTTTGCGTCACCAGCTGATAGTAAGGATATGCGTTTAACTTCTTCACTGAGAAGTTCAACAAATTGTTTTTTAGGCCATGTTACGTGATTATTTTCACATTTTACTCCAGGAATACTTGGTGGGGCAACAGATGATTTATAGCGAAATGATGATTGTTTCAAGTTATGATTGATTCGATTTGGATGACGTGTCGTCCAACAGGGTGCCAGCTACTGAAAATAAAACAAATGTGAAATATTCCAATTTATTACTGATATTAACAAGCATAGGCCTTCATGTTATTTAAATTCAGAAATTGGATAGTGCTATCAGACTATAGCTGGCTTCATTTAATCCAGTAATTATTGTAAAAAAAATAAATCGCCAAAAAATAAAATGCCAATAACAAAATCATAGTTTACTATTTTCAAATATTAATTTTACCCAAATCAGTATATCTCATGGACCTATGCATAAAAAAATTCATGCCGAACTTAGGATAAGAAAAGTTCTCACCAAGGTAAACCTGACAGAAGAGCAAGCATTTTTGTTAAACACCGCCTGGAAATGATGATGATTAACATTAAGGAGCGGCATTCCCACGTACTGCTATAGACGGAAATTGCGCCTGTTGTAATACGCTTCCATTTTTTCAGATAACATAATTTTTTATAACAAAAATCTTGAAAAGAAACTTTACTAATACAGCACCCAGCTCGACATAATTCATCCCTAACAACAGGGAGGCGATCTGCAAAGCATTGAAAAATCGAAAACAAATTAAGCTGATTAGGGATTTATTTAGATTATTAGATCTATTAGATTTGTATCTCGTGATATCAACATGATCAAGGCCCATCCACCGGAATTAAAGAAGTTTATGGATAAAAGATTGGATTTAAAGTTTGTGTTTGGCAGTCGTCAGGTGCGGTCGCATTTTTGAACGGCGCAGAAAGATTAGATTGACAACAATGAACCAGCACTTAAGGAATATCAACAAGTAGAGGCCGAAATATGAAATTACATGGCAGCATAAAGGCAACATACGGACATCATAACAGAATCGAAAGATGAATACAACAGGGATTGATTCAGATATTTTATTTTGTGACAAAGAGTATGATATACTGCTATTTCTAGAAATTCCGCTTGAATACTGAGTATTCAACTATATATGTGTAAAATAGTTTGCAGTGTAACTTACAGTGTAACATTTTTAAACATTCATTTAGTGGCATATTTTTGATTTGTTCTCTCTGTGTGTATACCGGTACTGTTTTAACAATGTTGGCCACGTCAATGTATCAATTAGGCTACAGACCTGCTCACGTGTGATTAGTGTTTTTCCTAATAATTGCTTTTATGAGTGTCCGCACACCGAATTTGCCGCCATGGTTTTGCGTTTGTTTGTATATTAAACCACTTATCACCTTTTCCGCAATGCCTAATCTAGCAATCAGTGTAGTTTTTCATGGCTTGGTTTTTCTTAAAGCTTTCATGGCTTCATGAGTATGACTATCGTCGCAAATTTATTACATTCCACTCCCCACATTATCTTTGCATGAGGTTGTAGGTATTGGTCATTATCAACGTAATTGTTGAAAGAGAGTACAACAGCCCGAAAGTTTATTACTTTCGTGTATTTTGTTTTTTAAGTTTGGCCCAAGCCTCATTTAATTGGGCTTGTGTTTTTGTGTGCGTGCTGGTGGGCAGGCACATGAGATACTTCATGTTTTAAACTTTTTTGTAGGTTTTGCTTGCCCTCCAGAATTCTCCATTTTAAATTTAGGTTTGTTATGGAGTTTTCGAAATAAACTATCTATCTATCTATCTATCTATTTTGCAGCTTGTAAGTGACATCATGCGACAGAGGAAATTGTTATCAAAATATTATAAAAAAAATAAAATTAATACTCAATTTTGTTTGTACTATTTGATCTTTATTTTTTCAAATGCAGAAAGCGTATTTTGTAAATATTAAAACAAAAAATTAAACGTATATATCGACATTTTAACAAATGACCCTAGTTCTCTAACGAGGTCATCGTCCTGGAAACAGCAGTGAAGCGAAACCGCACGAAAATATTTGCTTCATTCTTGTTGCAACTCAAAGTTGTAAAAAAGTTCTGAAGTTTTCTTGTTGTTCTATATGATGTAAATGCGGTAGGTTCAGGACAAAATGGAAAGTAATCAAGAGAAGAAGCAGAGTACGAAGCAAACTTCTCCTAGAATTTCTAGCACTGTACTACTGGACTTTTCTTTCAAGACACTTTTGTGTGTTGGAGGTCAGTGATATTAAAATAACGTTATTTGTATTTCTCAACCTGGCGGTACTGTAATTTACATATTCTAGTATTTCATTCCTGTCGCTTATGGTATTAGACTGACATAAAACAATGAATGTAAATATTCTAACCTAGTGGTTTTTTAACTTTCATGATCTCAAAAGATTCTGAATATTTGTCAGTTTGCGGCAGTCCCAACTTTTGCTCTTAACCTTTTTCTTTTAGTTATTAATTAACAAACGAAAGCAATGGAAAATAATAAATGCATTACGAACGCAAAATTAAACAAATCACTGTTGATTTATTTTAAATTAATAGTCATCTCGAATGGTACTGATATATCACGAAGCTCTTTGCTCGTGCCACCCGCCCTCCTGTCATAAAGTTTTAAAAAGATGGATGTTTTTGGTAAACTAGACAATCACTCAATCTCAATTTTGGCTGCTGGGTTACAGATATTTTCCCTCAGAAATAGTTAACCAGGTATTTGTTCCAGATGCATGGGCTTTCTGATGGAGAATTCATAACTGACCAGCAGTTATATAAACCACTTTATGGCAAGTCCAGCATCTATCTTTCAGTGAAATTCGAACCTGTGAACATTCGGTTCATGTGGTCTTTGTTGACATAATTTGCAATTATCTTTTATACCAGATATGGTTGATGAAGTAAAGAAGGGTGAAATCACTGGTTTAAAACGATCAGAAGAAAGTGGAAAACTTCTTTGCACTGCATTGCGACTTAATAATAACAACATCGGTGATTTGCAAGATTTAGGAGAAACATTGGAAGCATTATTTGATAATCCTGATACAATTGAATGGATTGATCTTTCCTTCAATGATTTGAGTTGTATCACTGGTGTAAGTCAGGAATGCAATATTTTTTTGATTTTAAAACGATCAAATTGAGTTACTATATTATCCTTGTTGGTTTTTATAAAGTATATAGGTGATAGGATTTTCGAATTTATATGATAGAGAAAAAACGATGAGATGGTTGAATAATATGGTTGATCATGGCCTCTCATTAGGGTATGGGGATAGTTAACCAGTCATTTATTCCAGATGCATAGGCTTGATAGTGGCAAAAGCCATATCCGACCAGCAGGTAGCTGAACTTTTGAGGGCGCAGGGTTAGGACCAATCTCAAGTTGAGTTTTTCCCATACTTTAGGACAGGAAAAATTAATTTTATTAAGACTTGTATTACTGGAAAGATTTTATACCACTGTTATATATAGCTTAGAGGTATGAAATAAATAGGATACTAACGTAACAATGTGGCAATAAGATATCATCAGCAATTATTATTCAATAACTTATTTTTATAACCGTATTGAATAAATTCGAGTTGAACTGTCAATTATACTCAATCAAAATAATTTATTATTTCATACCGCTTACTCGTGTAATATGGAGCCATTTTATTTTCAGTTTGAACAGCTATATATTATTAAGTTGTTGTTAATCTTGTTTCAGCTTCTTGATAAATTAAAGAATTTAAAGCGAATTTATCTTCATGGAAACACTATTGATAAGATTCAAGAAGTCAATAAACTTGCTGTTTTACCTGATTTGAAGAGTTTGACACTTCATGGGAATCCAATAGAATCTGAGAAAGGATACAGGTGAGAATATTTAAATCGAAATATCATGTATTATTCAGGGAATTTCTTCATTTTGCTATATACAGTTATACAGAATAACATCACATGGCTGCCCACAACTACTCTGTCCTCAATGGCTGAAAATATACACTGCTGAATGAAATACTTAACTTAATGAAATGACTTACTTAATTCAACTTATCATAAGTTTAAGCAAAGAAGGCGTATTTACCTAAGTTTTGAGTAGCAACAAATTATTCAAACTGTCAGTCAATGTAAAATATATAACATGTTGATTTTCTTTAATATAAAAATTATTTGTTTTTCAAAAGACAATTTGTTCTCTCTACACTGCCAAGCTTGAAGACACTGGATTTTAGCGGAGTTACAAAACAAGATCGTTCCACGGCAGAAACTTGGAAAAGAATGTATGGAGGACTGAAACGCAACAGGAGAACGAAATCAATAGCATGAAAACATTCAGTTTTTCTTATTTTTTAAGAAAGTAATTTGTATATTGTAGAATTCTATATTTGATCAAGTGCATTTAAGCATCAAGTGCGTTTAAATTGATATTTTCTAACACTACGAAGCTACAAATCAATTTTCACACAATACAAGTGCATTGCACTCTTTCTTGCTTTAGTATGTTAAATCATAGCTAGCTTTTTTCGTTCAGCGTATATTATTTTGAAATGTTGAGCTTTTCTCATCCCTCCCTTTTCAGCAAATCACATTACATTTACCCTATGTGAAATTAACCAACTTGCGTTTTAAATCATATTCATCCATAAAATAAAAACATTCAGAATTTCAGCACTTTACATATTTAATATTCTGGTTCAGTAGATATAATTTCTTTATACTTTGGATCTTCATCAAAAACATGTCTTATGAAACTGAGAAATGGCTGAATTCCTCTTCCAGTCAGTTTTATTTTAGTAAGGTTTTGTGGAATTTTCTTTTGTATATTAGAGCTGCTTTACTTAATTCCATGCTACAGCTGTCTTAGAAATTGTTTTTATTATTATGTATCATTTCATAGAATAGTCCATTGTTCGACTTATATCATGAACAGCAGAGTGGTTACTGATGCAGCGTATTAGGCAAATTGATATATATATATGAATGTTTTCTATGAAAGGCGCCATGGTATCTATTTTATACTATTCAAAATTTTGAAGTTCAATTGTATTTGAAACAGTATTAATATCCACCCTATCAGTCTGCTATTAACGCTTTAATTTTTATCTTGCAATATTTAAAAATGATAAAACCGGTATATCTGTTTCTGCATTATCTAACCAATATATTAAACCTGTTACGAGATGAGCTGTGAAACCTACAGACAATGCTTATGCTACCACATAATGCCTAAAATTAGCAATGTATTACTTGCATATTTTTAACAAAGTGAAGCCAAGTGTGGCGTTACTAATGCTAAAATCTCACAATATAATTCCAAACCTTTCACTGCACATAAAACCCAAGGTGTTCTACCTTAATTGAGCTAGCTGTACTTCCATTTGTACTTTATTGTATTCTTTTACTCTCATGTCTCATACACAATATATAGTAAACCTGACAATATTGTTCGTGTGTTTCTGCATTTCTTATCAGAAGAATCTTTGAAAGCACCAGTTTATTGTAGATCAGAATTCTGTTTGGAGCTCTGCTAATGTCATTGAATCTATGAAAAGATTGTAAGTGAAGATTGATGAACAGGGGTGTTAAATTGTCACTTTTTTTATTAATATAGGAGTTAGAGCAGAGGTCGTATTCTTGAACTTCTGAGAGTCAGAATTAGTATTTAAAAAAGGAATTGAGATTTCCAAAAGACACTCCAAGCATCAAGTTGAGTATGCACCATCAGCTTGTAATTTAAAATTGGTGTTTGGTGTCGAAATTATCTTCAGCGTTAAGTCGGAGTGGAAATTTTGGTTAAAGCACCAGAGTCTTGAAGATGTTTTTTAAATTGCTCGGGGTTCGAAGTCTATAGGTTCAGAATGATTGCTAGGTTGATGGGCAGTAAAGCTTTTTCGTTTTCCTTAGATTGCCGAAGGAAAATCATGTTAAGATAGGAATCACTAAAAAGGTATCAATGTATTCAATACGTTTCTCAATTTTTTTTCACACATACCCATGTTATGAAATTTATTCAAAAGAATATCACCAATTGTAAAGCTTCATACAAAACAATTTTGTACAGTTTGTGTGCACTGATGCTTATGAACAAAGTAGAAATAAGCTCACTTTTCGAAATTACATCAAATCCAAATTTCACAAATTAGTCTTATAATTGAATTCTGGACACAGAATCATAATTCTCTCAAAAAATTTGTTCAACGTGAGGCATATAGCTATTATGCCATGAGTTTAATGATGATTGACCATCAAAGTGTTATGTAAGCAAAATAAAATATGATTGAAAAGGTCAATTCGTCAGGGCGGGATTAACAGTTGTATCAATCGGAGTCAAAATTTTTTACTTTATACAGAATCTCAAAAAGCATGTTTTTACCCCAATCATGTTCCAACTGAGCTGGATATATTTTAGACAAATGTTACTGCCAATGTTATTACAATGAAAGTAGGCAGTTATGTACTTGATAAATTACCCAATTTTGCATCTGTCTTTTTTATAGCCAGGTTTGGCACAGAGTTGGCATATTATTATTATTTATATTGTCATATTTTCTAACACCTCAAAATTTTGAATTCTCTGGATTTGCAGTTCAGACTTTTGATTTAACAATTGAAGTTAAAGTATCTGACATGAAATGAAAAAGCATTAAATGGACCATTCATTCTCAGGACAAATTATTACTGCTTGCATGCACCAAAGTTTTTGTTATCAAAACTTAGTTTTATTGGAGCTGTGGTTGTTTTTAAATGACTTGGTGAGTTTGGAATCTGGTGTTAATTTTTCTCAACTCTGAAGTCAGTGCCATACAAACATTTCACATTTACATTTGAAGCAGTCGTGATATTCAGACATTTTCAAATAATCAGGAAAAGTTTTTGTTTTACTTAATCCGCAGTTTCATGACGTTAAAGATTGCTATTTTGTAATAGAGAAATTGGAATATGTTGTTGGTAGAATGCAAAAATTCAAGTTGTTTACCAATTTTGATGGCATGATGGTTTAGGTGTTAGACTTAGAGTGGCTGCTTGTACAGAGCCTCACTTGTAGTTGACGGTGTATAAATCGTTGAATAAAAAATGTAAGGGTAGTTCCAAGCGGTAGGGACATTGTTTGGATGAAGTTTTTCCAATGTCTTCAAATTTCAACATATTGTTGAATTGCAACATTGCCAAGTGAAAATAGTTATAGAAAGTGAGGTATTGACACTTTCTAAAAACCCATGGTCTCTTTCGATGTCTATATCATAAAAGTATGGGGTCACGTACCCTGTTAAACTCAGCTTAAATTCAGCACGAGGTTTGATCTACTAGAAATGTCACAGTTGTACCTACTCGCTAGTCTTCATTGCCTTTTTCAAGGCTGCTTTAATATTAGCTGGCAATTTTCCTGCCTTGGTGAGAGTAAAACCAGCAATGATTATATTTCTTTGTGCAATAGGTTCAACCAGTGGTTTCCCTTCGGAATCATCTTGATTCATAGTGGTGATTGGAGTCCATGGTTCATTATAATCACCCTTGTAATACACTACGTTGATCTCGTTTTCTTTTGCCGTAACAACTTTGCCAATAATTGGCTGATCTCCAGTTTTACGGCCAGGACGCAAGGCAACAAATGTATCTGGTTTTATCTAAAAATGTAAATTGTTTAAAAAATATGGGTGGTGGTTAATCTTGGATTTCAAACAAGGGGTTTGACAATATTTTAGACTGAACTATACAGTGCTTTTTGAATATAATTCCATGATGACATATCATTTGTCCGAGTATGAGTTTATCTTGATCCATAACAGACAAATTGTAGGTGTGGTGTGCTAGGGTGGCTGCGGTGCTAGAGTCGAAACCATTGTGATTTCAAACTAGCTCCCTCGGCCCCATTCATCATTTTGGCGGGGGTATTAAAATGACAACGAACAAACAAAAATTATAATATCTTACCTCACCCAGCTTCTTCACCAATCTGCAAAAAAAAAAATCAAAATAAGTTTTAATTTCCAAACAAAGAGTTCAAAGTACGAAACTTTAAATATATTCTATACATAGGTCAGGAATTCCTATTGAATTATTCAAATCCAATTAAAGTGTCGTTTACTGAAATTGCCGACCAATTATATTCCTGAGACGAAAAGATTTTGAAATATCTTCTGAATTAAACTATCCACTAAGGTGGTGATAATTTCATTTGAAAAAGTTATAAATACGAATACCGGTATTTGCTAATAATAGTTTACTGCTAAGAAAAATGAATTAACCACTTTATACCTGATTATTATTTTATCAAATCTGGTAAAAATGTAATTTTAGTGGTAGTTATTCTGTTGAATATGTTCTAATTTACAACATATTGTATTTTAATGATTTTTAAAAAATACAGCTGTCAGCAAAATCAATTTATGATTAGGTTTTTGGAAACATTTGAAACCAAAATTAGCCCAGAAGTACTAAAACGCTGACCTCTAAAATAGAAAATGTCATTATGTGAGACAATCCTCGAACATTTTGTTAAGCAAGCAATAAACATAATGTTGATGCCCACCACTTCACCCAGGGTGTAACAAATTGGGTAGGCAATGCCAAATTGGAAAGATGATGGTACTTTTAAAAATAGTAGCCTCACATATTGTTAAATATCAGGACATTGTTTAGAGTGAGCGATAAAAAATATCTTTACTCACTTGACAGGAGCTCGTGGTTTTGGCTCATTAGTCTTCCGAGGTTTTTTCGCTGGTGGAATTTTTTGTGGAGATTTTGTCTTTTCCTCATCATTATTTGATGACGTTGCACTTCTACTTCGTCTTCTTGGTTGATTACGTTCTTTTGTTACTTCATCATTTTCATCAGGCTATATTATTATATTGGGTTATTTTTTTTGCATTTCGTGAATAAGGTAAAAATAATTCTGACTTTCTCTGACCAAAACTGTTGAGTTTAAGAAAATTTACAATTGCCAACAAAATAAAACTCGAGACAATAAAAAATTTCAACTCTTGACTCCCAAGTTGGACAAGCCTTCCTTAATGGGCTGTTTGGGAAAGTTTAGTAAAATGTCGCTTTTTGAATTTTAGTATAAAGTTATTTTGTCATCATTGAAAGTCTGAAATTACAGTCCCAATCAGGATAATTCAGAATTTCAATTCCAACTCTCCGGCTTCACAGTCCTGACTCCAAATGCGGAAAAACAACTGATGGAAATTTAGAATGTTGCAATGAAAATAAGAATGTTTAAAACCATCCTAGACTAGGAAATTCTAAATAATTCAAAGGTTGTGTCATGCTTTCACAAGTATTATGTAAAGTTTCATCTAACCAAAGTCAGACTTCCTCAGACGAGCAGTAAATCAAAAGTTAGAGAATAAAATTTGTGAAAGCGTGATGTGAAGAAGCCTTTGAATCTCTCAATACAGTCATTCTGATTCTTTTGACAGTATCATTGCGGAAAGTATATGAATACACTGATACATAGGCAGTCAAATAATGGATTTGAGTATTTCATTAAGTTATAAATGGGGAGATTTTGTCAACATTGCTTGCTTGTACGGCGTCCAAGTGGGTGCACCATAGCGCGAGGAATACCACTAAATTTTCGATACCAAATGAATGATAAACACAAAATTTTTAACCTTTACCAAACCCCAGACTGTAGTTGGGTAGGCGATAGACTTGCCATGGTCTGATCCATTTCCAATGAATCACCAGTACACACATCGATTAAAGATTTATATATATTCAAAATACTGCACGGGACAAACCTCATAATCTTCATCTGTATTATAAGAAATTCTTTTCTTTGGTGCAGATTTTCTTGGCCCTGAAATAAAAGGAAAAATTCCGTCAGATCTACATGCCATTAAATATATGATGCTTTAAAAATTCATGTTGCTGTCAGTAGTTTGTCACAAAACTGAAGTTTTAGCATCATTTTTTTTTGGCTGGTAGTTACAGTCAGTAAACGGGTGAGAGCTCACAGCCAACAGATTTTAAAAGCCAAAAACATTCTTAAGAGAAACAAGCTCGGAGGTTCAAAAGAATAATAAAAAATCTGATTACTTTTCCGCTCCCCAGTCGCGTTCTCAGAACCACTTTCAGCTTCTGCAGATGCATCATCGTTGAGTTTTTCTGGAGACTTGTTTCTTTTGCCCTTCGCTTGGGGTGGGGTAAGGTTAGGGCGACCTCTTTTTCGTATGATCCACCCATCTTCACTCAATTTTGGCCCATCTTCATCGTCAGTATTAAATTCTGGTTCATATTGCTTAGATTTTCTGAAATAACAGAAAGGAAATTTGGATGGTTATTTCGAAGACAAATAATTAATATTAAATTTATCAAGACCTTGCTTGCAATGATAAGTGTTGATTACAGCATTCAACGAAATCTGACAGTTTAGAAATTGTGGATTAAATTTTGTAAAGTTCCAAGAATACGAAAACTGCTTGAATGTTAACACAACCCTAGAACTAGATTGTGTCTTGTCCAATATACTTTCCTATCCCATTTATAAATCAGTCAATATTGGTGTCTATTACGTTAAAGGGTATGTCCTGTACATTCACAACATAGCCTATAGACAGATTTTCACTTTTATCAGCCGCTCCAAAAAATATACCACATTCAATGTTTTTGAAGGTAATTCACACGATCAGATCCCACATGTTTCTTCAGATGTTAATCTAACTTGGGTGGGAATGTAAAAAATGAATGATGCCCAGTTTAACAAGCACAGAATACTCATAAAGTGGCAGTTTAACTCAATTTGCATGGTTACATATTTAGCGATGAAATGGAAATAGTTTACTTTGTCATGGTGGAACAATCAGGCCATGTTTATATGACAGGCCATATGCGCACTACTGAATGCCCATTCAAATGGCAATAAGAACCATATGTCCATCCCTAACTGGCAAGTAAGCACAAGCCTTTTATCTGAAACTCAAACAACGACACAGAATAAATTTCAGCCAGTATTCAGGTAGTTTATTTCACACAAAAAAAAGATTACTGCATTTCCAAGAAAAGGCACTTTTTAACGAGTTTGAAAAGAAAAATCAGAAAAGTGAAACATTAATCTCCATACTCAATAATTGCCATAAAACTGAAATTCCTCATCAAATAATATGGTTTGTAAAATAAGAATATACTCTGGGTAAACGATTGAATTTTTCGCTTTGCTTTGCTTGTTGAATTTTTACTCAAATAACGAATAGGAAGACTATTTTTTCATGAGCAAAGTCACTCACACTCACTCAGAAATACAAGAGATTGATCTCTGAGCGAAGTTAGGAGTTACGAGTCTAGGTGCTTCAAAGAGTGGAACACCAATGACAGACTGTTAAAATTGTATGCGATTTGTCATAACTTATTCAATAATCAAAAATGAGTATAATTTTGCAATTGTCCAATATTGAGGTTATCAATAACAAAATAAAACATTAAAAACCATTACTTTTTCAAAAAAAAAATACAAAAAGGTAACTCGCTGTTTGGCAGTGAAAGGGAAAATAGGAATGAGGTCTGTATTATTATTATTATTAAATTCCATTACGAAAAATACTATATTGCAATAATAGCAATATAGTTATGTGAAAATACAAAAAATTATAGAGGTGTAATGATCAAGTCTTATGTGTATTTGTTGGCCCGGCGAAGATATTGGCACAATTATTGTTGTTATAGAGTTAAAAGTAGAAATAAATATAAAAAATAATAGAAAAGAAATCATAATTATTGTGGCAAAAAAAATATAGGTATTATCATATTTGATCAAAGTGACATTGTCAGCCAGATATGTTTTTGTTCAAATCCCGCAAAATTTTAAATTTTGGACAAGCATGGTGGAGGAATCAAATCATTTATGGCTTATATTTGGTCGAGGATTGTAAATCTATTATTATAGGGGAAATTGCAATATTTAATTTTTAAGCCAAATTTTGAATTTAGATTAGAGTAATATATCTTTATCTGTGTTTTTGTTTGATAAAGCAGTTAAATTTGTTAATTACACAATAGCCACAAAATAAAACAGTGTCTAGGTGAAAAGAGGTTTTTTGTTTATGGACTTAGCATTGCAGCACTCGATTTTTAAATTTTTGACTTGAGGTAGCCATGTTGTGTCTTTATAGTGTAACACAAAAATGAAAAGAAAAAAAAACAAATTAAAAATCCATTTGAGGTATTGTATTTTGCAATAAGCAGCATTTATATGGACGTAAGTAAGAGCCTGATGGAGGATATGATATTGATGCGAGCTGATAAATTAAAATTTTAAATACGCATTTTCCCGTTAGAAAAGTGTCTGCGGACACGTTCTTAGCATGTTATGAAAAAATATGTCAAAAATACAAACATAAAAAAAGTATTTCTTGGGTTCAAAAGCTAAAAAACTCGACCACTATACAGTATGCACAACTCAAAATATTTGAATTTTTTAATCTGATTAATTAAGGGCTGACCAAATTCTATATATACGAAGACATTCATTTATATTAATAGGAATTGTTATAGAGTGTCAAATTCCGATTGTAGCAAACACATTCTGACTGAGATATGGCAAAAAAAAATATGAAAAGTAGGTATTATAGGGAAAATATATACAAGTTTGGGAACAATGGAAAGAGCCTAAAAAGCACCTATATATGATTATACAAAAATTAGTACCATTAATTATTAATATTCAATATGCTACATAAGCAAAACAATGCTAATTTCCGAAAAGGAATTTTACAGTACAATACTGTAAATTTGCGTTAAAGCGAACAATTGTTATGTTCCCCTTGAGAACAAAAAATAATTGGGAACACTTTCCAAAAAGGCACCAAAATCGGATTCGTAAAGCACCAGAAAAATCAAGATTGGCAACATAATGTTCAAAAGGAGCACTTTGGGAATAAACTGAAACATAAAAGGCACATAATATTAATGATAATATATTTATATCAGCAATTAGCAATGTTGGCTTCTGTATGGTGACTAAAGATGATCAATGAAGCCTATACAAGCAATAACAGGATACCTGAGTTTAAAAAAAAATTATAAAGGCAAATATTTACAGCGTAAAATGTTGAGAGGTGACGTGTAATTAATCAAAAAATGAGGTATTCAGTATAAATAAGTCTTTCAAATTCAGCACAAATACAGGTAAATACTCCAACCAGTATTATAGTAAACTATGAAAGTAGACTTCTTCTTCCGAGTGGGTATTCTCAATCTACAATGATTGAGTACCAAACATTCTGAGCGCTTGAAATCCAGAGATTCCAGTCGCAGCTTGTGTTTCGTGACGATTGATTGAATACATATTTTGACGATTTTCTTCAAATTCAGAAGAATCGTCGTGACGAGGTGAGGTAGAAGTCTGACTTTTCGACGAGGATGACGACATTATTGAGGACGAGAATTGATTGGTCGAAGTAGCGATGGAATCAGCCTCGCTCGAAAAGGTCCTCGAAGGGGTCGCCAACGACGTAGAAGCCGGGAGTGTAAACGAGATTTGAGGAGAGACTGAACTGTCAACTGCAGAAACCATTGGACTGTTGTCATCATTCGTACAACGCACTGGTTGCCCGCCTTTGCGTTTATTTTTCTTCAAAGACGAAGGAGGATCGGGAAATGTATTTTGTCTGCTCTCTTGGTCTTGGTTGTTGTTTCTAGCCGGACTTGGTGTTGCCCTTCTTGGTATTGGACTGATGTGACTTATACTTGTTGCCGGGGGCGATGGGGTTTTCGAAAGTGGTGGATTGTATGACGACAAAGGCGTGACTCCGCCATTTTGAGGCATCTGGTTCGCATAGAACATTTTTTGAAACATCGGAAGACCTTGAAATTGTGTTGCTGCAAGGGCTTTACTAAGCAATGCCGTTTGTGCTGCAGCGAAAGGATTTTGAGACTCGTTAGACAAAGCCAAAGGAATCTGCGGAGTTGCTCCTGGTAGAAGTGACTGTGGTAGCATCCTCAAATTTGCAAAACTATGTGCATGTGCATCTAAAGCACGATTCTGAAGTGAAGCTTGCATGTCGTGAACCATCGAAGGACTGTCACGAGTCTGAGTCATAAATGGGTTGCCAGGTTGAAAAAGTGAAGGTGAAAATGACTGAGGCAGAATCGTTGGTGGTTGAGGTGGAGATGCATGATGCAACACTGGCTTGGATCTTCCTCTAGTTCTTCCAGATGATAATAGAGAATCTTCCTCTCCATCCTCTTGTTGATTAAACAGATCCTCAAGCGTAAATTGGCGAACTTCCGGTGAGATTTTATCCTTATAATCATTAGATTCATCCTCACTCGTTTCTTCCAAAAGAATCGCTTCCATTACCGCTGCAGGATCCTCGGAAAGTGCTGACATATTCGAATCCCCAGATTCTCGAAGTAAATGACGAGGGACAGATACCTTCAAAGCTCCTGTTCTGAGATCGAAAACTTCTGAAAGATCTTTGCGATAGCGATAACCAGAATCTTGGGCATATCTTGACACCAATGTGTTTTGTCGTAGCAAAAGTTCGTGAGGTATCGAACTGAGATTAACAGTCCAGAAATTTCCTTTTGCTGTTGGCCGATAAGGGTTTTTCAATACCTGTAAATAATTGAGATAAATAATCAGTCAATTTGAAAAAAAAGTTGCAAAAAACTACATACTGTGTACTCATCTATGTAGAATAAAAATAATAAAAGTGTTAATTCATTGTAATAATTGAAAACTAAATTGCTTTTTTATGGTTCTTCAGAGCAAGCTAAATAATTGCATGTATGAAACATATTATGCTCTTAACATGAGAAATTTATTAGAGTAATACATCTGTAACCTTCTGAGATAAGTTTCAGCATTATGCTAAGACCTATGGACACACACAATCTCTAAGTTTTTGGGAGTGTCCAAAAGTTTGAATCCTCAAGGAAATGGGAGGTTCTGAATGAAGAGAATCATTCGCAAAAAAATTTCTGCAAATTCCAATTGAATCTTCATCCTAAAATACTCTCAAGCTAACCACTGACTACTTCAAAGTTTAGAATGATAAATATGAAAAATTATATTCTATTAAACTCACCTTAACAAAGCATTCATTCTGTGAAAGATTGTGTCTAACTGAGTCTCTCCAGCCTTGATAGGACCCATTAAAAAATGGAAACATCTCAGATATCCTTCTCAGAATCTGAGAGAGTCTGAGTTTCTTTTCACGGGAAGAAAGAATGGAGAGAGTGATGAGGGATACGTATGAATAGGGGGGTTTAGCGTAACGCCTATAGCGTTTTCCAGACTGGCTTTGAGTGGAATCGGGAGAAAGAGTAGGGGAAGCTGAGGTTTTGGGACTTCTATTGTTGGAAGATGAAAAATTATTTGGCCGATTTGGAGTGAAGTGGGGATTGGCAGGAGAGTGGCGACTTGGATTCTGAGGAGGTTGAGAGTATGTATTTCCAGTTTGTGTTTGCATAATCCCTGCATGAGAAGATCCAAAATGTTGATAAGGAGAAACACCATTGTCCTAAAAAAAGAAATTTTATGTTATGTTTAGTCTCATTTTTTTCAGTTTTATTTTTTGTAAAAAAAGTTCAAATCTCACCATTTTTTGTCGCTTTTTGGGAGGATCTGGTTGACTGGTCGCTTGTTGACATTGTCGAAAAAGAGAGATTTGGTTGAGCGCCATTTGTTGCATTTTCTGAGCTGAGACCGCAGCTAATATCCATTGTTGAATTGGTAGCGGGGGTACATTACCCTGGGTCAATTCATTTAACGTCTTGTTACCTGCTACTGCTAAAGCAGCTTGGATCATATGTCCTGGGTTGTCGTGTTTTTGATAAAGGGAAGTGAAAGGCCCATTAACGGCAGGGATAACATCATTGGCCAGTCCGTTTTGAATGTGGGCCTCAAGAGCAGCTTTTTGTGCAGATCTCGATTGAGATTGGTTATTTAGGAGGTTTGGGAAATTGCTCTGTATGCTGGCTAGTGAAACTGGATTTTTATTTTTCTTATCTTTATTTGTGTTTCCATGCGACAGCGGCCGATCGTATTTTGAATCCTGTTGTGATACAGACTTAGCAAGCAGCTTCGGTATCGAGTCGTGAGATCTTTTTTTACCCGTCAAAGGCATGGAGAGGTCCAGCGGCATTTCATGAGGGTTTTTACGAGTATCATCTTTATTATTATTATTATGAGAGGTAGGAGAGTGAGAGAGGTTGCGAGGGGTACCTGAGGCAATACTAGTAGAGGTAGTAGAAGAGGGTTTGTTACCTACAGTGCTTGTATGAGGTTGAAATGGATTTGAGGTAGTTGAGGCAATGGCTGCAATTCCGCTAGAATGGCCAAGTGTAGGTGGTGGGGGGAGTATACTGCCAAAACCAAAGTTTGAGGAATGTTGTTGTTGCATGTTTTGGAGAGATAACATGGTGGCAATGGCTTGTTGGGACAGCAGGGATGCTTGTTGTAATGTAACATTATTCATGGTGGAAGGTGGCAAGCTGCTGATGTGATTCGTTTGACCATTTTTTGGTGATCTTAACTGTTTGTTGGCAGCTATTGTGGTTAAACTTGGCCATGGCATTTGAGGTTGTTCTTTCGTAGTTGTCGTTTTTGTTGTATGGTCGTCTTCAATTAGTTTTTGAACCACATTTTTTGCTTTTTCTAATATATTTGTTTCTGATAAAACTTCCCCCCCATCAGTTTTTTTGCTCGCGTTTTGATAATCCAGTATTTGGGATTCGTTGTTTAATTTATTGGATTGTTCTTTTTGAAGCATTTGCTGGTATTTTATCATTCCTTTCCAGTACATATCTAACCTTTGTTTTAGCATTTCAGAATCAGTGCTATCATCTTGCAGTTTGAAATGCACGGGCACTTTTTCTTCTGTCGTTGTTTCTTCGAGTTTAATGTTTTTTACCACTGGTACCGGTGGTTCCGTCATGCTTTGCTGTTCTTCGTCATCAGTTTCTTGCTTTATGAATGTGAGCACAGGGGGTGGGGTGATTGTAGTCGCCATAGGCGGCGATACGCTCGGTGACAACCTATGCACAGACGGTGAATCCATATTTCTTTGCTGCAGTATCGAAAACATTCAGTCGATCTTTGCCGCGGTGTTGGATGCCGCCACGAAACCGGATATTTCTGATAAAGACGAGCAAACGCGATATGATAAACGCGAATGAAATAATTAAGCAATTCTAGATGGCATTATGTGTTTTTATTACAAGCTGAGGTGCATTGAATAAAAAATCATATTTACCGAGTTGGTGTAACTTTTGAGCTTAGAGCTCCGTCTTTCAAAGCTTTTAGTCTCTTTGCACGTTCGTTGCTTGTATCAGCTTCTGTCTCTATATCTGTTCCTTTTCTGTAAAAAATCGCAAATTAGAGATAATTACACTCCTTTATTTTTCTGTGAGAGATATTATGCGCATTTCTTCCAAACAAGGCTCCCGACAAGCAGCCACCTTTATGTAAAGAGCTATCTTAGTTTGGAAGGACCAGAATCTTCCTGGTAAGGCATTGCCTACCCAATTTATTACACCCTGAGTGAGTTGGAGGACATGGGATAGATTTAAACTCACTCGGAATCGAAAACCGATTACTTGAAAATAAAATACTAACATGACTGCTCTTGGATTTTTCTCTTTTGGTTTGTTTATGATATCAAGGACAGACTTCGCTATTTGTGGCCTGATCAGGTCCAGAGATGTGCCGGGTGAGTGTCCAGTGCCACCACCTATAAAATATGAAGTTATATATTGGTTAATGATCAGTTCATGTATGATCTAGCTTGAATATCGAATGATGGCCAAAATAGTTTGGATATACCATAAGATGAAGAACAATAAAAATCATGAATCAACATTTGCCCAAACATGATATAGAGTAAAATAAGTGATGAGTATCAGGCATGACATGAGTATGTATTCTAACCCATTTACAGTTTTTTGTAATTTTTCTATTATTTCAAATTTTTTCTTATTTATGCTTCCGTGTCAACAGAGTGTATTATATCAACAAGTGTATCTATTATACAGTTCATTATTGCAACGAAATTTAATCCTGATTGGAAAACGTGTTTCTGTACAAGGAGATTTGAAGCTTAAACCGCAGAGTAAACATTTAAGCTGGAATGTACATGAACTGGTTGGTAGTGATGGTTGTTATCGCGTGCAGGTACAGGATAGCCTAAGGGCGGTTGCTGGAAATGAACTTCGAATGGACGGTACATAGCGATAGCGTTATTACGATACATAACTAAAATATTTCGATATATAGTGTAGTGTAGTAATATATGGTGATGTTTTTTTTACTAAAATTAGCCTGACAGTAACAAAATACGAAATTAATGGTAATAAAATTTTTATATTCTCAAGGGGAAATGTCTTTTACTATTTAAATTAGTGGCATATGAAAACATTTTATTTTACATTCATGCCAAAAAGTATTGCTTTCATTTTGTTAGCCAGCAAATTTGCGACCGTCAAATCGAACTCGATTGACGGCACACTTTTCATCATTATGAGACACGTCGATATGCAATTTAAAGGCAACACCAGTTGTGCATATTTTTTATTGGACGTATTCATATGCCTTTCGCTTGGAACAGGGCTCTGCGCAACCATAGATTTTGCATTGTCATATACATTTGGGACATTGCATATTTTGTGATAATTTACTTACGCAAAGTGTTGTATTCGCACTTGAGCTGATGATACTTTTCGTGCACGGCGTGAAGTTGTCCTATGTTATCTTCGTCTTGAATCTGGGCGAGAAGCCCGGGTGCTTCACCCAGTCCGCTGGTTTGGGCGGAAGCAGAGTCCCCACTTGCGGGTTGGAACTCTTCGTCGTACAAATATACTTCGTCTGAAAAAGAAAACAGGATATTGTTACGGAATAAGGTTGAGAGACAGGTTGTTGTCAGAAACCACATCTATATGTTCAAGAAATTATAAAAACTATGCTAAACTGGCAATTTTTCGAGTAAGATGGCGACGCGGGCGATTCAAAACCTGACGTCATCACGTCAAAATGCTCGAAATCTTGTGAATCATATTCTGTTTCATTTTACTCACAGACTATTATTAAGCCTTGAAGAATAAAAGGAAATTGTGCATTGGTGCGATTCTCCTATTTTTTGACGAAACCAAAACCTCGAATTGAAATGACAGTTTAAAAAAATTTTCCGTTACTAAGAAACGTAAAACTCGTATGACGTATCTTACGTCTCAGCGTTGCGGTAAACAGAATACGACTGGTTTAAGCGACGTAAATATGAAAATGACGGCCTGCGGTGATTAGGTATTATGATTGATAATGATAACGCAAAAATCCGTTCGCCATTGCACAATAGTGAAAAAAAAATCGATTTAAACATAATATACTTACGTAAAATAGGTAACAGATCAACGTTTAAACTAAAAAAAACTATTTAGGAAGACCGGATTGTGGACCATAAATAAAACAACACACCGACATTTAAACTTCAATGGCGCTTACAGGTGAAACTATTTTTGCTGAAAAATATTAGAATCCCTATTACGAAATTCGTCGCCCCCGAGTGAGCAAATCACAGGCGAGCGGGACTTGCTTAGTCATTGTGCACGAAAACAAGCGTCAATTATTTTGCCAATAAAAGTGATAAACAATGATTTAGATATTTTGAGCGATTGGAATAAAGGTGCAATTTCGAAAATGGATCAGAACGCTTAAATAATGTAATAATAAAAAATTGCAAAAAAATGATTTTATAAATTTGAAATTTTTTATATCGCGGAAAAATTGCAAAAAAATTGTATATTAATTTCGCATTGGAATTTTTTGAAATGCTTCCGTGGGTTGATACTCGAGGAATCATAGCATGCCACTGCAAAGCGCCGAAATAACTACTCGCGAAATTTCTGTAACCCGATCCAAGTGCAACCATGCCTAAACACCTAACGCATGTATCAATGGAATGTAGGAACAAGGATTGAAAAATTTGAAAAAGTATTAGTGCTACCGCGAATTTAGCCAGGCACCAAGTAATTAGTTATAATAATGTAGATTTATATTCCTCGAAATGGCCGCATGAAACATTAGGTGAAAAACGAGAATTTCGCAACCGCAAGCAGTGCAACCATTTCAAAATTAATCAAATTTCTATAGCCAGTTTATGCTGTGGTATACATCTAACATAATTATTAATTCGCTTCAAGGAGAGATATATGTTTATGCGCTATGTAGCGTATCCTCTTCAGTATGACTTTTGCCCGGGGGCGCATGGTATTCGCTGGACATGGAATTTTTACTTGTACTTTGCGCACATAAAAAAAAGAGATATGACAGCATATACAAACTTGTTTTTCGAATATGAATTATCTGACGAATAGGTATTATCGCATCTGATGATCATAACATCGAAAAAACAGAAAAATAAAATTTATGACGCAAACCATTTCGGTATTATCATACACGTTTTCCGTGGTTTATAATCAGCTATAAATCATATTATAAATATACAAAGTAGAATTAAACTTACCAAAAGGACAAATTAATGCAAATAAATGAAGTTATGGTAAACTAAATCTCTATCAGATAATATATTTTTAATTAGGAACAATTACTATGCCCGCTTTCTTCATACGTGTGCGGGAATTATTATAAATTATTCTGTAATGAATAATAACAAAAAAAGAATTAATTAGCTGAACTTAAAACTTCATAAAGGCAGTTTCACTATTCAGAATTTCACTATCTTCACAAAAATTCTAGAATATATACAATGACTTCCAGGTGCGAAAACCACGTTCGAATTTGAAGTCATTTCTTTTTATTTTGAAGTTCGAGTATACCACCTAAATCCGATACGAAATACAATAGAGCTTTACAGCGCTAATATTTAACCAATGCGGTCTCTTCTCATTCTCAAAAGTTGGTGGCATATTCGCAAATTGAAATTTAGACCTTGTCCAAAATTATGGGCCTTTATACGCGGCCGAGTATGGCAAACCGTTGTAGCATTCAACTGAGGCGTTGTTCATCTATGATCCATACACGAGTTTAAGTAAAAACGGCGCTTCCAAAAACCCTTAATTTCCAAATACCAAGCACTAATGACCATTGGGATCAAGTTACATCTGAGTATTCGCGCCTGAGAAACCAGAAAAATTTGTGAATTTCCGAAAGTAGATCTCATTCAATGCCCCAGATATGTCCGATGTTGAGCGCGCTAATACACGCTTCGCATCATCTGAATTCACTTATCGTAACATAGCAGTAACGGTCATTCTTTCGTTTTTAATAAAATATTGAACGTTTTTGACAAAGTCCAGGCGTCAACAAAATATACACTGCCCGTTCCTGTGATTGCGAGAGAGCATACTACTACATTATAAGCTCGATCGCATAACAAAAGCGTGTTTTTAAACTGCACTGTTAGCGCCGAATAATCAAAATGGGCTACCCTGTCATCTTGGTATTTATTGGGGCGTACAGCGTGACCCACCCGCCCTGTTTGGCTATTGTCCTTCGTAGGTTCTCAGCTAGCAACCTTGCAATATAATGGATGGTATATATGTATGATAAATATAACCTAACTTTGCGTTTCTAGTGCTATTAGTATAGATAAATACTGTCGACATCAATATGCGGCAACATAACGAAACTTCTGTATAAGTCAGTTATCTTTATAGATCCGGCCAACGTTGGGCCACAATTGGCATAATACTAGATGCCAGAAATATTCACAATAAACATGCCTTTAAAAAACAATATCTGATATTTTACCATATATTTCTATAATTACATAGTATGTCCAGCGATGGTCTCTAGTACCGTAGAGGTAATATACTGATTCCTATATTGATAATGCCTGCCTAAAGAATACCTATACTCAATGCTTTACTCGGGATGCCGTAAACGCGGTCACTGGAACTAGTCCAAATCGCTTTATGCCTAAAACCGCAAAATTTTCTTTAAAAAAAAAACTGCTGATATAAATTGCGAGCTTTCTTTTTTCTCCAACGTGTATCATATCGCTCTCAAAAAATTCCCTCTCCGTATTCTCTCGAAAATATTTGGCTTAGCGGACAATGCTCGACCAGCGGTCCTCCGCAACCAATGGCCAAATGTAGTGTACTAGGCACAATAATATAGCTTATACCGTAGCGAAGGTGTGTCTTTGCTAAGAAAAAATAAGCGAGATAATAGAAGAGCGAGAGAATGTACGAGCTTGCGTGAGATAGAATACTCGTTTGAATTGTCATTATTACCGACTAAAGTACGGATAGTACGACCGCGAAAAAAGAAACTAAAGCCATGGTTAGAAGGGCAAAAACATAAACAACGGGCGACGGTAATCTTAGCTGAGTAAAAAAAAAGAAATTACAATCCACTGACGCGTGGCCAATCGTTCAATCCACTTTAAATGTTAATTGTTGTTTATTAGGCAATTTACATATTACGTAAAATACGATTGGTACAGCAGGTAAAACCAATCCCGAAATAAACAAATATTCCCTGACTGGAATACTATAACAAAATTATTAACAATACATTGAATACAACACTTAATATGGCACGAACAAATTATAGCGAAGTCGATTTCGCTTGAATACATAAATATAACGTTACATAAAACAACAAAAATTTGCGTTTTCTCATTTACCAGCTACAATATCTGTCTAAAACAACATGCGCTAACAGATTTATTCATTCCAGTTAGACTGTATTGAATAATGTTTTTACCTCATTATACACTCCTAGTACACACCCCATGTAGATACTCTAAAATTACTCTAGCTCGACGAACATTCAGATGGTGATACCCATCGCCAATCCCAACATATTCAGAAAAGTATATTATCCTTCATTTAATTAAGAAGTCCTCACAATCTAGGTGCAAATAACACTATATATGTTATGTTTCCTTGCTTTCTTAACCAACCAACCATAAAAGGCAAAGCTATGTAAATGACACAAAAAAACACAAAAACGTATACGCTTTCGTTCCGTGAAGGGGTCGATCCGGTTTTTAATGAGACAGGTGAAAATGATTTCATCAGTATAGATTTACGAACATTTCATCGAAAATGAGTAAAATTATCTCTTTGGGTCTGAAGGTCATTCGCAACCCACATTTTCGATTAAATTAAAATAATTAAATACCGTAAATCACAAGTATGGAGAAAGTATCTGTCGATCTGAAAATAAAACTACTCGACCATGACCACGAAAATTAGCTTACGATGCATGTGAACGAAAATACCGGTAACGTACCGTGTTTTCAAACCAGATTATTTATTTACATTAAACTGTTTTGAAGGTTTTTCCATGCATTTACATTTGAATCGTCATCAAATCCTAAAATTTTAAAATTTGACGTATATTATGGTTTCATACCACAAAGGTCTAATTCCGCGCTGCATGTTACCGAGAATTCCAGTAACAAACAGCATTTTCAAATCAGATTATTTACATTCGAAATGTTTTATTTTAAAGGGTTTTCCATGCATTTCCATCTAAATAGTAAAAGCGCAATAGACCAACAATACCATTTTCCAAATAGAATGTAATCCATAGAACTAAACCACAAAAATCGAGAAGTGAGTACCGCTTTTACGATTACACAAATGAAAACACTATTCTCGACGATTCCTAAATAGTACGGGTGATTAAATAACGACTATCCAATTACAAAACGTGGTCAAAGACGGGAATAAAAAACCCGAAAATACATAGATGGTAGGGTATTCAAAACAAAAAAATCACATGTCAAGTTACGCGCGTATACTCCGCAGAAGTGTTCGATAAAGAGTATCTTCTATTACGAGTCCAGGGACTGTCTTTGTTAGCCAAGTGAATATACCCCCTGCCCATAGGTTTCA